TGGAGAGCGAGTAATGAAAGAGTGAGGTGAGGTGAGAGAGAGAGTTGTGAGAATAATGAGATAGGAAAGAGTAAAGAGTAAAGAGTAGTAAAGAAAAGTCAATCAAAAATATTGGACTGCAAGTCTGCAAGTCTGCAAATGATGTTTCAAGTACGACTCATTACTCTACTTGTTTATTCTATTCTATTCTACCTACCTCAGCTACTCAATTAATTACACAGAGATTCAAGTCGAGTCGCTCTTTCTTCCTATCAATACTCGAGTAGTGTAGTAGGGTATATTCGGTCTGTAGTTCTGTTTCATATGCTGGAGTCTATATTTTCTTCGAGGTCCATGGTTTTTATTGTTTCATTTCTTTTCATTTCTTTTCTTTTCTGTGCTTCTTCCTCACGCTACGATACTCGAGTATACACTGTACTGTACTGCGAAATCGGGATCGTATATTAAATTCGTTGGGGGCTTTTCTTGTATTGCTGCGTTGCGAGCGAGCGACCGATTTTCATTTCTTGTTTGTTGTTCGAGCTGGAAGTTTCAATTTATTTAAACCTTGACAGTTTGCTTGTTTATTTACTTGCCTGTTCACTAGACTTCACTTCATAACTCATTCCACACACACACACACACACTCACCCCTCACAAACAACACAACCATGCACCCCCTCTCCTCTTCCTCTTTTCCCTCCTCCTCCTCCTCCTCCCCACACCCACCCTCACAGCCCCCACACCACCCACCCTCTCCCTCCCTCCACTCCTCTCCCCCCTCCTCGACACCCTCATCAACACAACAATCACAGCTTCAACCCTCAATTCTGCTCCTCCTCCCTTCCTCATGACGACTATTCATTCTGAAACTTGTTTGCATATAAATCAGGGAGAATTGGTTTGTTGTCCGAGTATACTTGATGGTGATCAGCCGATTGTGGTGGCGGCGGCGGGGATGTTTGCTTTTAGGTTGAATGGGAATAGTGTTAATGGGGTTGCTTGTGAGTGTGTTTCTTTTTGTGGTTTGGGGGTGAGATGGGGGGGGCGGACTTTGGGATGTGGGATGTGGGATGTGGGATGTGGGATGTGGGCTAATGATGATGATTTGGTATTGTAGGTAAGAGTTTGGATGATGCTGGATATTGTTCGGTGTTGGAGCATAGACTTTGTTGTCAAGTTACGGGTTTGGTATGTTTTAGTCCCAGCACTGGTTTGTGGTTGTGGTGGTGGTATTTATGGGTTTGATGAGATGGACTGAGATGAATGCTGATGATTTTATGTGTGATAGATGGTTTTACCACTTGTTAGTTTGGCCATGTGGTGTCATAGTGCGGAGTAATGGCTGTTTGGTGATTACATATTGGTTTTAGGTATGGTGATGGTATTGGCAATGGATGTAATGAATGAGCTGGAGGTTGGTGATGGATTAATCAAATGGAGCGAGTTGAAATTCGATGAGATGAGAAGGATGGACGGAGGATAATTTTGATGGATAATCTTGGTGGACAATTGCTTGATCATATGATTCACCAGCTGGACTGAGCTGGGTCTGTTGCTTCACTTGCTTTATACATATATATACATACATCATGTTGCTCATATTGCTTGAATTGCTGGGTCTATTTACTAGGGTAGTCACTGCAATCTGTTTATAGACAGAAGATCTAATGATTCGGGAATAAAGTATTATAATATAATATACAATCCACTTCTTTTCACATCATATCCGAGACAAATTTATTTCTAATAGTTTCATGGTTTGGCTTTTTTATATGTTCAAGTTCTTTGCGCTTTTGTAGTATATAATTCCTCCATCTACGAGTATATTCAGCTATGTTCCTCCTAAACTCGAGTTGAGGGGGGGAAATAACATAAATATCAGGACTATTGTACTTTTGTCTTTGAAATAATTATTACACTTGATATCGAATCTATTGAAAATAACTTGTATTGAAGGTCCTTGAAGTTTTAAGATTCCAAGAGCAAAGAATTTAATTCTCCTCGAGCTCTGTCTTCTGGTGCTGCCTTCCCAGTTCATTCGGACTTGAGGACTTGAGGACTTGAGGAATTGACTCTCTAGGAGTGTGCCATTCATCCAAAATAAAAAGCAGGAAAAGCAGAAAAAGACATATCCGAAGTTCTGGATAAATAGGAAAGGTATGGCACAATCAATTGCTATATGGTTTATCTTACTCAGAGTAGATCCGTTCTCCTTAATTAAACAGATCATGCATTATATATCCTGAGGATAATTAGTACTATCCCGCCTTTCTTGGCAAGTTTCAGTCCCGTAGGAACCCCCCCGAGTGAAAACTCGGGGGTAGATACCGGATGATGTTCATGTTCATGTTCATGTTCATGTTCATGTTCATGTTTATGTTTATGTTTATGTTTATGTTTATGTTTGTAAATAAGTAGGTTACCAGGCGCCAAATATTGTAGGATACGGTACGAGTATATTCGAGTAGTACTTGACTTTATACTTTACACTTTTAACTTTTAACTGATTTTGCCTTTGGGTTGTGCAACAATGAATGGTTTCTGTGCCCTAAGGATTGTATTGATAGAATAAATGTTAGCAAAAATTCTCGGTAGGTACCCGGTATATGTAAGATCTTACTATTTCTCTTAGTAGTAGATATTGAACTCTTCGTTGTCGATTCGGGATATGATACCCGACACCGGTGAGGTTGTTCGCATCCGAGTCAAAGCATTTCTAGAAGACTAGAATGTGTACTCGTATATTTGTACAAGGGTCAAAGCCTTATGTATGAGAATGAATTTATGGCTAATGATGCATTTTCTATTAGTTGAGATAAACTTTCCGGAACTACGAGTACTGAGGGCTCCTTTGGATACAATATTCTGGTTTTATTCCTGACTCTCCTACTTTTTATTCTGGGAATTCAATAAAAGTACCTTTAAATGCAAAAAGCTGGATTCCTTAAGATTATAACAAAACGGGGATTTTAAGATGTTTTTTGGCGTAAACGGATACTAAACATTCTGTTTTATTTTGATTTTATTTATATTTTTTGATGATAAAATAAAACGCAAATTAAAAAGTGAGGATTAATAAAAGGTGTCTTTATTTTATTCTTACTTTAATCTAGGTTTTCTTAAGGGTTTTCTAAACTATTATAGTTTATAGTTATTGGAAAACTTGAAACCATTCCTATCTCTGTTTTAAAGTAATTGTCACTTTCACTTAACAAGCTATTCAAAAAATGAAGTTATTTCTATTTTTGTTTAGTAAACTATTTGTCTGGATATCACTCACTTAGCTGTAGTGAGCGGTAGGGCTAAGGGTTAGGGCAATAAGCAACGCTTTGATCACCATGGAGCGTATATCTTTTAGTATTAGTATTTCTATAGTTTAATTCCTTAAGGTAATACAAACACGTGAAATACGATAGTACTATAGACACTTCATCATCACCACGGTGATACCAACACTATTCAATTGATGATGATCTTCTGAAAGCTTTCAATCCCTATTTAAAAATCTTCAACTTGTTTCATTTTCATTTATTTAATCAGAAATTATACAGGTATTGATAACCAAGGAATAAAAGAGATTCTGATTATTCTATATTAATCCGGGATTTATAAAAAGAGCGGGAGAGCTAGGAATAAAACCAGAATCTTGTATCCAAAGGAGCCCTGAGTTCAGCCTTTCAAGGTTATTCATTAGGTTTTGCTAGAGTCTATTTTTGGCGCTAACTGGACTGAGTGACTAACTGCTAGAATAGCAAATACCCGTGAGAGGGGCTTCTACTTTATTCGTATGCTTCCTTGGCAGTGGATGCCTTCCAATTACCATATGCCAATATTATAAACAACTATATAATACATGACAAGTCCAAAAACCATACTTCCAGCAACTCTAGATCAACCTATCATTGACAAATAATCCCCAAAAGACCTCCCATCCAAATCCCTAATGATTTTTAGGGTTGTATTTTTACATTGATTTCGTAGCATAAACAGCCATTGAACGAGTCATAATTAATAACGCAATTAATGCATTGCATCATGGATCAGTACCGATACACAACAATCTACATCCTCCCTCTAACCCCAGATCCACTGGGAGATAACAAATTCCCAAGTGATGAATTCGCACAGAATCAAGAATCGGCATACGTCGCGTCGTCGCACTTACAATTCGACTGAGTAAATTACACAAACAAAAGCTATTGGCCTGATTGAGCGAGGCAAGATAACTCCGGTAAAGGAATCTGGTGCTGGTTTGGTGATAGGGGATGCGCTTCTCGAGAATCCCATCCAGGATATATCGGTGCCTGCTGGCCTGGCCATGAACTTGTATAGCGATGCGACCCTGGGTATATTCACCCCTGTTGTGACCAGTCCGAAAATTTGGATAGAAAATCCAGAGGGGATTAAGCAGCCACCGTAGGGCTTGTAGTAATCGGTTTCTGGTGCGCTGGTGCGCTGGTAGCGGGAGAGGTAAATAATCGTATGGTCGAGCACCTGACTCTGCTTAGCAGATCTAGTACCGGTATGCGTATTTTGTTTCAAATCCGAGGTAAATTGCTTGAGTAGTAGCTGAGTCCAGCAGATGCTTTTAGATTCGTTTTTGAATGCTCGGATTTATTCATCCTCGAAGTTGCGAAAGATCTCCTCGAGTCCAGATTCTCGGCGCTGGAACAATCCATCCTCCTCGACGCCATTTAATTATTGACAGAGAATTTGGTCAGGAGATGAGTTCGCCTTGTTCCTTTATTGGTGTCAAAACTCTTAGAAGTTTCTGTAGGAAGCTTTGAAATTGGGTTGGGTTGGACTGGATTGATGCAATGGAAGTCTCTGGAGTTTGTTTTTATATTTGTCCATGGCTAATCTTCGGCCTGAAATTTTGGTGCCCAAAATAATAAGGTACTTCGAAAGGGGTCGGATAAATCTCCGATCGCTAGTGGTGAAGATTGAAGGATTTGATATTAACAAAAAATCTTGCCAATTGTTGTAGTGCTTGTGTGAACATTCTTAACCTTTCTTCTGGGTGTAACTTTTCCACCATTGTATCGATTTATCAATGTAGAGGAATTTGTTGATGCTTTGAAGAACAACATCAGTCTGGTGGGTAGGAAGTAAGATCTATTGACATATTAATAAGTAGATGTATAGAATGCCAATAATTAACATGAATGATTGCCATACCTTCTTCAATATTTTGTTGACTGCCTCTCTAACATTCTTGAATTTTGGTATAACTGCAACAGCATCATTATCACCTGGAGATAAAGGTCAGCAGTCATTGTTGAAATCAAATGAGAAAACATACCAAAATCAACACCCACAAAACCAAGTCCTCTGCAATTCAGATATCCATTAAGAAGCCCGAGCCTTCCAGCAGTACAAGAAAACTTGCCATTCACATGACAAGCACACAATCTCTGAGATTGTTCCAGAAATTAAAATGAAGCACTAGTCCAAGTCTGGATCTTTGACTACTAAGCCATACCCTAACTACCAATGAAAAGGCTGATTGCAGATAAGATCTAGCTATTGTACCCAAGCCTTAGCCTGCCTTCGCAATAGGAGGTGCAGGTGAAGTCGGTGGTAGATATATACCTCAGAATGCTTAGTAAGAACACTAGCTGAAGGTGGTGCACCCATTTCATACTCAAAATTATGCCGCCTAAAGCAAAAGCGATGAATCTTTAAATAGATACCTATATTCAGCCCCTCAATTTTATGTCCAACGCATAGAAACTCATAGACAAATCCAACGATACGTCAATACTCATAAGGTAGTAATTAATCAGAAGAGGATAATCAATAGTTGATTTCAACACCCGGTAAACCGTCCCACTCTCCCATCCACCATACTTGCACATACAAATCGTATCCCTAACTTTGATTTCGAGAGCTATCAAACCTCTCTTACCATTTCTACCGCAAGCAGTTCATTTTTTTCATGAGCTGCTTCGAATCATCTTCTACTTTCCTTTCCATTCCATTCCATTCCAAGCAGCCACATTACGACGGTCCTTCAGCAAAACAATCCGTCAACGATATTCTAGCCTTAAAAACCCAGTTGCGCCAGTCAACATCTCAGTGTCCGACATTCCGGAGTCCCCACCGACCGGCACTTGAAGAAGCCAAGCATCTCTACTGCAGTCCTGGGTATTTAAGCTTCCGGTCTAGAGAGCTTCCCGATCTCTTATTGTGGTCAAAATCGTACCAAGTGCGAGGCAACAAGATCTCACAATCTTGGTGTCAGATTTTGTGGTCGACAAGTATTTCGATAGAGATTTCAAAGTCAGACCGGACTTTCAAACGGCGCTCACTCTGTTCTTGTTAACCAAGAAACAAGCTCGATATCGCGGCAACTCGACACTCAATCCTTTAACCTTGCTTCCATCTTCCCTCTCTTTACCACAGCCTTTCAGCAGCCAAGCACAACCTACCGGAATCCAAAGGTCATCATCGTGATCTCGCGGTCCTGCGACAATCAAATTCAGCTCGATAGCTTCCAAGTCTTACCAAGGCCAACTTAGTAAAGCGTGTCGCATTCAGCCCCACCCCACCACCCTACCCTTCCCCTACACCAAAGTTCCTTCTTCCTTGCCATCCATTGCGCTACCGATAACCCACTCAAGTAAGCTACACTTACATCAACCTTGAACATCCAGCTAATCTTCTCGAGGTCATTATCTTCATACTCATAAATTCGACAACACGCCTACCATACCCACATTCTCGTCGGATCAGGTCTCGATCAAAGATCATTAATTGTTCAGTCACCACAATTTACTTAACAGCAAACCATTGTTGGTCTTCTACCCAGGGAAACCTACATTCCAGTTGGATCAAGTTTCTTCATACAACATCATTGTCCTATGCACAAGTGTTGTTCTGTTAATAACAACTTGCATCGATTGCCTAAGAACAAAGTATTGTCTAACCCTACAGATCACACCTTGTCCTCTCGTCGGATCAAGTTTTGTGGAGCATCACCCTTGTTTGGTGTTGTTCCATTGTAAACTGTCATTCATCTGTCTGTCCTAGTCAAGAGCACACCCTTGTTTGCCTCACTGCAGCACAACCAACAGTCCACCGAGAGACTTGTCCTTTCCAATAGTCCTGCACTATGTTCATCACAAAGTTTGAAGAGCGGGAGCCTCATAGGGTAACCAACTTGGTCCCACCGCAGAGCCTTCGTATTTTTCCACACCCATGCCTAAATGAGTCATGTTCTGAGTGCATTCAACAATATCGAACCGCGGAAGAGCAACGTTTCGGGTCCCACTGTTATACGCAGACATCCCTTACTATTGGAGATGTCTGGCCGTCAAAGAACCTTGATGAGAATGTGATGGCATGCCGCGAACTTAGCCGTCAGCACGCTCTTGAGCGCCCTGGTCGCGCTCGGGACGCTCATAGGGCAAAAGATCTTGCTAATAGTATCCTTGCGGACCACGAATATCTAAAACGCCAATGCGCCGTCTATGGAGATAAAATGATTCAACGATGGAAAGGATACAAAGTTGACAAGCGCGAAAAAGTCCTCAAAGAGGCAGATCCTCATTTCAACCCCAGCCAATGGGTGCATATCGACATGCAAGTGAATTCTGATAAATACAAGTATCGCATTGGCAGAAGTGAAACAAAGAGAAACCACCTTTTCTTCGAATATGTCAACATTGAGGCTTTTAGGGGAGACAGTGCTTGCCTGTTGAACCTGTTATTCAACCGAGCTCATTATCACCCAGAGGAGTTTGTGATTTTCGACAGTTGTCAACTGAAATTGACGTGGCTGGCTGGCGATGTCGATTTAAGTTATAGCCCAGGCTGTTTGATAATGCAGGGTACAAAATATGGAGAGCTAGTTCACTGGGATAAAGATGCAGCCCATAGGTGGGATATCATTGGCTTTCCTCGAGCAAGATTGATCCTTCAGGCGCAAAAGGCATTGATGTATCTCCTTCGTCAGATCGTGGACAAGATCCTTCATGACGTCGATAAGGACTCGGGCCCGATAGCAGCCCAGTCCGATCAAGTTCGCTCATTAGAGTTCCGCCAGTCGGATATCCGTGGCTTCTCATCATCATATTACAATGAACCATACTCCGTCCCCCTAAAATTTGACATCAATAAGTTATTTGGCATCGCCAAGACGCAATTGGAGGTCAAGAAAGACCATCTTTGGCTGTTGCAAACAGATCCAGCTTACGCGAAATACTGGCTAGGTATTTTGAGCGAAGGGGGTCTGGTGCGAGACAAATCGCTCGGTTTCAACAAGGAAAGCCTCCTCGCTGCTGATCTCTATGCGGAGCTGCAATCCATTCGATTATGGACAGAGGTGGTTCTAGAAATAGAAAAGGTGAAGGAGCTGCATGATTCGATCCGAGATCAGATCATAAGAGGCCAAGCCCTTCCCCCAAAGTACAATCGAGCTCTTGGCGCACTTGAGGTCTTGTTGGTTGACTATATGACTAAGTTGTCATCACACCTTTCGATCTCCATTGTCCAGCGACCAGGTTTTAGCAAATGTAAAGACCCGAAATTAAACTATTCGCACGACCCTTTAGACTTCTTATTGCAACATCTACTGGGAAAACCTGATACATCCCAAATCAAGTTTTCGAGGGCGATGATATTCCGTCATTTGGAAAACCACCTCAGGAACGCCTCAAAAGAGGAACGGGCTCGTATTGATCCAGTGCTCCACAAACTGCTTTCGGATTGGGCCGCTTTTCATGAAATCCTCAGAATGGTTCGGTACCACAGCCCAGCCATGAAAAGCGTGTTCTTAAGGATGTGGAGGAATTTGAGAAGGGCGACTCTTGGCTCTATACAGAGAAGAGTTCATTCTGTGATTCCCCTGATACACCAAAAAGTTCAGGACCCAAAATTGCTAGATTTTTTGAGAGATTTTCAAAACTTCCTCTGCCATCAGGAAAGAAAGACGAGGATTGGATCAAATCAGATGAGGCGTCACGACAAGCTTTGTCGGATGTCTGGGAAAGCATACGCGCCTACTGGAAGATGCAATTGAGATATCTCGGGATGAGCGAAGGTAATATGGAGATCGAAATGCGTACGTTGTCAGCCGATATAGATCCCGAATATGTCGCAGATATTACCGCAAATTATGGCAAGATCAGAGCCAAGATGGAAGAGTGTCGAGAAGCTAAAGCCAATAATTCATCCAAAGCACCTGTTCAGATTCAAACAAACTGGGGCGGCGAATCTGTAACAGCATCCAAAATTCCGACTACAAAGAACACGAAGAAGAAGACCAGACCACAAGAAAACGCACCAAATAGCAATAGCGCTATAGTAGATACAGCACAGAAGGCCGTGGTTATCACAAATACGCAAGAAGAAACGACCCCTAAATTGCGCATCGAGGTAAACAAGAAAAGAGTATTCACACTCTTGACTTCAATGTATCGAGATCTGGGAGACGATCAAGACATGCGCAATGTCCCATGGGAAGAGTTCAGGCACTCGATGGTGGAAATCGGATTCGACTGCACCAATGGAGGAGGCTCTGCTGTAATGTTCACTGCCAGTAGCCGCCTGGGTCGGGCTGAGGGGCGCAAAATCAGTTTCCACAGACCACACCCCGAGTCACATATTGCCCCGATAGTACTTCAAGTTTGGAGGAAGCGTCTAGCCAAGCATTTTGGCTTTGGAAACGATACTTTCGTGTACAAAAAGCCCGAAAACACCGATAGCCAGAGTGATCTTGTTTCTAAGTCCTGAAATGTGACTTGAGTAGGTATGCACTGCAAAAATAGTCAGTCTGCCCACCAGCATACTTTTAGAAACCGACACGAACATAAATCGTGGTGTCAGTGTATCTCTCCACTTGCTAGGTCATCGATATCGTCTTCGCCCTACGTCATATATCTCACGATTCAATCGGTGCTCTCTTTTCCAAAATTATACGGCCAACAGTTGTTTGCTGAGGCAAGCACGCACACCGTCTCCTGCCCTCGAGATATCTCCGATTGACAAACTATCCAGGACAGTGCAACTCTTGTTTAGGATAGCCTGACCTTTCACTGACTGATACTCTGTCGTAATGAGGTCCTCCGCCTGTCAAGAAAACTTCTTTACCATTTGTCAAACCATCCTCACTCTCAGTCTCCACCATTATGTAATTCGCGATCTGGGTTTGCGAAACCGTCCGGTATCTGGTATATTGGATAGGATTGGGCGTTGCTGGATTGGGTCTATTTCCTTTTTCATTTCCTTTCAAATCTTTGTTCTTCACCCCCATGTATGTAGAATATCTCAGCACAATCAACTCTCTTCTCCATGAAAACAATTGTGAATACTGCGTTGTGACCCCCTGATACGCACATTAATCTCAGACACCACTGTTCGCACCAAGTCCTCAACGAATTATGTCCGTGACCTCTCATTGCAGGTCTTACAGGTACCCAAGCAGACGTCGACCGAGAAACCCAATTCCCCACTGCAAAAGTATGTATGATTCGACATGGCGTCTGTTAAGCGTCGTATATGGTTCGCAGATTTTGCCACGGTATGGTACACAACTCTAATGGATCTACAAATGTTCAGTTAGTAGTTAGCAAACGCCATCATCATCATCATCATCATCATCATCATCACCGTCAATGAGCAACGCGTATTCCAGCCCGTCTGTTCAGCCTGGGATAATCGTAACTATCACTGGCACAGCCGTACAGGCTCTCTGTGGCCAATTGTTCAGTGTAGCAAGCTCGTATACACCGGCAAGTGCCCAATGATTGATCGATTCTTCATTTCTTCCCAATTGTTGATGGTTGAGGTTTGTGAAGTGCGTTTCCTTTCCTTCAACGTCTCTACCTCACAGCAAATACTCAGTAGAAGAATCATATTGTCTAGAATTATCGTGTTTGTTTTCTTGATATACTGTAATTATAACATTTTTGATAGGAAGTGAGAAAGATTGTAAGTAATGTGTGTTCTGAGATAAGTAAACAGTGCTTCTGTTCTTCGAGTTCAGCTTCTGAACTGTATCACGTGACCTTATGTGACCGGGCTAGACTGCACTTCCAACAATCAAAACTGAAAAAAAAGATAGAAAATTTCGAATTATTATTTTAATTCCTTTTATTCCAGGTTTCGTTAATAATCTTTGAAATAATATAATTTTAGAAATGAGAGTTATTATAGATTATTAATATAAATCTATTTATTGAAGTAAATATTCAATATTCAAGTAAATCAGAAAGGAGAGTGTTGAATTAGAAGAATATATCTTTTTCTTTAATTTACATTGTTTGAATATTATTTCGATAATTAAAAGATAAAAGGAAAAATCTGGTATTAAGTATCAAAAAAAAAAGTCCAAAACAAAGGAAATATATCCTTAGGTATTTATAATTCTGAAATTGATAAATTGATAAATATAATCAATTGAAGAATAAGACTAAAGATGCTTTATATCTCAGGAGAAGAAAAACCGATGTTAAGAGAAAGTTAATATCAGGTGACACCCAGGAACAACAACAACAACTAACAACTCACAGCCAGAAGCCAATCCCAACCCACAACAAATTAAAACGAAACGAAAATCTACACTCAAACACAACTCACACCTCACACCTCACACCTGATAACCCAACCCAACCTCAACAAACAAACAAATCAAAACGACTCTCTACACTCAAACGAACTCGCAACCATAGGATCCCCTCCCAAATAAGCTGCCACCAACGGCCAAACGCACAAATTTCTCTCCACCACACTCCCATCCACTCCCGGCAAGCTTTTCGCCGCCAAAACATTTGGTGCAATCCCCTTCTCTACCCACGATACCAAAGCTCCCAATGCAGCCTCCGGAAACGGTCCATTTCCATCCCCACAATGCTGTACGCCCGGCGCCTCAAAGAATCTATAAAAATCCCTCACATTCGCATCTCTTTCCTGTACTTTGCTATAATAGTCTAACGTGCCATTTGAGGAGATTACATGATCTGCTAATCCATGCCAACTGATGATTTTTCCCCCTGTTTCTTTGTATGCGCTTAGATCCGTGTCGGAAGTTCCGATTATCGATGCGAATTCCTGGATTGAGGAATGGAATATGCGGGTGTATTCCTTGTGCGTGATATTTTCCAGGGGAAAACTAGCGTTTTTGAGAACGAACAGAGTAATCCAATCCGAAGAGAGAGGAAAGGGAGTCGCTGTACAATTGGTATTGGGCGATGTACAAGTTGTCATGGCGATACCGATACTGAACGGAATACTGAGCGGACTGGAAGGATTCAAACCATACCAAAGGAACGACCCATCATCTGACGTCGGGCCATCCCACGCCGCTTGCGCAATTTTCGCAGCTCCGTCGGAAATATACACGGAGCTTTCATCTGCACAAGTCACGTTCCTTCCGATCGTTTCGTTTGCTTGGAAAGTGCATAGACCCGGCGCACTCACTATCCCATCTATAACTCCATCCAGCCCATCACAAGCCGCGATTGCCGCAGCAGTAATCCCGTCCAGTTCGCATACACTCGGATATATACCCAACATGTGCATAACAAACGGAGGCCAATAGTCCGCTACCATAAGCTGAGACCAATTGATTGCAGGCGCCCCAGCCAATATACCATTGAATGCCTCAGGATATCTCTGCGCCATCATCATACCCTGTCTTCCTCCTTGCGAACATCCATTCCAATATGAATAATCCGGTTCCTTTCCATAATACGAAGCGGTGATGGCTTTTCCAACGATCGCCATATCATTCAAGGATACGGAAGCGAAATCTTGGAGGAGATACAGATTTACGTTTCCGGGGGATATAACAGCCCAGTCAGACATTACAGAGGAATCCATGCCTTCGTCTTCAGTATGCCCGCCATCTGTGCCAGCGGCGGCATATCCTTCGGATACGGCAATGGCAATAGCGGAGTCGAAACCTCCGGTGGCCATTGACCCGCCGCCTGTTCCTAGAAATCGTCCGTTCCAGGTTGAGGAAGAGGGTAGGAATATTTTTACGTTGATGCTGTCGTTTTGACCCGGATGTGTATATGTAAGTGTTACATTACAAAAGTCAAGTGAAGTGATTGTGGCGAGATGCGAGTTTGCTTCAGGAGTGGTGGTTGTGTAGTTTACTACGGGTACCGCCGTTCCATGGAGGAATGATGCGCCGGGTAGGTGTGGATAGGGGAATGTAGAGATGTCGCAAGTATTGTTCATTGTATTGTTCATTGTGTATGTAAAGTGGTTGTGAATCGAAAAGATGCGAGAATGATGAGTAGATATTTTCAGTTGATAATGATTATATTTATATATATATATATATTAATCTTTCGCAGCAGCAGTCATACATGAGAAAGGGGGAGCCGCAGCCGATTATGTCGATCACTTTGCAAGGCAATATAAATTGATCCTTCAATCTTCCATTGACAACGGATTTATGGAGTCGAATTACCGTATAGTAATTTTGCGAATGTATACGGCGTATACATTCGCATACGGCGTATACATGGTTATGCATATGCAGGGTTTAGTGATTTAGCGGCCAATTAGCTTTATATTTCATACGCCATTTCAAGCCTCATTCCGAGTCCTATTATTAGGATCCCGTGATATCAACTTCTGAATGGAGTCATTTACTACTACATATAATCATTAAATAATTATAATTCAATAACCATTTATCAATTGAACCTGAAACTTATTATTCAATATACCTCCATCATCTAATAAACCTATATTAAAAGAAATTAATCAAAATATTATTATTCGTTGCTCAATACAAATTATCATATGAGGGGATTCAGAATGAGATTGAAATTCTGATTATTAATCGATTCCGAAAAGCCCTCTGATCTGAACCCCTTACCCCATATACATACTAACTAGCTGCTAAATCACTAAATCCTGCATATGCATAACCAATCTTGCGAAGGTTATCTTACTCCAGTAATCATGCATCGATTTGGTAGGTAGCTGGAGGGTAAGCCATTCCCTATTGAGCGGGGAAAATATGCCACGAATGAATACCGAAGGAGCATGTAAAAAGTGGGTTCAAGTTTGCGCATTCGTATTATCGTATTCTCGTATTCTCGTATTCTAATCGTCGCCCATACGCGTATCAGTATCTATCAATACACGGTCAAGTAACCGCGTACTAGCATTCGAAGTTTTCTTCAAATTGCTAATACCCTGTTGAGAAATCTTGAGATATCGTAAATACTTCCCACATCACGAATAACCCAAATCATACTCGTATCGTCTTGAGATGAAGTATTGTTGGTTAACACCTTCCTTATCATTAATACCTCCTTCATCACGGATAATCCAAAACCAAAATGGCCATGCCGATTGCTCAGTCACATCCATAGCAATCTTCATGTCGGAAGTCTTTCGGAGTCCCTGGAAACCTCTCGACTTCTGAATCCCATCCATACCAGAAACACCCTTCGAATCCCTACTGCCAAATGACAATCTCTTCCACCACCCCTCACACTCCATCCAGTCCCTCAAAAAGCCTAACCCCCCAATCATTCCCGGGATTATTAAATCTACTCATCCACTTCCTCCCCACAAACCTCAACTTTGTCAAATCTGCATGCGTCAATTGACACGTCACCGCTTGCAAATTCTCCGCAATCCAACTTTTATGACTGCTCTTAGGTATCACACTAATTCCCCTATTCATATTCCATTTTAGTGCCACTTGAGCTGGGGTGCAATTTCTCCTGTTGGCTATCTCTTGGAGAATTTTGTTCTGGAGTAGAGGTGGTGCTTTTTTTCTTTCTTCGGTTTCTTCTTTTTCGGTTTCTCTGTCTTCGTTCATTTCTTCGTTCATTTTTATGAGTGTAGATGGGGATAAAGATGAGTGGTAAGTAGGATTAGTATTTCCCAAAGGAGAATAAGCCGTCATTTTTATTCCAAGGGCTTTGTGAGTAGCAACCCAAGCAGATTGCTGTAAGTAGGGATGGAGTTCCATTTGATGCGTATAAGGTATGATACCAGTAGAAACGACATTTTTGAGTTGGAGGGGGGAGAAGTTAGACACGCCGATGCTGAGAACGCGGTTTTTGGGGAGGGAGATTAGAGATTTGTAGGTCTGTTTGGTGTTAGTTGGGCAAGAAATTCGGAGAGAGTGTGAAGGGACGGACTTGTACGTGATCGAGCGATTTGGATCCGTCGGGGGAGAATCCAATGGGCCAGTGCATGAGATATAAATCCAGATACTCAAGTCCAAGATCTTCGAGAGTCTGATTTAATCCCTTTTCCACATTCTCATAATCTCCATGACTATTTTTACCAAAGTATTAGCTTCCTAACAAATTTCTCGCAATCAATTTCCTGAATCCGAGTTAAAGAGTAACATACCGATCATTCCAAAGCTTACTCGTGACCCAGATATCCTCCCTCTTCAATCCCGCCCTATTCAACCCCTCTTTAATCCCCCGTCCTACATCCACTTCATTGTTATACGCAGCTGCACAATCAATCTGACGATATCCAATTTCAATTGCGTAGGCGACGGCTTCGGTGGTGTTTTCAGGGGAAATGTTTAGATTCCATGTTCCAAAGCCGATTAGAGGCTGTGGGAGGGATTGTGTTTGGGGTGGGGGTGAGGTTAAGGGGGGGAATAGTGGCGTGATTGGATGTTGTTGGGGGAAGGCTTGAATGGCGTGGGTAGTGGTGAGGGAGAGGGAGAATACTAAATGAAGGAGGTTGATGATATGCATGGTTGATGGACCTAATCGATGAAGCTACCTAGATTTGAGATAGTATCTAATTTTGGAGCGAACTATAGGGTTGTGAAGTGCGTTGTTGGCTGTGTTTAATGGGTTGATCATTATGACGTTGGGTCAAATTGATCAGACAAAAGGGGGGTTCGCGTGGCTGCTGTGGCGCTGTCCCCGGTGCGCCAACTTACGACGGAGCGACTGCGGAATAATGAGTTTCCGTTCGTGTTATCACGTGATTTAGATGAGTCTTCCAAAACTCTCCGGCGTTTACCACAAAGACTTTTCACCTCCTGCTTGAATATCTTCAGGATATCTAAGAAGAGTTGGCTTGGAGATAGGATAGTGATACCAGCATTCACATTACGATACGTCACATGATAACCAAATCCCAAGAAAGGTAAAAGGCTCGTTTACACCTCTCTCTTGCACTTCTCCTCTCCTCCCCGTCTCTTTAATCCAACAATAATCTCAATTCATACAACACATCAATACATCGGGGCAAAATCTTTGCGAGTCATACAAAATTAGACAAAATGAATAGCGGTATCTTTTTGGAATTCGATGGTTGTCATTGAGCTGAAGTTTGTACAGTATCGCGAATGGAATCATTCAAAAGACATTCCAATACACATGAGCTGAGCTAAGCCTGTGTGTGCTCCATGTTGCCAAATAACGGAACCGGGTTCGACCAGCCGTTCCCACACATATTGATCATCTTCAAAGTCGGCAAGATGGTGGAAAAATTACATTTCCATGGTCGTGGTAGTAGCTTTATGATGGTGAGCATGATTCAGTATGGTATATGTATTGGCAACTCACGTGAAGCGTTATTCCCTCTTTTGAGATGGGCTGATGTTCTTGGTATCCTTATACTCTGATATGTATACCAAACCATCAGCTTTGTTTCTCGCCATTCTATATCCATCCCTTAACCTCTAATTGACCTCGAGGTAATGAGACCAGCTCTATTCGCCCTCAATTCACACTGCTTCGCGGTTCCAGCTCCCCGGTGCCATCTTCCACCATATATGAACATGAACCATTGATAAGGGCCGAGCTCGAGCCTTAAACACTGCCGCTCATCTCGACCGACTTTTTTGGATCTAGACTGGAAGCATTCCCCGTTTCCACTTTATCCACCGAACTATTGTTACCCCTTTCATCACGAGAACCATTGTTCGACTTCACGACCGGCTCATAAACCGTCTCTGTATCATTCCCATGCCGATGTCCTCCAGTATGCAGAGACATTCTGAGAGCTTCGGGTTTCTCAGCCGCCGGAGTATATAATTTAATGTATATACTTGAACGAGCCGGCATCTTGTGACTGAGAGCAAGCAGTGAAAAGATTCGGTATCGCGATGGGGATGCGAATATCGGGAGATGACATCCAAATTATCGAAACTTCGATCTACCTTTATATAACCTCCTGTCTGAAATAAGATACATGTTAAAGGCCCGAATCTCGTATTGGAGCATAATATTCATCACCTCGAAAGAGTTTCTCTCGTCAGAGATGGAGCTCCACTTACATATTTAAATTTCCTTATCCACATACCAAGCCGTCAGCCTGCAGTCGTATTACCAAGTATACGTCTCACCGTTGAGGCATCAGAAAATCCTCCGTGCCGCAACGCCCTTCTTGATGGAAGTAAGCAGCCCGCATCCCTTGTGAATGATATTTGCATGGTTGTTAGTACGATCATAAGATGTGTACATGACGGATTGGAGCACTTCGGAAGTTTACCATTGTTTCTCTGTCTTTTTTCGCCCAATGGGTTTTCTGAGAGTTTGGAATCTACTTTCGCAATGCGAATTGTCGGTGAGAATATTTGATGATATCACCACCAACTTCTTTGCCAAAGCTATTATTAGAATAAAATGTTCTCATGGAATTGAGAGTCTCTTGATCAGTATCCTCCCCAATCATCATTTGAATCAGCAGCGTTCCACAAGTGTTACCGTTATCTTCCTCAGGCCACCTATTCTCATCTCATCTCACTTCATCTCATCTCATCACATCTCACCATCCCCAACAGCATCTTATGTAATGCATGCACTATGCACCATCAACCACCACTCATCACATCTCACATCTTACATATAATAAATAAATCATCTGCAGATGCTAGAGTACATTGATTGAAATAGAATAGACTGGACCGTCACCCTCGTACTAAGTTAAATAAGTGGAAAGTTCGGTCAGATCAATATAATACTGTATAACGTTGCTGACCGTAACCACGTATATAGTATGTACGTACCAGTCACTTCATATACATATCATCAATACCCACTTTCAATCTACAGAGAGTTATTTTAGTGACATATTCCAGCTCACCACAACATAATATACATCATATCTCATGATTCTCATCCATAATCCGTGTCGTGTGCGGCTCTATATATAACGTACCATAAGTAAGCAAGACATACATTCAATCGTTCATTCCTAACCAATAAAATAAGTAGTAAGGAAGCCCAAGCATCTAAGCGGCCAAACCTCACAATGTATATATTGGGGGCCATCCCATCCCATCTCGTGACTAGATGTTAGAATAGAATAGCTTGCTCCGGCTCGGCTCGGCTCGGCTCGGCTCGGAAATATTCATATGGTATTACGGTATTACGGTATTGCGGATGGAATGTGTATGGTGTTTTGTGTTTTGTGTTTTGTGTTGTGTGTTGTGTATTGTTGTACTCGGCTGAGTGTAGTACTTGGGTAGTTGTGGATTCTTTTGTGTGATGTTCAGGTGTGTATGTCTAGGGGTGTACGATTGGCTGTGTATGATATGAAATGATATCGAGATGTCGGCGATGATGGTATGATGGATATACTCGAGTAATGAATATAATATAGTATATGATGCTGTGCTATTTGGGTTGTTTGTGGGGTTTGTTTGTGGGGTTTTTGGGAAGGGGAAGGCGAAGGGGAAGGCGAAGGGAAAGGGAAGGAGATAAGTAGCAGGGTGTCGGAGCATAGTGCTGGTTTGAGCATGAGCATGAGGATAAGTATATGTATATAGTTTTTGAACATCATGGTCGATATACGAGAAGACTGAGCAGTTGGCAGTTGGCACGCAGTCAGATTGAGGATGATAAAATCATTCTTTCTTGTATATTTCATGAAGATTAAATACTTCAATTCTTATCATGTAGCTAGCTGTATAGGTAGGATTGTGATTTTTGTAATTGCTTAAAGTATAATGATCTAGCTCATTTTGTTTTATATAACAATCTAGTTCTCTTTTATTATTTATAAGTTTTTAATAGGTTTTTTGAGAGAGAGGGGGATGAAACATATATATGATTGGACAAATCGAGGAAAACAATTTTTTATATATTTGTAATTTATTTCTTGAGATTAATATTTTGAAGATTTATCAATATTTTATCTTTTATATTGAGTATCAAATTAAGATGAATATTGAAATACTCAGTAGTCAAGTTCAAAAGATCTAGTTTTATTGATTGATTATATATAAATTATAGTAAAGTATATAATAACGATGCTATACTATTAGTATGCTTTATTACAACCTAGCTCTACTTTATATAAAGTGCCCAACTTGAACCCTATACCTGTACTATATTATACATCATCATGTATCTTTACATTTGAATAAAATCCAATCCAATCCAATCCAATCCAATCCAAAATTATACAATCATCACGTACACGGTCTAGATTCACCCGTCCTCTCGACCGAAAATTCAAAAAGACCAATCCCCTCATCCCCAGAATACGTTTCCCCTGTCTTAGCTAAATCACCCAATTCTCTCAATTCCCCCTGCACGTTCCAAGCCCCGGTCATACCCAAGCGTTCCCAAACTTCCCCCCATAACCGCACCCAGCTATCCTCATCATGCAACCATCTGCCCTGTTCTCCCTGGCCCCCTCCCACTTTCCCCACCATGCATCCGACAAATAACGAACCTTCTTGATTACTCATCAAACGCACGACATTCTCACATACGAGAAGTTGTTGGTCCCATGTGAAGAGGTGCATGAAGAGGGCGGCGTGGATAATTGCAAATTTATGGATTAGTTTGCGGAAGGTGAGGAGGAAGAAATTGGGGTCGAGTATGTTGGCGGGGAGGAGGGTGTAGGGGTGAGAATGGTCCTGGAAGATTTTAAAGGAGGATTTGAGGAAGGAGGCGTTGTAGTCGGTGCCGTAGAGTTGAGTGGGGGGAATAGAGGCATGGTGAGCGAGGGAGCGGAGTCTGGAATGGGGAAGGGGGGTTAGTGTGTGATGTGATGTGTTGTGTGGGTTTTGGTGGTAAGGTGGTGAAGTTATGAGGTAGTGAGGAGGTGAAAGGGGGAATGGTGTGGGCGGGAAGAAGAAAAGAGGAGGGATGAAGGGGAGATTTTATGAAAGGGTGGTGCGGGGAAAAGACATACTCTTGAGCAACACAACAACCGAGATCGAGAAATAGGGCTGGTGGACTAGTCGGCGTTGAAGGTGTGGAGAGAGTTTTTACGATGCGGGGATAGAGTGGGTGGGTCAGGAGACGCAGGGTTAGGAAGGAAAAATTGCCGATGGAGGGGTAAGGTGTTTGGTACCAGAGGAAATCGCGCTGTGGTATTTTAGCTGCTGCATTAATAAACAATTCCATAATTTGTCCATAAACCTCTTCATGGTTTGTGGATGATATATAATTAAAATTATAGAAGAATGGAAATTATGGATGGAAGAGGAAGAGAAGGACGAGGAGGATATATATAGGAAATATTGGTAATATATAAAAGAGAAATGCATAAGATATGAGAGCATATGATATACCCAAGATAATCAATACAAAATAAAAACACATACCATGGCATAAACATGCGCATCGACATCTCCAGGAGCTATGTGACTATAATTTTCCAATAACTCGCGGGCTTCGGGCCCAAGACGTTTTCCGAGTACGGTGTGGTACCATGGTTTGAGGGTGGAATATTTGTCGGGTTTGGAGGATGTGGTGGAGGTAGAGGTGGAGGAAGAGGTGGGTGGTGGAGAGGGGGGAGGAGTACCGAAGTCGAAGAATTCGGGGTTGAGGGTTGGGATTAGGTGGAGGGGGGGAATCATATTTGGTGGTGGATTTGGTTTGATTGATGGGTGTGTGTGTGGGAGGAGGGAGAGGGAGAGGGGAGGAGAGATGAATGTGAGAGGGAATCGGGGGGGGAAGGGAGGTTAATGAAGTTTAAAGAGTGTGAATAGAAGGTAAGTAAGTATATAAGTAAAATAAGACTAATTCTTGCAAATATAAAAAAAAATTGAGAGCGACAAGCCAACGTCGAAGCTATTCAATCATTCATTCATTTGAATATGATATAATGAATGCATGCAAAGTCCAAGTAAGGTCACACAAACATACATAACCCAACTCTAGAAACATTCCCGATGCGATGCGGCTCTGGATGTATATATATACAATACCTAGTATAATATAAACCCAGCCAAGCAAATTATCCACCCATTCTTCAAGACGGAGATTTTAAGTCAGTAGTGGTGTAATGTGGATGATTGGTAAGGAATTTGCTGACATGGAGTATTGTTCTTGAAGCTAGTTTGGGCACATATAATAGCTTTGTTCCTTTTTGGGTGGTGATATAGATAAAGGGTTCTTATTGTTACCCACTTGAAGTTTGAGTGAAGGGAATAATGGGTATTCGAGTAGATATAGTAACAGGCTTCAGGGTTTGATGTTTCTTTTTTGTGCTGTGCTGTACTCGAGTATAATGATATTGGTTAATGCGAAAAGTGGAGAGAAAGAATATAGCCGATGGGTGGTGCATGTTTGGATTTTGGATGAAGGTGGGAGGTGGAACGGAAACGAAAGGTGTGAAGGTGTGGCTAGAGAGTATGAGTGGCTGGAGATAAAATGGAAGTTCGAGAAGTTCGAGAAGCTTGCGGGAGGGTTTTGTGGGCTGGCTGACTAGATCAATGCTTGATATATGTATATCTCGTCAAAAACAAAGGCTTTTCTCAGATATTGGTATATGGATATTATGAACAAGGGGGGAGGGGGGAAGGGCTATACAACGTTCGAAAGTTCGAATGACGAAACAAAAGAAAGGCAAGCTTTTAGGGTTGGAGGTTGGAGGATGGAGGTTGGAGGATGGAGGTTGGAGGTGAGATTGGAGTTCATTTCCACATCAGATTCGACTCCGAAAGTCTAGGTCCGAGAATGGGTGGGTGAGTGAGTAGGTGCCTATACTTGAGTATTGAATCAAAGATTATCAATAATTGAGAATAACAGTATAGCAACTTCGAGAAATCACTATATTGATACACTCTCTCTTCTGCGATACAGCCTTTCTGAGGTCTTGTGATCTACTTGATACAAATTCATTCGTCCCTCTTCGTATCCAGCATTTGCGAACATTTGCAATCATCTACACCATGATTAGTTGCAACAGCAATTCGTAGACTGTAAAAGCTTGGTAAGCTATCCATTCGCTCATACTATAACGTCGATCATATTCAAACCACATCACCAAGCTTTAAGTAACGCATCTTGTGTCTGGAACGTCGTGGCATTGATTTACTTTTCGTAGCTACTGCACATGATTTTCATGCTGCTTTCCCAGTATTCATATCATCACAACCCTCCCGATCAGCATCCCCAAAACCACATGAACCCATTGTACGATAAAGAACCCATTTAGAATTTGCTGAAAGACTTGACAGCCTTGCCAGTTCGGGGAAGGACACGGAGAACATTGAAACGGACCTAATCAAAATGCTGTTAGCCAAATTCAACCTGCCTGTCTTACAGAAATAAGAAAAGTATGACGCTCTCAGAAATAACCCAGAGATTTGCGCAAATTGATACGTACGGTCTTGCTCAATGGTCTACATTGTCCAACTGTGACTTGATCACCCTCCTCAACACGGAAAGCTGGGGAAACGTGGGCAGCGAGGTTCTTGTGTCTTTTCTCATATCTGGCGTATTTTGGGATGAAGTGGAGGTATTCTCTGCGGATGATGAGGGTTCGGTGCATCTTGGTGGAAACAACAGTTCCGGTCAAGATACGACCACGGATGGAGACGAGACCGGTGAATGGGCACTTCTTGTCTGTTGAAAGTTTCTCGTTAGTGTTGCGCTCTTCCTTTCAATTCTCGCGATCCTCCGCAGTTCACTTTTGACATCCACAATTCCCATTCCGATCTCAAACAAATATAGTCCAGTTTTCGAATTGTCGTATCGCGTTCTTCTTTTATTTTATTTCCTTTCCCAATCCCGTAATTTCATAAAAAAGTCCACATACCGATGTAGCTTCCCTCAATGGCGGTCTTTGGGGTTCTGAATCCTAATCCAACCTCCTTGTACCATCTTCGGCCACCCTTTCCAACCTTGCTGGACTTGGTCTTCGACTTGGAGTTAAGGAAGATGTGAGGTTGCTTTTGGAAAGCGCGCTCCGATTGTACGGTAAGTTCGGTGGCCATGGCTGCGAAATTTGGTCGAGGGTCGCTGGTGGTCGTCGATATTGATAGGATTGATGCGTCTTAAATTTTTCATTGTGGGAAAAGAAGCAATTGGCTAAGCGAGTTTGAAGGGTCATGTGACTAATCAACACTTTAAAGTCTTTAACCGAAGTTGATCCGAAACTTCCCCATTTTGACTTAGACGCGACTTGTTTGTTTACTTTGCTTTATTTCGCTTCGGCATAGCAACACCAAGACAAGATTTCCATGATTTCTTTCTCAAATTTCATGACTAACATCTAGGAAGTATTTTATAATACTTTGCACAATTGATACTTGAGAATATTCAAAATGTCTTCTTTGCAGGAGGCCACCCTCCCCGCAACTCGTCGTCCAAAATCACGAAAGTCCCTATCTGCCATACCTGCCGACAAAGAAAATATGACAGCGGAACTTGGAGCACTTACTGGGAAGAGAGCACCAACTGAAAAGCCGGCAAAGAAGTCAAGAAGCAAGAGTATTGGTCCTGGTGGATTAGATGCGCTCAAAGATACTACTGGAAATCGGCGCAAGGTAAGAAACGTGCTACGTGTTGGAGGTAAAGAAACGAACTAAAGAAATGTATAGTCCCTGGCTACGATACCTCAACCTCCTCCAAGATCAATTCTAAAGCCTACAATGCCTCCTCTGCGTGAGATTCCGGCGCATAATCCCAACAAAAGATCAAGTCCAAGAAAGGCCAAAACACCTTCACCACCTGTTCCAGCATCAGAGTTACTAATTGATTTCGGTGTTGACGCTGGCTCAAAGACTTCAAACTCTGAAACACTTGATGATTCATTTCATATCGACATACCGAAAAGAAACAATGATAATCGAGTCGCATTGAAAACAGAGGAAGAACAACAAGCCGCTGTTAGGGAAAGGGAAGAGAAAGAGAGGGCTGCTATGCAGAAAGAAGTCATTTCCAGACGAGATGCCCGACGCAAGTCTCTTGCCAATCGACGTGTTTCATTTGCGCCAGAAGCAACACTTCATACCTGGGACGTTGTTGTAGAATACCAGGATTCAACAACCTCATCAAACTCTACCAATTCCACCCGCCGGGCCTCGAATGTTACTGAGGGATCGGTTGATACCCCGCGCCAGCAAAAGTCTGGACCACCTACCTCAGATCCTTCGGAGCCTCCATCAACCCCACCGGAACAAATTGAAGAGGATACAACGACTATCTCACCAGAACATCAACGAGACCTACATCAAAAGAAGCGCCGAAGGAGTTCAGTCATACCTCCTATGAATTTCAACGACCCTAACGATGCTTTCTCATCCAGTCCTATGAGTGGAAGTTCCGTGTGTGCTGAAGATGTTGAAGACGATGAATTTGCATCTAGTGACTCGGATGATGACGATGGAACTCGGATGACTATGGACGGCGGGGAAACAACAAATATGTCAATGGCATCAGTTCAATCATCCTTTAGTGCTGGCTCAGATACCAGACTAGAACAGTCCTTGAGGCGGGCCACAAACCAAGCCGGCACACAGGCAATAGATTTTGATGAGCCAGGAGATACTAAAATGAGTGAAGATGATGAGATCGTTGCTTCTTTTGCTCCATGGACAAAGAAGGCCCCTCTAGAATCACAACAAGATCAAGAGAATATAAATCCTTTCACATCAGCAGCCAAGTCGGATATTCAACCAGAGTCAGATCAATCAGACGGATATGAAATGACGATGGATATGGATATGGACATGACTAGTCCAGTTGGTAGAATCTTACCAGGTCAACAACGGGAAGATGATGAGCTTTCCATGGACGTAACCCGTGCTTTCGGTGGGATTATTCCCAATAGCCAACCAGGAACGAAACCTAAAGCTGGCGGCCGTCTTCAAAGTACCCGTAGAATATCAACATGGGAGGAATCGGCATTCGGCGAGCAGACCATGGACTTGACTACTGCTCTGGGAGGCATTCGTACAGCTGAAGAGGAGGAAGAGGTATCTGAAGACGAGGATATGAGTATGGATTTTACATCAGCAATCGGCGGCGTGCTATCACAACCAGCTGCAATCAAGAACAGACGACGATCAGCTGTAGCCCCGAAGTCACAATCTAAGCCAGATCGCGAAAGCTTAGATTCCTTGGCTGGCGATGAAACAATGGATATGGACATGGATATGACTGCGGCAGTGGGTCGTATCATGCCTTCTAATACGGACGAGAACGAGGAAACGGATATGGATATAGATATAGATGTGACGGTTGGTATGGAAATGACAAAAGCGCTAGGTGGTATCCTACCACAATTGAACGCCGGAGATCGTAACCAAGCAAAAAAGATTATGGAGATGGAAACAGACTTTGGTAGCTCACCATTTCGAGTAGATGTTCCCGCCAACTCTACACCAAAATCTATTAACCACCTTGCTCTGCCTGAAGCACCTAAAACTGGCAGCCCCAACTTCACAGCCGGATTCAAAGGGAACGGTCTTCGTAGAAGCACTGAGCGTATGTCTACCACACCTCAATCTAAGATGTTAACGCCAGTCAAGAAGCCTACTACTCCGCAAAAAGAAATCACCCCACAACCTGCACAACCCTCTCATCCCGGCAAAACTCCACCCTCCAAGAATGTTCTCATGAAGACAGGATCGCCCAAGAGACTCTTTAGGTCTGATCTCAAGGAGTCATCGATTACCCCTTGTGCATCCTCAAGTAAAAAACAAACACCCAACAAGTTATTCAAACAAAATAGCAATACGGGTCTTGCAACACCTAACTTCATTTTAACACCGCAAAAAAGATTGTCTACTGGCATTGGTCTGGATAGAGTAGGACTAGGCTCGCCGAGGGTTGCTGCATTGTTAGATCGACGCGGATCAATTGGAGATCAAGCACGAATATTTACCCCTACTAAGCCGGCAGACGTGAACCGTGGTGTACGATTCCAAGATCCTCGTATCATGGAAAGAGAACTTGACCTCGAGCGAGAACAAGAAGAAGATCGTGAGAATGGTCGCAGGATAATGGAGCGTGAAGCAGATCAAGGTGAAGGGGAAGAAAAAGATGTAACTTTGAACCTCAAGGAAATGATAAGCAGTCTCACTCCTAAGAAGAAGTCAATGAAAGGCCGCAAGAGTCTACATGCCGGTGCCGCAATAGGAATCCTAGGTAAACGACCCGCTGAGTTGGATGAGGATGACTCGGATGAAGATGAGGGCGGTATAAAGCGATTGAGAATCCGTCAGGGCAGTCCTGTGAAGAGCGTCCATCTCCAAGGACAACCCACCAAAGAACAAACAATGACTGGACGTTTGACCCGCGCAAGTAGGAAGAGTATGGAAAATTCGACTATCGCTTCCACCACTCCTACTACTAACACGTCGCCTATCAGGGGAAAAATTACTACACCACATGATCAAGGCCGTTTCAAAGATGCAGAAGCCAACCTGACTGAGCCGGTGGCAATCCCATTCGAAGAGACCGCACCGGTTGAGTATCCACAACTCCCCGAGGAAACCCTAAAAGATGAAAGCATACAATTGCAGGACTTCTTAAACATGACAAGCATTCGATTCATGGAACTGACAACAACCAAACGAAGACACACGATCGCACCAAAACGTGTTAGTGATGGACCGATAAGAAATCGATTATCGGATCAAACCAAGGTTTCTCTCGAAGATTGTGTTGCAGCGGGCGCCGCTACCATTCCTATGCTTGAGTTATTTCAACACGTAAGTCATCCCCAGAACCTTTTTTCATGGAGTTTGATCATACTAACATCCCTAGGCATGTCATGAATTGAAGAAGTATATATCAGATGGCCGAAAAACTGTACGTGAGATCGAGAGCGAGACCTTTGAAGAGAATCCTCCACTCTTTCGCGAATACATTTCTGCGCCGGCAGATATGAAGCTTGTCATGGACAACCAACTCAAAAATGTTAAGACACATTCTCGTTTGCTCAGTAAAGGCATGTGGTATGAATGGCGATCAACATTACTTGAGACAGTGAAGGATGAACTCGTTCGAAGTGCCGAAGGTATGATTAATGACGAAGAGATACTTGATAAACAGCAGGCACTTCTAGAGTCTGTACTCCCAAAGATGATCAAGCAAGCTCAGCAGCTTCAACATGAAGAGGCGAATCTGAAGACTGCCGCTGAAGAAATCGCTAGCTGTGATCCCGAAGAGCTTAATGAAGCTCGAGAGCAGCTGATATCTGTTGAAGCCGATGTTGATGCTAAAAGACACATGATCGAAGAATTGCAGAAACAGCTTCAGGCAAGAGAAGCAGAGATTGAAGTTGGCACTGCCAATAAGGAAACTTATCTGGAAGAAATACGTGAAGCGGAAAAGATTCGAGAGGAGTGTCGAGGTTGGAGTTCAAGTGAAATTAGTACTCTCAAAGGTATGTTTCCTGATATTCTGTCTAGTAACGGCACTAACAATTCCCTAGCAAAAGTAGATGCCATTGAGAAGAAGCACGGATGGACTATTACTGGCGTTTCTGGGACTACGACTTCAATGACTTATCGAAAGGAAATTGAACTTGTATTCGACGCATCTACATTCAAGTCAAATGCTTCGAGTAGCACTAGGAAGCCGGCTAATTCACGAATCGATCTTTGGTACATCGCCGCCAATCGAGAGTACAATCCACTACCTCTCACACCCGAGAAGGAATTCCTCCTCCAGTGTATCCGTGATCACGTCCGAAGTTTACCTCAATCAGAAACTGAAATCAGAACTCTCCTAAATTCCGTTAGCGTCGCTTGGAATAAAGCCGCAAAAGTGGTTGATGATATTCACCTACTAAATATCATATGTCCCACTGTCGTCACGAAAACATCAGATAACTCCATTCTCGTCAAATCAATGTTATTGATCGCACCTCTCACCACCAAGGTTGAAATATCATTTAGTCTCATTTGTCACAGCACGGAAGAGGGATTTGATGTTGAGATTTCCCCAGTTGCAAAAGTGGTCTACGGGGAAAGGTTTAATGAACCGAAGATGAGGGATTTCTTACTCAATAGATTGGGCAATTATGTAAAGGAGAGGGGTGATGGGGATAATGTTTCTTGGGGGGCAGCTGTGTCAGAGTTGGGAGGTAAATTGTTGGCTAGGGGAAGGAAGTGATGTATAAGAGTTGCATGACTATTCTTTATTTGGGGGGGATTTGCCCCTTGATTGGATGGCATTCATGGTCTGGATGATGATTCTAATGATTGTTATGACGTGGCGAAAAATTTGGGTTTTGGTGTTAAGTTAAGTCAAGGATTAGTGCTAGTGCTAGTGCTATAGCTAAGGAGTAAGTAAGGAGTTGTGATTTTTCGTTTGGAGTATAGGATATCAGTCTGAGGATAGGATCTAGAGAATCAAATAATTGGACATTTTTCTGCACTGATATAGTATAAACGGCGATGTCTATCCAACGCAACGCAGCGTTTTTTTTTTGGAATTTCCAACTCTTGTCTACTATCTACTACTATATTCTAAAATTTCTATTCCTTCCCCCCCCTCAGAAGTAGAAGTACCAGTATCTATATCTATATCTATATCTATATCCATCCCCCTCCCTACCCCCACCACCCCTTCCCCCACCTCCCCCACACTCCCCCCCTCAAGACGCACCCACGCCCCCACCCCCCTAACCGCCTCCACCCTATGCGCAATAACCAGCACCGTACTCTCCCTCAACTCCTCCCTCAAAACTTCCTGAATCCTGCCCGCCGTCTCCCCATCAATACTCGCCGTCGCCTCATCTAACACCACTATTGCGCTTCTTCTTAGTAATGCTCTTGCCAGTCCTACTAGTTGTCTTTGTCCTTGACTTAGATTTTTACCTGCGGAATCTATGGTGGTTTCGAGGGTCCAGTTATGGCGAGAAGCGATCTTGGAGAGCACGTGGGTGCATTCGTCGTCGCTGTGTTGGGAGAGGGGGTCTAGGTTCATGCGCATGGTGCCGGGGAAGAGAATGGGGTCTTGGGCGAGAAAAGTAATGCGGGTGCGTAGGGCGTGGGTGGAGATTTGAGAGATGTCGAGACCGTCGATGAGGATGCGGCCGGTGGTTGGGAGGGTAGTAGCGAGTAGGGAGAGAGCTAGTGTGGATTTACCGCTACCGGTGCGGCCGATGAGGGCAGTGGTAGAACCACCTTTGATGGTGAGCGAGATGTTTTTAAGGGAGGGCTCTAAGTGTGGCGCGTATTTGATAGTGACGTTTTCGAAAACGATATCGCTGCCGAGACGGGGCCAGTAGGCTGGTGGATCAATGGAGCCGGGGGGTTCTTGGTCTAGGTGTAGGAGTTCAACTACGCGTTCTACCGAGACGAATTCCATTTGGAGTTGACCGTATGATTGGCAGAGACCCCTTGTCGATCTTACGAAGCGGGCTGCGGCGGCTAGAACGAAGGCTGTGAGACCTGGTGAGAGGTTTTGGTAGACGGCGATGGCTGTCATGAGGAAAGTGGATATGGCGGAGAGGATGCTGAAGCGGAATTGGAGCCATGCTTGTAAGGACCAATAGAAGTGATCCATTTTTTGAAAAACATCCGTTACTTCAATAACTCGATCTTGAAAACGACGTTGTGCACAAAAAGCACGTATCGTACCGAGTCCTTCGGTAAGCAAGCCGAAATTCGATATCAATGGAGTCAAAGAGACCATTTCGAGACGGCGTAAACTTTGAGATGTGGGTAGGAATTGAATATATATCAACACAATCGTGATGACGAGTATGATTGCAAAAGCCAAGAAAGTTGGGGTCAGAGATCCAATCAGTAGAACAGATGTAAACCACATGATCATCAAAAAAGCAAATGATGTAAAGTGAGAGCTTAAATTTCCATCGATGACGCTAATATCCGATGTCATGCGATTCATCAAACGTCCCGCGGGCGTTACATCGTAAAAGCGGAATGTTGCATGGACGACCCTCGTCATGACCCGTTCGAAGATAGCTTTCCCAGCCGTATAGACCATCAATTGTGCCGAGGCCTGAAAAAATACAAAAGTAACGGATTGTGCAAGAGCCAGGAGGAAAAATCCAATTAACCATGGCTGAATGTTGGTTTCGGGAGAGGGGAGTCGACTCAATGGATCTCGAGATGGTTTTCGTGGTCCTTCGTATGCTTCTCCCCAAGCTTTCAGAAACCACGTTTCAGCAATATCGATCAGTCGATAAGCAGTCACGAACATCAAAATTAGAGCCCAATAGCTTAATTTTCCGGCTTTGATATATTCCCAATAGACTGAAGCTTTGATACCACCATGTTCTCGGTGTTCATCTTCCATAAATTTCTCCGGAATTGCTGCAGCAGTTTGATCTTTGTCTTCCTTCGGATCTTCCGCTGTAGAATTCGATGAATTGACGGTTTGTAGTAATTCAGACGGTATAGATTCAGGATCAAATACTTCTGCTGTTCCATCCGTCATTCTGATGATCTGCTGTGCCATTCCTAGACACAACTCCGTGCGATGAGTCACGAGTATAATAATTCTTCCCTCAGCCAATGAACCTGTTAGACATTTCTTGACAACTGACTCCGCTGTGTGGTGGTCAAGTGCTGAAAGGGGATCGTCGAGAAATAATATTTTCGCATTAGAGTAAATTGCCCGAGCCAACGCGACACGAGCCCTTTGTCCACCAGACAGCCCAATTCCATTCTCACCAATCAAGGATAAATCACCATTCTTGAAATTTATCATGTCTGGGATTAAAGCGCAGGCATCCAACACTTGTTTGTATCGACTTTCTTGATATGGAGCAGAAAATAAAATGTTATCTCTAATGCTCATACTTTGGAGCCATGGTGTTTGGGCACAATAACCAACTACCTCATTCACAGGTCTGAATTGACCACTAAGATGATCAAGCTCGCCAAGGAGAGCCTGTAGTAAAGCTGTCTTTCCAGAGGCCACTTCTCCATAGATAAGCGATAGTCCAGGAGGGAATGAGACTGTCATGTTTTTCAAGACAGGCTCTGTAGCTCCGGGCCAAGCGAACGAGGCATCATTCATCTCAAGTTGATTTTCGAATGATTGATTCGCCTCCAAATCCGGTTTATCTGGCTCTTTCATGAAATCTTCGATACGTCCCATGGCTATCCTGGCGTTAAGCAGGGTTGTGACAAGATCTGGTACAGTCTGCAGTCCAATTTGAAGCATTTGGAACAATTGAAGAGCAGGAAAAGCCACATCAACACGCAATGGCTGACCTGCCCAAACGCAATAAGCCCAGAAAGCTACTACGGGAAACATTCCACTTGAGAACATGTAAATGAAAGACATGAGTATTCCCCAAATTCTAGTGATTATACGCAGCCATAACTCATTCTGTCTTGCTTCCATAATGCGGGCAAGCCAAATATCCTGCCAACCGTACCAACGCAAGTGTCTACAAATCAGTTAGTCTAAAAGTCTTAATTTGATATTAGGGGAATCCCGTTCCAAAAAAGTGAACCCACGCACCTGATTGACTCAACGAGCTGTGTAATTTTGTGAAGTTTAGTATCAGAGGCTGTTCTCCGTTGTCTTTCGTAGTACAACAGAGCCTTCAACACCAGAACATTAAGAGCTTGACCTATGAAAACGGCGATAACTCCAATAAAACAAGGCCATCCGAGAAGTTTCCAAACCGCAATAATCGAAAGGATTAACCCAAGTGGTTGAGTAATGAAATCAGCAAAGTCCCAAAATCTTTTTATATATTAGTAAGATAACCAAATAATCTGAGGAATCAATTCTTACCGTTGGGCAACTTCATAAGCATCTCCTCTGTGAAAAGATTAGTGAAATGCTAAAAATGTGTAGAAGAGAAATCTAACCTCATCAAGTTTAGAATCTTGCCCATCGAGGCCGGCGCTGCTGGCTTCTTGACTTCTTTTGTTCGCGATCCACAGCATGAAATAAATGGTCTCGCAACAATATTGAATCCATTCTTCCACCACGGAAGTAAAGGCTGTTTTGTTGGACTGTCTGAAACAATTCCATTTGTTTCATTAATTCCATTTGATTCTCCATTGACATGTTCATCCTCTCTGGGCTTCGTGCTTATACTAATTGTTTTTCTTGATAATGATTTCTCAAATAACATAGTAATGAGTGCTCCACGGGATCTTTCGTAGGAACGCCTACCATACCAAGTTGCAAACACATCGCTTTGCGCAGATACAAGTCGGATGACAAGGGCAATAAGAGAGTAGGTCAATGTGGCCTGCTTTGGAGATAATGGGTTCTCCATACTGGCGAGTATTTTCTGAAGAAGTAAAGGGGCAGCGATATCTATTAAAAGAGTCAAAATTTGAAGTTTTCATGCTAAAATGACTGTGATGTGCTTACCTGCCACTGATCTATAAATACCCAAAGAAGTGAGTATAACAAGATCGATGCCTGTGACGTCGATAAGTCTTTTTAGTACCGAGCCACTCGTGTCTCTAAACTTCTCATGTAATACCCTGTGTTGAAATTGGTAGCTGAGGCTCCATACATTATCTTCATTCAACTGTTTAGTTTTTCCCATTGACATGAGAGGTGACATCCAAGACACGCTCATGAATTGCCACAGAGTAAGATTATCCTCAGGAGATCGAAGCAAATTAGTTGGTGGACTGAAGACTTGACTGATCTGATCATTACTGAGGGATGGATCACGCATGGGCATTTGCAGAATGATGATGATTGCTGCAATGGAAGCCGCCCAAGAAAGCACCAAGGGACTGTCCTTTGAACGCAAAGTCGAATATTTCTCAAGCAAAACAAAGTACTGTGAGACGAATATACTGATATAGAGCACGAGTAAAGATTTTGGTGTCTTCGCTGGTTGAATGATGATAATAAGGAGACATGCCACTACCCACGATATTATAGGAAATATCATCATTAAATGGAAATTTCGATGTAGATGAGAATGAGGATAGAAGATCGATGATAGTTGTAGAAATGTACCAAAAACTGATACACCCAACAAACACGATGTCATGCGTGTGAGCACGTGTGGCCGGCGCCTGTTGTCAAGCTCTCCAGATTTCTCCTCTGGTTCTTCCACGAATGGTTGAAGCCATGATGGCAATAATTGATGTATGGGTATCAATTGTACCAGTAATCCAAAAATTATCAAAGCAGCAATGACTGCTGGAATACCGGCTATGAATGGTATGAAGCAAGCCTCAAATCTTGCATTCACAGAATCCTGAAATTGAAGTCAGCGGTAATGAATTTGGAAATGAAAAAAGTGCAGCCATACCCAGACGCGACTACATTGATAATTATTGTTTGCCAAATCGATATCAATGTTGTGATTGGAGCCTCCTTGAATATTGAATGAAGCCATCGATATCACATCAGGCTTCAGAACGAATTGTGCCGTCATCGCCCCAGGATTTCTCTTCCAAAAGTTTTCACTCTCACTCTGATTGAAAAAGGAGAAAGGTAAGTGAAGGGAGAGATTGATACCATTTGCAAGATAAAGATATATTATGGTGAAGCTATAATATGTGAAAAGATGTTGGTAGCTATTATGTCGAAGAAGTTTTTGTGGGGTGCGTTAGTTGGTTTGCTTATCAAGGTTCACGTTTGTTTCCGGGCTAGATGATTTTATGCAGATCTCCAGATCTCCAATTAAATTGACGTATCAGATCAGAGAATTGAACAAGATATTTACTATAAGTAGTTTAGCTCAAAAATATATATATATATATTGTTCTAAAAAGTTGTTCACCGCTTCATTTGCCACTTGCCACTTGCCACTTTTTATATATCAGGTCTACCTCACCAGGTATACATACTCGTACATCTCAACATCAAATCTATCCAGCAAGTACCGGTAGCTACACGCGTATAAAGAAACCTTTGAAGGAATCAAAATAAAACAAGACAATATTACCAGCCATATGTGTTTCCACCATTGGATTTCACATTGATATTTCAATATGCTATACTGTAATATCAAAGGCCTACCTAGTTCTGGGCATTTTATGGATATGTATCGTTATATCATTAAAATTATTTATGCTTCGTTATTTATCTCTTCATCGTTTGTCACTTCATCCATTTTCCACCCCTGCAGTTTCCTCATCACAATCATCCCCCTCCCTTCCCTCTCCACCCATCCTTAATTCGCACCAGCCAACTTAAGCAACTCGGGGAAATTAGGTGTACCAAACCCAGTAGCCGGATCCCAACCTTTAGTCACCGGGAAACCCGCTCCACCACATCCCACCGCGCTTCCATCCAAAATATCTGTGAATCCCTTGTAGCCTTTACTATACAACCATGGGTTCAAGAATCCGAGAACCGGTTTGCCCTTGTGAATGAGAGCATCGTTGACGAGAGCGATGATACCGGACATCAATGGTGTTGAGGCTGATGTTCCAGAGATGGAGCCGTAGGTTTGGTTCCAGACGTAGGCAAAGTAGAAACCTTGGGCTGAGATATCGGGGTAGGCGCGACCGGCTGAGGTTTGGTTAGTTGAGTGGGACTAGGAGATTATAGACGGAAAGGGAAAGGGTAACGTACATTTATTATAAAGGCCATCGAATGTTCCATTGAGACCCTTGACGTAAGCACTTACAACCTTTTCTTGATAACTAGGTCTAGCAAAGTAATTACTGAATCCAGCACCAGTGGACCATCCACCATGGTAAACACCATTGATAGGATCAACACCGGTAGCACGGTAAGCAGCGACTTCTGGTTCAAAAAACTTGGTTGCGCCAACCGAAGTAATGTATGGACAACTAGTTGGGAAATCTGGCACAAACATTGTAGTGTTCTTTCCATCGTTGCTTACACAGGTACCGTTGACTCCTACACCAGCATCTCCACTTGAGAAGAGAATTGAGACACCTCGAGCACCAAGTTGAGCAAGTTGTTGGCAGACGCGCTTAGCGTAGAATTCGGGGACGGTTTGTTCTTCGTCGCCGTAGGATGTGCTGATGACTTGGGGAATGGCTGAATCAGGTTGTGCGAGTATATAATTTAACCAATCGGCATATGGCTCATTGGTGTTGGTATCTTCACCAATCGAGGCATTGAATGGTGGCCGTCCACCTGTTGAATAGGCGGTAATTGGAGTTGGGTAACTAATTCCAGTGATGGCTGTGAGATCAAGATTGGCTTCTTTACCTGTACCATCTAACAATTGCTCAGAGGTAAGGGTGGTGTTTTGGACTGGTCCACCATTAATTGAAACGTATTGAAATTGATAGGCAGAGGCGACTGCATCTGGTCGATATTTGAGTAAGAACAATGCATCATCTGGTCGGATTGGGACTTCTCCGAGGAAATTGTTGAAACCAATCTTATTCTTGCCAGCAGATTTTGGTTTATAATTACCAGTTCCGTAGAGCTCTTGAAAACATTGAGGTGATACTGCAGAGACGTCACATAATTTCGAAAGTGTGGTGTTTGACGGTTTGTATCCAGCTGGTGTGTACCCTTCACTAAGTTGACCTTCGACAATGTTGGTGTGTCTTGGCACAACCTTTGCTTCTCGTGGGTTATAGCTGGATTTTGGTGCAGCACGCATGAATGAAGTTGTTGGTTGAATAGCATCAATGTGCTTGTGAAGATGCATAGGAAGTGACCAATTGGGGGTACGAATAAGTTGACCACCTGATTCATGCTCATAGATGTGATATTCTGTATCGAGCAAGCGCTCGGCATCCTTGACTGGTATGGATAGATGAATCCAATCTTTGGCACCACTGTAGCTTAAACTCGACGCATTAATTCCATTATCAAGAAGCCATTCTTTAGTGGAATCAAGAGTTTGTGACGTTGGTCGAATCAATTCATTGACTTCATCGGATGTCAAATGATTACCGTATTTTTGATGGGAAGGGTTGGATACTGTAAAAGAATCAGTTTAAGTTCTTCAATATACGAGTATCATGTTCGAGAAGTTTGCGCACCTTCATATAATTGTCGCTCAAGCTCATCGAATTGACTCTGCTTCAATGCGATATTCAAATTAATGATACCTTCAGCAGGAGCACGAGTTACTCTCTTCCATTGTCTAGGAACGTAATGTCTTTCTTTGACTGCATAGTTAGTTCTTGAACGTACGACTACACCAGCGAGAGCTGTCTGAGCCGCCAAAGCTGTAGAAATGAGAAGTGAAAAGCCAACCATGATCACAGCTTCAAATGATGGTGGTTTGAATTGAGAATCAGTAGGATGATAGGATGATAGGATGTTAAAATATCAGAAACATCCAAATTTGGGAAAGCTGTCATAAAAGTACTTTTTCATCCACCTTTCCCTTTCCCACTTCCTGGTACCTCAAAGCTACTAGGTATAGCTGCAGCTTTCATGTAACTTAACTTTTGGTGAATCCCAAATAGGAAGGTGAATATATGTTATACGACATCACGATAAGATGTAAATTATTAATTGAGTATTGAAAAGTCTTGGAAATGTTGAAATAAAGCAAGTAACGGATCATGATACTATATTCGGAGAAGATTAATACTTTTCTCAAATTCCCAAACATATTGGATGACTGGAGGATGAAATGCTTGGTGAGATGTTGTGATGCGATGGAAGAATAATGGGCACTTATCCGAATTGACGGAGCTCCACCAAATAGGAAGGTGGGGTCAGGGATGTTTGTTGTCATCCATGATAATCCATGATACCAGCCGTTATTTGATAAGATTTATAACCTCAATTGATAAAAGTAGATGATATGATTGGTTAATCGTTGAAAATCCTATCCTATTCCAAACTTTCTGTTTCTGTTTGCTTGGTACTGTACCTTAAACATCCCAAGCCACTTTTCGTACCTGGCAGGAGTCAGGACGATGCACCTTCTCTCATGAAGGTGGTGTTACTGTACCATGTTATGTTGCATATGGCGACTCTGGCCAGGAACTTGGAAGTTGGAAAAAGGTTATAAGCGGATCAAACTCGGAAACAGATCCAGTGGGATGTGATGGTGTGATGACATTCGTTTGTACAAGATACTTAGGGTCGGTCGAAGTTTTCCATAGAGTGATTCCATTCCAATTGGGGGCTTGACCCCATATCAATGTCTAGAAAACAGTGATAGGATCAATATTGAAGAAAAGAATGACGCTCCGCTGGCTCTCCGAGGGCCACTGCCGTGGAGGCAGACTATCTATCTTACTATCTTACCCCTTCCCAAGTCATCCTCGAATGCGATATATACCTAGGTACTCACACTCGATATCTTCACCGTGCATCTCTTGGCAGATACTGAGTACTTTTACCCAGTAAGGCAGGTTATCGTACCTCCCAGCCTCCCGGGTAAGCTGAGTTGAAGATGTGAATGTGTCACCATATTGCACCATATCATCTCGGCCATCAAGGGGTTATCAAGTTATCATAAGCAGATCCAATTGTTCCGGGGAACTACCGCACATATCTGATATCATCTCACCGCCTTTTCAGCGGATCATCATTTTCTGCTAACCCGGCCAGTTCCCCGCCAATCCTACCCATTCTGCCCAAAATAAGCACGTGAGCGGTGAAACCACACCCAAAATCGTTTTGTTGCACATCTGAAATTTTAAGAAAATCAATCTGCGCAATCCTTCCCAATTGGGACACCAAAAGTTAAAGTTCTATGAGCTGGGAATAAGGACCATCTTTTCATGCTTATTTCCGGTGTGTCAAACATCAAATTCGAAAAAGGCTTTGTTTCACCGCTTTTATGCTTCAGTGGAGAGGGTGGCAGAATGATCTGGGTTTGTGGCAGTATTTGTGGCAGTAGAAAGCGGTGGGATGGACTACTAGAACTCCGTACATTATTCCCTCCTTCTCTTGATACAATGCTTGCTATTGTGTATATCATTTGGAGTTCATATACTAAGACTTTTTATACGATAGGTCTCAAATCATTGATGGCATTGAATCGAGTTATTATGTATCTCTATTCCAACTAGCCACCTTTTTTAAATCATGCTTCACACAGAACGCTCAATACTTAACAAACTGCAAGCTGCAAGTCTGAGTGCGGTATATACATCTACCGTATGTAAATCTACAACCGGCTAGTTAAAGCACATGTACATGATCATCGCCGTGATTCTATGGAAGCATACTTTGCGGGTTGCGAGGTAATACGAATAATTTGTTGCAGAGGGTTCTAGAGGATCATAGTGTGGCTGCGCAGGAGGTTATGGAATTTATTACGGTGGCGTGGACGGAGGGGGGGGGGGTTCATTACACTCATTCTGCATTATATATTCAATAGAACAAATTGTGGAAATGGCAGTGAAAATTGGTCAAGTAGAAGGTTCTGGAGAGCACAAATGGCTGGAAAGAAAATGCACGTGGAAGCAATACAGTATTTGGACAAGGTCAACAAACAGGAAGAAAGCCAATGTGGCTTGCGACAGAAGTTTACGACAGTTCAAGTGGATGAAAGACGAAACAAAAGGTATGCATGCATGTATCCGCAGTACTGCATTAGCTCACCTGAGATGAGGACAAACGACGTTCCTTCCCAAAACAATTGGAATTTTTAAACGGTTGCTACTTCTATTTTTTTCCATAAAAAGGTGGTTCTCAATTGACTAACAACTCGCAATGAATGGCAAAATGGCCTCCAAAGATCCACACTTCACGAATTCGCTAGAGCCAGGGCAGACCAGCTCGGATTATAGCTTTCGCGGTCTGAAGGAGCTCATGCAGATGTATGGACTCGCAGTTTGGAACGACGAAAACATGGCAAAGGCGCATCAAATCATTAATGGAATCCAATCACAACATACCGGTACTCAAACATCTGAAGGAGACCTCATCGCGAACCATGGCCAGGTCTCGGATTATGCTATGATACGCGATCAAGGCTTCAGTGGGAAAAAGGACTTCATGGAGTCTCATGGCCTCAGGCTTTACAATGATGAGGATGTTCAAATGGCACATCAGATTATCGATATGATGCGAGAGTTTGATGAGGAGTTTGGCGATCTGCCACCCTTGATTGAAGAGGAAGAATTCGATGAAGGTGTTGATCATGAACGGGTACGTGGAGATGAGATGAGAGACGTTTCTGAATCGGGTGAAGAGGGAAGCGCTTGCGAAGAATTGGAGGGGGAAAGGAGATGGAGAGGAGTTTTGTGGATACCAGTATCGGTAGTACAAGTTTGGATGCCCCGAAGGAGGAGGTTCTGCTCGATGATAATCCGGTAGGTCATGTACGAGAAGGCTTGGAGGGCGATGGTATCGGTCGTGGTCTTGAAAACTTGAGGGATGTTGAGGAAGGTTCAAATACCCTGGATCTTGAGGATGAAGAGGGCGACAATGGTGACAATTTTGATGACCATCATGGAGGTGATAATGATTATGGTGGAGCTGATGATGATGGGTATGATTATGGTGGTGATGATGATGATGATGATGGTGATGATGATGATGGGTTTGATTATGATGACAACTATGATTGAGAGGGGTAAAGGCTCGAGGAGACTCGGAAGGAGTTACCTGTATTAGCGATTTATGGAGGCCCAAACAATAATCATGGAAAACATAGAGTGAGAGAGAATCTACTTGTACACGTGACCGTTGGCACATTCTGTACATTGAGCATCATGCTTACATAATCATATCTCAACGTTAAGATTCATCGGCAAATTTTCTTGACTTGTCACTTGCAAGAAACACCTACCGGTAGCTGACTTTTAACAATGGTATTGGAAGCGATAAATTCTTTTAGACTTAAGTCGAATCATTTTTTTAGACTTAATTCGGATAAAATTAAGGAGCAGTCTTTCTACGATGATTGGCTCAAACGAAATGAGTTCGCAAATCTGGATGACTTTGGGACATGTCAGGGTCTTAATATGGGTGATGACTCAAAAAGGTTTTATGCGATGCTTGTCGTTGAGTCTGCCATGAAGTTCGAAGAAGTAAAAAAAGGAGACAGATGGCTCTCACTAAGCGGAGAGAAATACTAGTGAACTTGGCAAAATCGGAGGATGAGGCCGCGGAGTCGGAATCAAGCTGGATGGAAAGTTATTGGGATGCTTGGAAGCAGATGCTTGTAAATAGGATTCCTGATCGAGATCCTATTCAGATAGCCAAATTTCTTGCCAGCAAACCTACTCCTACTCAAAAAAACACCACGGAGACGAAAATGCATAATAATTATGCGTGGTTCAAAAAATATGGTTACAAAAGCTTGAGGGACTTTGCGAGGGATTTCGGCCTTTCAATCAACGATTCACAGGAAAACGAGGAGGCAAGGAAAATTCTCAAATATCTTCAGGATCAAAAGGGGGCAGATGCATATCTTGAAAGTACGGGAGAACCGAAGGAAAATGTGGTGAAAAAACTACGGACCAGGAAATCAGCAAGAAATATGTCGGTGCCGATTATCAAGAGATTCCTGAAGTCAACACATTGATTGCAATAATGGAACTAAATCGGTCTTCACGTGAAGCGTGGCTTAAGCAACATCATTTCGAGGACTGGAGAACATTTGTGAATGTCGGATGGAATCTATATAACAAATTCGACGACAAACTTGCAAACGATATGATGGAGACTGTGAGAAGGTTCGAGGATATGAAGCGGTTCTGGTGGGAAAGTTGTGAGATTGAAGACGAACAGGGGCGTTTCGAGCTCTATAAATATACGGAAGCAGAAATAAAAGATTTCAAGGCTAAAAAGGCCGTAAGGAGAGTAAAATTGTGCAAATTTATTGATAATGTTCAGTTGGTTTTGGAACGTTATTAGTAGCATACAATACTCTTAAAGAATTGAACCAATGCAGGCCGCGACGGGACAATCTGTAGGCCCTTTTGCTATCGGAGACTGTTCCCGTATTCGACTCAAACGGCTCCTTGCATCAGAAAATAATCATGTATTTGATTTCGGGTGGCTTAAAGTGATAGGAAGGGAATCGCGAATCTTCACAAGTATTCGTGAATAAACGACAACCGGAGGAATCTGCTACTCAAGAGGACATTCTGGAACTAAGTCTTGTCCATTAGTTTATCTGGCACTCTTTACATATCTTTAGAATGCGCTTCTAGGTAGTATACATACGTGATAATGAATCGTCTGCCTAATCTCACGTCTTTTGAAGTGGTGGATTGTAAGCTCCGGTGATTATCGCGGTTTGGTATGTACGTACAGATTCCAGAATGATGGTGAAATTAACAGAAGTGGTCATGAAAGCCGATGAAAGCGTAATTCAATACAAAGCCATCTTCACTACTAACAAATAAATTGAATGTTTTAAACAAAACAAGAGAGTAATGAATGTGGAGCGCCTGCATCTTCCTGTTTACTCTCCCTGACTTACTATTTAAAAACGTCGTTCCCTGCAACCCCTTTTATCCACCTACAACAAAACTACCTCAAGCAGATACCCTTCGATTCTCCGCACCATCTCCACATTTTCCACATCCTCCTCCTGAACCGAATCAATCAATCCCGCGAAATGAGCTCTTCAAACAAAACAGCTACCGGCAGACAGTCCGATGATGCCTGGCTCAAAGAGAAGGGCTTCTCGTCGATGGATCACTTCTTGAGCTGTTATAACATCAGATCCCGCAATACGTGACTTATCACAGACACGGTTACACCATCTTGGCAGACTTGAGATCAGAGGTAGACGCGGAGATCGCAGCTGCTAGCGAACGCAAACTCGCCGTTATGCAAATAAATCTTCGGCGAGCAGTGGAAATGTTCAGAATAAGGAAATTCCTAATAACGAGGAGCCGTTGTGGCTATGGGCTTTGCGAAGGTATGTTTTACTATGACTGGCAACATATAGGTGTATAGAGTAACTGACTTTTGGAATAGATGTCGTGATCTCATGGTAGTGGTGAATCCACGATATGATTGAGAAGGTATCATTGTCGACTTGTGATCGTCGTATGGGTGGGAACCAGGCTTCGGAACAAAAGTACGAGGGTGTGATGTCAGCTACAGAATCTGGTACTGGCGCTAGTAGAGTATGAGTAGTAGACCTTGAGTGGCCTGAATAGTCATCGAATCACAGAAATTGATGTGGATACTCAATTCCTTCCTCTTTGGTAGAACTGATCGTGACTGCCTGACCAGCCTAACCAGCCTAACCAGCCAAAGTACCTCATATATCAAAACTGTAATTGATGTTTGCCACTTCTTGGGCTTGAAGCACCACAATTTATGCCGTTGACTGCGCTGAAATATATTAATGTGTATTGGGAAAGTCCCATGGCACAAATTTGCGTCCTAGAGAACAGCGCCGCATTTCCCCTTGAGAGATATATTCAGAAACACTCGTAATACAGTTGCTTGTAAGAGTTTCTTCTCGTTATGTAAGAAACCATGCTCGTAAATAAAGTGAAATACATGGTCCTATTTGTTCTCCGCAGACGAAACTGCACCTCATCAAGTACGATGACACTTAGACTAGAAAGCGCGATATTCGTGGAAATGGGCGGCATGGTGAGGCGTATTTGAGAGTCTGTCGCTTTCTCGAGTCTTCGTCGTCGGTTCAAATCTGTGGGGAGATGAATGTCAGTTCAATAGAGGTTTGACTGTTTGTAGAAGGATACCTAGATACACATGACTTTGGAAATGGAAATACTGAAATAATGAAGGCTTTAAAAGATTGTGACATCAAAGTCATGGAGATGATTAAGTTGCCAGTAAACAATTGATTGAAGACAATGTACATTGATAATGATGTTAAAGAATGCGCTTTATTGCATTGATAGAAGATGAGATGAAATGTTATTGTGATGAATAATTTGATTATTTTGAGATGGAAGAGTTCTTCGAATTGAAATTCTCGGTTAAGCCCCTGACGAAGTTGACTCTTCTAAATGAGCAATCGTAAGTATAATTTATCACATAATCATTTTCAAATGGTCACATAACTATCAATGTATAAACAAAAAATGGTTTGCGAGATTCAAGCTGGTTAAATGGATTGACAAAAGCGGTAATCAAAGGTCACCACAACGTTTCATCAAAGAAATTGATAAATTGATCCATTCTCAGTAAAAGCTAAAAACTCCCGAATTTCCATTTCATTCCTCAGATCCATAAAACAAGGCAATTCATCCCCCCAATTGTTATTTCGAGAGATCGCTCACGGAATAGGCATTGTTTCCGCCGAAATTGGCAAGAAACCAGGCAGATGGTCTATCTATCCTTCAAGTGACCATCTGCCTTCTTGGCATCTTGCTTCTCCCCCTCAGTCTCCTCGTCCCACTGATCCCAAAACTCAATTGCGAGCTCAGGAGCAACCTTGACCGGGTCGTGAGCGGCGACCCGGCCAGCCGTATCGACATTGGCGACGAAGATGGGAGGAGCGCGGAAGGATTGGGGGATGGTCAATGGGGCCAGCTTTTGTAGATTGGCGCTGAATTTGGCCGATCTCGGCGCGACGATCTTTCCTTGTCCCTTGTTCTCATTCTGGCTTGGAGAATTGGTATGTTGGTTTGGTTTGGGTGGGTTTTGATTGTGGTTTGGAGGGCAGGTTGGTGTGGAGGAGGTGGTTCGAGGTATTTGGTGGATGCTGAGTTGTAAAGAAGAGGTTGGGGTATGAAGAGGTTAATTTAAATAACTAATGACGTAGCTATTGTGCTATTGTGCTATTTATTGTCCTTGGTGGAGTCGGCTAATTGAGAGTTTGTGATAGGCTTTCGATCTTCCCAATAGTCGAACAAATTAGATACCTAATTGGTAATCTTGAGAGAGGTTATTGAGCAATTTTAATCAGAGCCAGGTTATGCAAAATATGAGTAAGTGGATTCAACTCAAGTGAATCTATTGCGCCATATAGTTATAGACTCAAGTTTCGTATAGCTTTTGATCTTTCTTGGGCTATTAATATGATTTTCGAATTATTACTAATTAATTATCAATACAATATGAGAATTGAATTGTTTTCATTTAAGATCTTTGAGATATCTTGGAATATCTTTCTAGGTAAATAAATATATTGAAATAGTAGCTGCTAAAGATTTGAAAATATTTTGAATAGAAGTTTTGAGTTGAGTTTAAATATTAGAATAATATTATCACGGGGCTGGTACGGGTACTAGGTAAGATATATGATATTCGACGAGGAGAGAAGGAGGCGCGCGGAGCGACGACGACTATATGGTGGATGGATGCCTAAGGCATCAATCCGAGCTAGCTAGGAACGGGTAGTGAACCCGTGACAAATATTATTTCAAAATCAGAGATGATTCTGGATAATTAGATATAAAAGCTTTCAATTGTTTTCAGATTTGTAATACAATTTTAAGATGATTAGTAATTAGTTTTGTTAGAATATCACTAAGATTATAATAGATATAATGTGGTTTATCAGTGCGTCACGCATATCAATGCCTCGCGCACTTTTTCACTATTTTGCAACTCTTCAATTCAACACGCGTTTAATCAACAATCAATAATGAATAATACTTCAAAAGAAGCTCGGATTATCTTAGCTATTGAAGTTATTAATAAATCAAAAAAAATGAGTCACTGGAGTATTGCTAAACTTTACAATATCCCTGAAACAACATTTCGGAATCGAATGAACAATTTAACTCCATTACAGGAATGTCGATCACCAACTCAAAAATTAACTAAATTAGAAAAAGAAATGATTCTTCAATATATCCTCGATATGGATATACAAGGATTTGCCCCTCGATTAAGTAATATAGAAAATATAATAAATGATATTCTCAATACTTATAGAATACACTACATTAAAAACTCTGGGTATATCGATTTATATAATGCCAGTCAGAATTAAAGATATATTTTAATTATGTTTATGATTTCCAAAAAGCTCTTTGCGAAGATCCAAAACTTATTGAAGGATGGTTTCGATTAGTATCGAATATATAAGTGAAATATAGTATTCTCGATTGCGATTTCTACAATTTCGATAAAACAGGCTTTATAATAAATATTATATACCCTAGGATAGTTATAACTAATACTGAACAATATAGCAGAAACAAAGCAATACAACTAGGTAATCGAGAATGGGTTATAATGATTATATGTATCAATGATATAGAAAAAAGCATTCCTTCATTTTTAGTAATTAAGGGCAAAAATCATCTTTCGAGTTGATATACTGAAAGTGATCTTCCATTTGATTAAGTGATTAAAGTCACTAATAATAGATGGACAAACAATGAAATAGATTTAGAATAGATTAAACACTTCGATAAGTATACTATTGCTCGAAAACAAGGTGATTATCGAATATTAGTATTAGATGGATACGAAAGTCATGAATCGATTGCATTTCAAGAATATTGCAAAGAACACAATATTATAACTCTTTTATTATTTCCTCATTCTTTATATATTACTCAACTACTCGATGTCGGATATTTTAGTGTTTTAAAACGAATGTATGGTTAACAAATTGAGGAGTATATTAAGGCTTATATCAACTATATCACTAAGGTCGAATTCCTTATAGCCTTCAAAGCAGTATACCTATAATCAATAACTGTTCAAAATAGATTATCTGGATTCCGCAGAGCTGAATTAATACCCTTTGATCCTCAAGCTGTTATTTCTAAGCTAGATATCAAATTATAAACATCTATATTTACCAGATCCTCCTTTGTAGAGCTCGATCTTTGGGTTTCTCAAATACCTTACAACTTGAACAATACTCTTTCGTAATCAACCTTAATTAAAAATCGAATTATATAATATCAAGAAAGCTCTTCTATACTTATATTTGAAACAGTTGCAGCTTTAGCTAAGGGTATAAAGATATTAGTTTATGAGATAACACTTATAAATGCTGAGATTTGTATTTTTCGAAAAGCAAATGAGATATTGAATAAACGTTATAAAGCTAAAAAGAGTCGAATTCGTTAAGGAGGAATATTTAGTATATAAGATAAATATGATATTATATTACAGACCGATGTAGATAATCAGATTCGATACAACGAATGTTTTAAGAAAGGTAATTCAAATGGGGAATAATCAACTTTACGTTGTTGTGGCTCTTGTGGTAAAACTGGTTATAATATACGAACTTGTCAGGAGGATTTAGAAGACTCTAGTTTATCAGATTCTGAATAGTTTCAATTAATTTTATATATTGTGATTATTGAATAATATTTTGAAATGATTGAGTAGTGAAAAAGTGCGCGAGGCACTGATATGCGCGACGCACTGATAAACCACGTTAACAGTAGTAATATTATATGTATATATCCTTAGAGGTATTCTAGTGGTATTGGATATATGTATAAGTGCGTGAGGCACGTGCATATAGATGACGTCACGTGGACTATATCACGTGACCTTGTGTGACTCTGTACTGCGTTTCCAACAAATTTATAAAATCAAGTGAAAGTTCAAGATATTCTTCTTTGATACTTTTAGAATACTCTAGTCTAGGTTTTGAATTAGATATATATATTGAAATAATATTAATTAGAGATCTCGGATATTTAGACGAAAGATCTAATCTAAATTGAAATATAGGAACGATATCTATCTGGAAGATTAAGATTATTGAATGTAAAAATCTATTAATCAGTTAGTATCCAAATAATAATACCTAATGGTCCGTTTAGCTTAACTCGTATAGAATCTATTTAAGTGAATATATATAATATAAATTTTTAATCGCTGAGCTCAGGCTCTACTCCACGTATTCGTCGTCTTCGTCCTCGTCTATACTATGCGGATTGGTTTCGATCGGCGTTGGCTAACTATAACGAGAAAAGCGCGGAGGGTCGCGAACAAGCCAACTGTCACGGGTTCACCACCCTTACCATCTTTACCATCCTTACCATCCTACCATCCTTACTACCCGTTCCTAGTTAGCTCGGATGGATGCCTTAGGCATCCACCCACCATATAGTCGGCGTCGCTCCACGCGCCTCCTTCTCTCCTTGTCGAATACCATACATCTTACTTAGCTCCTACTAGTACCTGTACCAGCCCCGTGATACCAACAAATTATTATCTTAGAATAAATACATAAATTTCTAATCAATTAGTAGAAATCGAACTGAATATATTCAAAAGAGAAAAACTATAGAACTATATAAAAGAAATTCAATCAAATATGTCACCGCGTAGAGACTAATCCCCTTCCAGGGACTAGCCGGAAAAGCGTGGATGTGAAAGGATACTCCGTATCCTTTCATATCCTTTGTTCTTTATTAGTTAGTTCGTACTGAAATCTATAAAGAACTACCCTCATACCACCATGGCAGTGGTATGAGTTCAGTTCTGTACAAACTATACCCTAACTGTAGTACTGATACTATCCAGCCTATTCCCTGCTTGTGATCCCTCACAAAATAGTTCTATACTTTGGTTTAGTAGAGCTCATTCTATTTTATTTAATAAATTTATTAAACTATCATTCTAGAATTAAATAATCAACTTTCTTAAATCAACTACAAGATCAATTATATAAATTTGAAGAACAAAAGTATAGAACTATAAATAATTCATAATTTAATTCAGTTGTATTCTCTGTTTTCCGAAAATATCATAGAGTGATTAGCTGGGTAGCTGAAAATATATTGTTACAATAGTACATCATCCAGCGACCAGTGGCCTGGAATTTGGCAACTAATCACCATGTGTTACCAGAGGAAGCGATCATTAGACCACTACCAAAATGTGAATAAGAGCCTTTGGCTCCTGCCGTACCTTATTCATGCCTATCAAAGCAAATAGTGCTACGTGAGTAGCAAGTACGGTAACAGATTTCACATCTAATTTTCCCGCCGTATCATTCTAATTAACCATATATTCCACTACAAGCTTTCCTTGCTAGATCATAAATGTGAGTAACTAACCACTAAACAAAAAACTTAAAGTCCAACTTCATCAACAAAACACATTTTCCTAAACACCCAGATCAACGAAACATCGTATCGAGATGCCTTCTTCCAACGAGCCATCTCCTTCTACTACGCATCAATATACAGTCAATGGCCATCCAGTCGAACTTACCGAATGGCTAGAGAATCTAGATCGAGCCTATGCAATCAACGACTTCGACATTCTCGTTGACGAACCTCGAACGAGATTTTTTAATCTCGGTCCATACCCTCTGATCCTACACACCACCCCTAGACGATTGGGTTTATTTACCACGCTTAATTTAATCAGATATATGATCTTCTTAGTCGCGTGGCCTATAATCATACATATAATCGTCACCATCCTTCTTAGCTGCGGCATCTCCTTGAAGGTCATCGGTGCAATGATGGTTCTCGCTATGGGTAGAACCTGGCTTTGGTTACTTCTTGAGTGGGGTACGATGGTGATTTGGTTACCGCATATTGATAGGTCAGCCAAGGTGGCTTTTGTTGTTTTAATTTTGCTTAGTGGCATGGTTATTTGGCTGGCAGCGAGAGAGGTAGCTATTCCGATGTTGTGATCCGAGGGGAAAGAATAGAGAAGATTTCGGTGGACGAGGCATGAGTTATTAGCGGATGAGAAATCATGGGTGGGAGAATTGAGATGACGTTGTATGCGAAAATTGCATCGTGATGGTGGCATATACTGAAGAAGATGATATCAACCCAGAGCTGCCAATTGGATGTGGCTGTTAGATCAGGATATGTAAACTTAAGCTGATATTTTGTGGTAGTTGGGCTTGGTAGTTTTGAGATATACTTCTTCATTATTCCTTTTCGAGGAATCGCATTTATTCTGGATAATAAATATTGGACAGTACTCCGACGTTTAGTATGAAGTTTGATACCCCAAAATGTGAATGAAATGACATGGTCTGTTTGTGAACATCGATACTAAGGCAACAAAACGTGCACTGTGCCTCGTCTCTAGGTGAACTGTATGTACGGTCATGGAGTTCACTTGCCATTTGAATTAATCCAAGTAGACACACTCTCGCTAAAAGTCTCTGGTGCCAGCTAAATAAAGTCTCCTTTAGGTCTGTGATTATCGATCTGATCTGGCGAGAAAACCTTTAGAGCTAGATCAAGTATCTTTCAGATGCCTGAAGGAATATATAGCATAGTGACAGTACTAATCCGAAGCATCACTTAAATTTACTGTAAGACGAAGAAAGCCTTGGTGACGAAAGCCCTTACTCACTAGATGATTGGAACCATACACCATACACCTCCGGCAAAAGTTTCCACCATCACCATTCTAGATCAGCTCCCAAGAAACAAATAGGTTCACGGATGGAGAACTATCCCCCAACGACTTATCTCTCTAACAGACGAATAATGATCAAGGGTAATCTTCAAGGGCAGGTTCTAAAAACCCACTGAGGCTTGTTGTCTAGATCCTCAAGAGAGGATGCACAGAAGAATGCTGGGAAGTAAGCTCTGATTCATCCATCCCTCATCTTATGTTTTCAGAGACTCTCCATTCTTCTCTTGCCACCTACAAGATGATATAATTGAAAAGACTACCAAATGAAGTGAATTCTTACAATTCAAAAAGTTAATCACACCAATTTCTTTTCACTATTTAAATTCACTGTTAAACCACACCAACCTTTTGGTTTTGGCCCCAGTCTATCTGTGACCTATTATTATGCCACTAGCAAATATGACTGTCGGCATTAGAGGAATGCGACTTCCTCACACAGTCCTTTTTAGCACAAAGATTTCTCCAGATTAGATAGGTAGCCGGACTTCTTCCACATGCACTTCCAATCTCCACCGGATCAAACACTGACATCTCGGCACCAATCTGCCATCACGAAAGTTCCCATGGCCTTTTCATCTCCCGAAAAACTTTCAAACGACAGATAAAGACCAATCAAGTTCCAATCAGATTCCAATCAGACACCAAAATAACAATCAAAACCTTATATGCGACAATGACTTCCAAAATCAAATACGAGCTCCCCAAACTCGAATGGCTCAACAAACGAGGCTGGAAAACCTTTCAAGATTTCATGGTGACATATGGATACAATCCTCAAAGCGTGGAGGATTATATGAATGCACAAGCATTATTGTGCGACTACAGGGCCAGCGATCCATTTGCAAACAAAGAGGAGCAAGATGGGGAGGAAGACAAAGAGGAGCTTGAGGAACTTGAGGATGAGATGGACTACGAGGACGATGAGGATAACGAAGAATTTGCTGCGAGGACGAAGAAATCCACCAGTGGCTCATCAAGCATGGATGGCAAAGCATTGAAGAATATATGGAAAACTATGGACTGGATTACAGGATAGATAACGACGTCGAGGCAATTGGAGCTTTTATCAAGCAGGACATCAGGAGGGAAAAGGGGAAATACCCAGCTGAAATCGAAGAGGTTACTGATGGAATGTACATGCAGGACGATTCCGAATACAATGCGCAGATAGCGGCCAGTGAAGGATTTTTCGACAAAGAAGGGGGAGGTACGGAACAGAAGGATGTTGCCGGCGGTGACAGAGGAGAAGGATATCCAATAAGTCTTTTCGCAGCGCAGATTAGGAACAGCGTGCAAATAGAAGATTGGCTTTGCGAGAGAGGATGGGCCAACTTGTATCAGTTTATGGTTGGCCATGGTTTGAATTTTCATGACGATGAACTTATTTATTTTGTGGGGAGTCAATTCCACGCGATGATTGAGAGCGGAGATCAGCGGGGACTAGAAGAGCTTTTGAAGGGATTGACGATGGGCGAGTATCAACATCAACATCTGGAAACGAAACACAGCTCTCGGAATCAGTGGCAGTATGGCCAGGCAGAAGACATGAATGGAACGAATCAATTGATGTAAGGTCAATATGATGAAGAGAGACTGGGGGAATTCATAGCGGTGGAATAGCCTAGCATTACGAGATATTGCTTTGTAGCGCATTTTGTATATTCTCGGAGTTGGTTTAATTGGATAACGCCTATGTGGTGGAAAGGATCATGAGTTGAGGGGTAGACGATCATGGCTAAGCATGGTTTGGGAATATCGTCAAGTGTTGGTTGTGTTATAGATGGAGGACTGCCTCGAACGTTTCTCACAGAACTTGAGGCTAATATGTAGCACTAGCACATAGGATAAATAAAAAACTGCATCACGTACGAAAAACTGTTCATCACATCGAATCGTGATATAAAAACTGATATGAGAACACTAGTATATTGATGCGACGATGGCTCCTGGCCATCATTCTCAGCTTTCTATATGCTAACGACCAATTATCATAAGTTGAAGAGTGTGGCAACGAGGCCAGACAAATTCAACACTCCACAACGGAAGGAGTTGCAATAAAGTATACCCAGCATACCTAGCACGTCGGATCAATAAACCAAGACAAAACCGCCAGATTATAAAGCCCTATCGACATTGTTCGTCACTCTATCAGCCCTTATTCGGTGCTCCACGTTCAATAATAGAAGGACACAAAGTCTCCGCAGGTGGATGCCAAGTAGCTACCTTCCTAGAGGTATTTGCCAACATCTTTGTCCCCCAGGTCGTGCTACTTTGTACCGGTAGACCAATTGGTGTTACGGTGGATCTCGTTTGAGGAGGTGAGATCCAGGTGAAAGTTGGTTTGAATGTTTGTGAGTCGTAGTTAATGGACTTTGGATCTTTAGTCTTCATCGTCAATGGCTTTGTTTTTATTTCCGACCTTTGGGTTAGGACTTGAGGGAGTAAGGGATGCGGATGTACAGATGAATACTGTATAGATATGGGTGCCTTTGAAAAGCCGTGATGTGTGTTTCATTTTGGGTGACGTTGAGGTAGAAAGAGGTTCGATTATTATGGTCGATGGAGGGTTTGGTGACAATGAGGCACGGTAATGTGTATGAGTCAATCTTGCTTTCTTGGATGTCGTAGAAGCATCTTCCAAGGTGAACCTTCTGGCACTTGATGATCTTGAAATCGACAAATCTTTTGCGGTCGTAGGACTGTTGGAACTTGAGAATGTGTCGATTGTGGTGGATATGCCGGAACTTGACCAATTTGGAATAGATGAATCTATAGCTATCATAGGACCAATGGAATCCGACAACGTCGTTGCGACTGCATTTACACTGGTAGTCGAAATGGGTACGAAGCTCCGCTCACTGACTGATCTTGATAATAACGCCGGGCCCACCCGTTTGATGTCCAGACTTCTGCCAGTCAGTGGCAATGTCGCGCCCGATGTTTTCAATGATTTCAAAATATTCATACATGGGATCAGGGGCAGATGTAGGGTGTTAACGTCTACATGAACAATATTGTCACCGTTACCGACGTTTACTCCTACGTCTGGTCCCGCTGGGATTTGGAGATTGACATCAACTAAAGAGTGTTAGAGTTATAGATAAGCACATATGGTGTAATATCTTACGAGGATTTCCTTTCTCGGGTTTAGGTGTAGGTCTTGAGAGCGATAGTTTGGTGAGGCATAGAATGGCCAAAAATAAAGCGGTGGTAGAAATCGACATCATGAAAATAATGGGGTTATGTAGAGGAAGGTTTGATATGAACATCTTCAATATATAGAGCTCGAATTTGCCTCCTGGTTTCACCGTATCACTTATCATTGATCAATCGGCAAGGTTGGTAAAATGTTCGAGGTAAAAGGAATGCATTGCGTTTCATTGCTGGTATACGTTTCCAAAGAATGTATGCTTGATATGTCTGTAGACAGACTCTGTACGTCAGATTGCGTCAGAGAAAGTCTCAGGGATGTGATTGAGGCTTGGCGGGGGTGAGGGAAGGGGTGTTTCGTATATCAGAGGAGGCTGATAGAGGAATGTTGGCACGGGATCATCCCGCCATGCTTTTCCTTCGGTTCTTGTAAAGCTTGTTCTCAATGGCGTAATTGTTCTATTGTGGGTATCGTATTTCAAGCATCGCGTCCCAACTTTTTAGCTAGTTTCTTTTGATCTTCCGGTGAAAGGCTCTTTTCGTCTGTTTCTTGTATAGCCTTTCCTATTGCCAAAGTCGTTTTTACCGACTTGCTATCCACCCAGACTTTTCCATTCCTACCTACGGCGATCTCAAATGCAACTCCAGCCTCCCCCAATTCCTCAAGTATCGTCAAACCACCTTGATCAGCCGGGCGGGCCATCATCATTCGTCTTGCCATACCGAGAGATACGTCGAAAACCATCCCTCCGGTCAAAGGTCCCAAACCTTCCGATTTACCAGTTGACGCTGATACACATTCTAGCTCCGGATCCATATGTTTGTTTGCAAGAGTAACTCGTGCATAGACCAGTGAGCCCTTTTCAAGCTGTGGTCGGGTCTTTTTCGAAGCTCCCTCGAATGAGAGCTGTGGTAAAGTGGCATCTGATGTGAAATCACTGAGGTTTGCGTAAAAAACTTCTCCAGATGACTTTTTAATGGTAGCAATTACGAGATCTCCTGCTGTTGGAATGTACTGTAAGAAGGATTAGTTGCGTGAAGACACTCAGAATTGTGATTGCTCTCTTACTCGACCAGCATTGAATTCAACCCAGATCGCATTCTTCCTCGAGTCTGTCCGTAATTGTCCTGCTACAGTTGGAGTAATAGTATTTGGAGGAATATGTCTCAAACCTGGGCCAACTTTCAAAGGTAAACTTGGATGAGAAGGTAATAATTCGGGAGCAATATGATCGCCTGGAAGGACGAAGATTTCTGTCGACATTATGATGTGATTTGATGTGATATAATGATAACAAACAATAAGCTTTCTTCTATAAATCTATGACCACGGTATGCCAATCGTTGTCGTCGATATTCTGGAGTTGTGTTATGTTGTGTTGAAATGTAACAAAAGTTCAAATGTCTTCGTTTTCTCAGCCTTGCGCCGCAAATGTGGGGGCCCTGCCTGTTAGATTGTGGCGCTAATGAAATTCTCGATGCGGTTTTGAAAAGTAAAAAAAGTTCTGGACACTCTTTACATTGAACTTTTCTCTTATAATCCCATCTTTCTGTTCTCTCCCTCTAATCTCTCATATTTTTAAAAATGGCCGCTGAAGCCCCTACATCAAACGGCACTGCTGGAGAAAGAAATGCCATTGGTATCTCTTTTGGAAACTCCAACAGCTCAATCGCCTACACAACAGTCGAGGATAAAGCTGAAGTTATTGCCAACGAGGATGGTGGTAAGTTATTATACCACACGAAATCGAGAAAATCGAAATGAGGGGCAGACTGATTGACTTCGACCACAGATCGTCAAATTCCCACCATTTTGTCTTATATCCACGGTGACGAATACAATGGTCAACAAGCCAAGCAACAACTCATTAGAAACAGCGGAAACACCGTTGCGTATTTCAGAGATTTCCTAGGACAAGAGTACGTCATGCATGATACATGCCCCTTTGGACCCAGGGTGTATTATATGAAATGTATGAAAAGGTAGCTAACATTCTGCCCCGCGCCCCTCAAAGCTTCAAGTCGATAGACCCTACACACTGCCATGCTTCAGCACACCCTTTGGACCACGAGGGCACGATCGCATTCAAGATTCAAGACAAGGAAGAGGGTGAACCATCGACTGTCACCGTCTCCGAGGTAGCAACAAGAGTAATCCGTCGTCTCGCACAATCCGCCTCGGACTTCTCTGGAAAGCCAGTCAACTCGGCCGTTATTACAGTCCCAACAAATTTCACCGATAGTCAAAAGGCAGCATTGACAAAGTCTGCAACCGACGCTGGACTCGAGGTTTTACAGCTCATCAGTGAGCCTGTAGCTGCTTTATTAGCTTATGACGCAAGGTCAGAGAGCAAGGTCGCGGACAAGAATGTGATTGTTGCAGATCTTGGAGGAACCCGTTCAGATGTCGCAGTTATCGCATCAAGAGGAGGCATGTATACCGTCTTGGCCACTGCACACGATTACGAATTCGCTGGTGTTCACCTGGATAAAGTTCTCATGGATCACTTTTCCAAGGAATTTTTCAAGTGGAACTCGATTGATCCCCGGGAGAATGCTCGAAGTCTCGCAAAACTCACATTAGAAGCCGAGGCTACCAAGAAAGCACTTAGCATCGGAACAAACTCCAACTTCAGCGTTGAGAGCTTGGCAGAGGGTATCGATTTCTCTTCTACCATTAATAGACTCAGATATGAGACAATCGGACGTAAAGTCTTCGATGGTTTCAACAGATTAATTGCGAGCGTTGTTAAGAAGGCTGGATTGGATGCTTTGGAAATTGATGAGATCATCCTTTCTGGTGGCACATCGCACACCCCAAAAATCGCATCCAACGTCCAATATAATTACCCTAACGCCACTGTCCTTGCCCCATCCACGAGCGCCACTGCTATCAATCCTTCTGAATTGCAAGCTCGTGGAGCTGCCCTTCAAGCATCTCTCATTCAAGAATTTGATGCCCAGGATATCGAGCAATCTACCCACGCTGCCGTTACTACCGTTCAGCACCTCACAAATGCCATTGGTGTTCTTTCCATCTCCGGAGACAGTGATAAGGGTGTCTTTACGCCAATTGTTGCTGCCGAGACTGCTGTCCCAGCCCGCCGAACTCTCGAAATTGCCGCTCCTAAAGAAGGTGGTGATGTTTTGATTAAGATTGTCGAGGGAGGATCGCACATCAAGGTCACTAAACCAGAGGCAAAGTCTAAACCAAACGGTGCTAAGGTAGAGGACGCAAACTCTGATGATTCGGAGGAGGACGACAGCGAGGAAGAAGAAGAGGAACAACGTGAGAGAATCTGGAAGGTCGGAAATGTTCTCGCCGAGGCCGCAATTAAGGGTGTCAAGAAGGGTGGCAAGGTCGAAGTTATGATCAACATCAGCAAGGATTTGTCAGTTACCGTAACTGCACGTGAAGTTGGAGAGAAGGGAGGCGTTAGAGGAAACCTCGTAGCTCCTTCAAGCTAATTTTTTAAATGTTATTATGATGCCAAGACACTAGATCGTCAAGACTATAGAAGTATACCATTCTCTGGTTCCTGCAAATGGTAGATAGAAATTAAATGAGAAAAGTTTTCAATCTTAGGCTTCCGCCACTCCTGGATGGTGCTCGAGATTTTTCTGATAATCATGGAATCAAACATCTGGAAAGCTTACATTGAACTTGTGATATTAGTCTCCTCTCAGGATCTGATGACTGAAGACATTGATCCTTGTAGGAACATGGAGCACAATCAGTGTAAAAGATGTCATGGTTATAGAGCAAGCTTAAGCAAACTCTTTCATGAATACCGAAAGTCGACCACATGGCATCTACATCAATAACAATGCTCAGTCATAGGATATCAAAGGTGTCACAGGAAGCTAGCTTACTGATTTTTGTCTTGAAGTTATGTATGTCAGTCAGTAGGAATAGCGCCACGCCTCTGATTATCCAATCTTCAGGAGTTTGTCTGGTGGGGGATGGGTATAAAGGTTCATTCAGATCCTTTATTTTGACAGGAGCAGAAGAGAATATTAGTCTGAGGCTGGACAATTCTTTGCATACGGCTATGACTGATTTTACTCGTCCTGGAAGGATAGCTCTGGTCAGTGAAGGTACTAATCCTGGCTGATGTTAGGATAAGGCTATACTGGGGTTGTGTTCAGCCCGGATTTCGAGCTCTTTGGCCGGGAATAGATCCCAAATGTACAGAGAAGTGTTACTTGAAACTATTTTTTCGGGTGTGAAACAGGAGGTTTAGTCATTTTTGACATTCCCTTTGGTCAGTCTCTATTTGATTTCCCCATCGGTTTGCAGTCGGGCTAGGCTCTGCAGTGATGTCGACATATAAATGGAAGGAAATATATGGGTTTGTACATTGGAAGAGCACATGACCAGATTATATGCCTACAGAATTTTACATTTTACTGTCTCGAGTTCTTCATAGCATGGATCAATCTCACACCCATAGAAGCTGGATTCATACCCATAAGTCATCACGGTTCTTCGACTCCTCACTCGGCTACAAGTCGTACTTCAAGCTTTCACATGATTCTAGTGCCTTGAAGTCTCACCCTCGTTCTGAAGCCACCCAGCTCGCAATATAGCCGTCGCATCGTCCAACACCAGCCTGCCGGTCTCGGTTTGGCTGCCAGGAATTCTATTCAGTCTCTAGACCCCGATATGGGCAATTGCCCAAAGGATGCGCTTACGAGGTGGATGAGCTCAATGATACCTAGGAATATCCACTCGTGACCACTTGAGTGGATTCTGGAATACTACTTTTGCATTGTTGAATGATTTGTTCTTCGGAGGGATGTTGACAAAATATATCAGAATTGAAACTTGTGAAGTATCGGTGGACCAAGAAGTACCTTGACATTCTACCCCAGCGAAGAGCCAACTTTTATAGAAAGAATGGAAACCCTGTTTGGCACATTGGTCCACGAGATGCGTCATGCATTATTCCATGTCTACGGATGTACCGGAGCACGCTGTGAAAATGGGTCCTGGAGCTGGGAACAATATTGGGCGGAATCATTTTTCAGGAAATGGTATATGTCATTGATGCTATGGCGGCAAGCAATAGTGTCTCAGACTTCGACCTGAGCCTAGGTAGATGTGACGGCGTACTACTGGAGCTCTACGATAAACCGGGACGGGAGGAACGAACGGATAAGCAGATGGGATTTTCATTGAGGAATCCCCCGCGATTTTGACCGTACAAGTGACTTCGATGGTCAAACCGGAAGTGCGATGAATGTTGAGTCTACCTAATGGTCAAGATCCGCAAATCTCCTGAGATATCAAATTCTATACAATATACTAGAAAATAATTTCTTTATTTGTTGAAAACAAATCTATATTATTAGAATTTTTAATATATTTCTAATAGATCTTTTAATAATAAATAAATAATATTTTATCTAAATTCATCTTTTAAAAGAAATAATATAATATTGGATTCAATAAATGTGGGAATTATATATTCGATATTCTAAGAGATGTTTCGTATTATATTTGACGAAAATGAATAGAAGGGATAATTCTTCTCAAGGTTTTCATTCTAGATTATCTTTGGGTTTCATTTCAAGTTCTCTTCATTCTTACTATCTCACAATCGATTCGAATCATTATATCACCAGAACTCATCACTTCCCTACTTGTGCCTCTCTAATCATTCAACATCTCTCATATGTTCCCTTTCCCTCGTACGCCTCTAGATCAATCTCTAAGCCCTCACTCTTAACCCAACCACTTCTCTCATAAAACCCTCTCGCCTGCGGCGTACTCACTAAACATATCTTCCTGTGCTCTTTATCTGCTCTACTGATTCCCCATTCTAATAGCATATTTCCTATTCCTTGGTTATGATATTTTGAGTCCACGAAACAGAGATCGAGTGCTGAGATTTTTGTGAGTGCTGTTCATACCTTGAAAAATGGAGAAGAAGAGATGTGAAGGATAAAAGATATATACGGATCAGATGAGAGAAGATAACTGTTGTACAAGAGATATAATATGATCTTACATATAGCGGCGTCCGCATCATAATCCCGCTTCTTACACCCAATTGACCCCTTCACCTTTTGCATAGATAAATCAAAATTCATCCCAGAAGGTGTCTTCCATCCCTCTTCTACCTTCTGATTGAGTTGAGCCGTGGCTCTCCTCTCATCTTTTTCATTTCCAGCATCGCCCTCTCCATCCTCCCCATCAATATCTTCCCCCAACCCCAATTTCTCCAACTTCTCCACAGGTACACACCACCTCGCAGATAAACACTTCAACTTCGTTCAAATTATCAGACAGAACAGGAGACTCTTACACTTCCTTTTTCAATTATACATTACTCGATCTCAAAATTGACACCCGGCAAGTCTCATTAATACTTATTCGCCAAATCTTGTGTTACAGTGAGCTAATTCAAGACTCCTCTCCTGTTGTGACCACTTCCGTCATCAACTCAATCAAGGCGAAATCGAAGATTGTACCTTGCATTAGTACCTCACATTGGTTTCTAGGACGTGAGTGCGAGCGGAGTTGTAGGCCAATGAAGGATAATAGCAAACAATATATCCACTTTCAGTTTTATGTAGCACCCGTGTCTTTATTTGAACTAATCCGTACCTGGTAAGTATATAAGGCAATGCCTCTTGCGATGAGATGCAGCCACCACCGAAGCATATCCAAAGTATCCAATTCGCGAATGGCTTCATGCCCTCAATTTCGGTTCTGGAGGTGCCGAGTCTATCGGAAAGTTGGAGCCACTATCAAATTACAACGGTGCAATCGCGAAGTCAACCAAACTCTTTGACCCCCGTCGCACTTTCACCCACTGGTATATATTCATAGCTGCAAAAACCATCTAATCTTACTTTTACGCGCTGCTCGTCAAGCGCGATGGAATTAGCGCACATAGCACTGCCGTATAAGATCATAAAATCATATAAAACGCTCCAATTGTCTAATTCGCGCCAATTCGTGCTACGGCTTTGCTCCGCTAGCAATGAGGCTACCATGGAAACTAGTGCTGTAGCAATACCAAGCAGTCAACGAATGAGATGAACCGTATTGCAGAGTAATTTGCGCTTCGTTTGTTGACGATGGATAGCTCGTCGTCGCGAACTTAAATAGTTTCCTTTTGACATCCATGAATACATACCATTACAACATCTTACAACATTCTTGTAATAACATTCTGAAGATCTTCACATACATTTGAGATCTCTGACTTCCAACATCTCCAACATCTCCACCAAATCTTGTAAAGACTTCTCAATACTTCCTCAAGATCATTTCAAAATTCCTTTTGTACTTTTGATGCTTCCTTCCAAGTCGTGTATCAAAAGCCTAACAAGATGAAGAACACGAATTACTCAAATCGCATGGACGGCAACATGATATCTACATCTACACAGCACTCGAGAATGGCCCAAAAAGCTCCGGATGCTCAGGTATATCAGTCACAGTATCATCAACCAAGTGATTGTATCAATCCTCGCGATACCTTTTTATACGAACATGATGAATGGTCAGGTCTATTCCAAGGATCTCCGTCCGAGATTACTCAATCACAAGACCAACAGCTTTCACAACAACCATCTGCAGGTGCTCAGTCTCCTTTCAATAATGCCGGCGATGCAAATTATTCGATGGATAGATTGCCTAATGGTGATCATTTCGGTGGATCTTATACAGAAATGCTGGACTTAGATGGTAAAAGTATTCCTTATCTTTGTATGGTTGAGGAATCCGACTAACAGTCTATCCAGCAGAAGCAGCAGATCCTTACTTTGGGGTCCATGTCTGGTCGGGAGTAGACCCACAACTAGCGATACAACAGCCGGTGATTGAACAAGATCAAACTGTCCAACTTGAAGTCACAGAGCCTCAAGTCGGCGAGGGTAACGTCGAAGGTCCTATGTTCATGCACAATAACTTGTCGAATTCGGAAACATCCAAAAATGCCAACCCCAATCTTGGTTCCATGGATGCGCAAGATGAACGTCCAGCATTGCTTTTTGAGTTAAGCGGTGATGGGGACGCCTTGCCCACTCAAGCACAGACTGCCCAGACTGGTCATGCACCCGATCTTCCCATGATTGTTAACATACACAACAGCTATAATACTACTATTGGACACCAGGGACAGGGTAATAACAGTAGTTTTAATTTCGGAAACCAAGGACGATTGAATCCAGCTTTTTTCGATTCAAACACACAGAACACGCAGTATGGTAGCAGTACTTTTGGTCAAGTAAGAAATGGACTAGGATTAGACCCAACCGCTGCAACACCTCAAATTCCTGGCTACTATCCAGGAATGACAGATCCAACTCAACCTGGAATCAACAACCTTGCGACCAACTCCCAATATCCTGAGCATATTACAGGTCCAGATAGCGGTCCTCAACACGTCTACCCGGCAGGTGGTTTCGAGAACCAATCGGAGAATCAATGAGTCACAGGGTAGCGAACTCCCTGCTACCCGAAAACGCACCCACGATAGTCCTCAACAAGACAGTCCCCCTCCTGTCCGCAGAAAGCGAACTCGCAAGAATGGTACAAAAGACAACCAGCCTCAAAGTGTTAGTCAGAACATTGTCCCAGACGAACATATGCACATGCAGGCGCCTGACGATTTTGGATCTACGCAGCTACAGATGCTTCCCCAGCAGACACATGGTGGAGACTTCCTTGATACAAATCGAGAATATCTTCCATTATCTGAGCTCCGACCAGAGTTCCTAGATAATGGCCTGGTTTTGTCGCCAAATAGAGTTGATAGCACCACTCTGAGCAGCACAAGACGCCAAACTAGACAAAGTATCAATCCAGGCAATGAAAGTCCAGCCTCTCTCAATGCCAATCTAGGCGGTGCAGTTCCAGGAGCTCAGAAAGCTGGTGCAAAACGCAAAAATAATGGCGGTAAAAAGAGATCAGGTAAGAATAGTAAACGCCTTGCTTGGGAAGATCGTCTCGAATCTCAACGTCCTCGAGTCTGGATGATGGAGTATGAGATAGAGGATATAGAGCCCGAATATGAAGAAAATCCTCGAAAAGCATATCAGGATATGGACAATCCAAAGAAGGGCATGAAGTCTTGCCAGATAGGCTGGGCTCAAAATGGATAAGCTCAATGCGTAAGAACCCCCTGACAGCTTTTATAGATACGTTTTTACTAACTAGAGCCTAGCAACCGTCAGAAGGCTAGAGACGAGGAAGAAAAACGCAAAAAGATGTGCAAGCCGGAAGAATATGTCCCAAAGTTCATTCCCTGTGACTACAAGCCCAAAGCACGACTCCAAAAGTTCTACGATGCTTGGCTCCAAGCTAAGAAGGAGGGTGACGCATCGGATCCCTGGATGAATAGACAAAGACGGACTGCTGATAATGGAATTTATAAGCCGAAGCAGTAGGGAGAATAACTCGAAGATCAGTCGTCGGAATCCATAGAGTCGCAATCGCCAATCGACAGAAATTCATTGCCAATGGGCGGTGGTGGTGGTAGTCAGATACTGGGACTTGATGATCATGCGCAGTCACCTACTAGGGCATTGAGACATGTCAGTAGACGAACAACGTAACAACATAGCGTGGGGGGTAAGGAGGGCGTTGCGAGGAGTTTTCTGGTTATTGATACCCTGGATGCGCGCTCTTGTGTGAGAACTTCTCACTTTTCCATTTCTTTGGTGTACAGTACCGCTATTCAAAAATATCACATAAGAACTTCAACAATCTTTCAACAACCTCTGATAAACATCCAAGTCTTAAACCAAACACACAATATCTCGACCACAGAAGGTTTTCAAGAGCATGAAGGAGGCTGGCGGAAAAGTCCTCAGGACACTCACTCGAAGTCCTAGGCCTAGACCACAACCAACTTTCAACATGTCAAACGTCCATGGTGCAGAGTTTGCCGATGCGACCTCAACGGACAGGAGTAATGAAAACTTCGATCAGTTCAACGCGACTGAACCAAACCCCGAGCAGTATACCCATAGTGAAGTATGGACCGGGTCTCAACAAACGTTCAATGGTATGTTTCGAAAGGCAAATGATCATCTTGCAGACGCATCTAATATTGTGCTAGATCCCACCGGTACTTCCAACAACTCGATAATTCGCGGTCCCGATTCCTCATCTCCTGTCACGGCAACATACCCACGTTCATATCCTCAAATTGACCAGCAAGATACCACGGAGATGCACACGGTCGATGTCACAAATCCCAGTCAAATTTTGAGGACGCAAGAGGACTTCGACAGATTCATCAACGGACCAATCCCTGAACTCAGCACTGAGCAAGTAAAGTTATTGGAAGCCATGGATTTTACTGTTTCAAACTTCAGCCTCACAAATTGTCTAGATGAAGCAGATTTGGGAGTGGCTGTCTCTCAAGATGCCCCAACAACTGGATATTCACAGAGCATAAACACCTCTCATAGATCGCAACATGGTACAGACAATTCGGTTTTGCTGCAGAATGGCATGGCTTATGGTCGTTCTCCACCGCAAAATGATGGGATAATGCAAAATCCAATGACACTGACTCGAGATAAATCAGGTGGTAAATATCCTTCTCAATACCAGGAAGGTTACCAAGCTGCGCTGTACTCCGACCCGTCGTCACACATGTACACCAATGAGCAAACTGCTGGTATTTATCAGGCATCCGAGTCTGGACCATCTACCGGCCTTCGCCAATCAGCACATACAATGGCCCTCGAGCAGCCAGCTACTTCTCAGAGCTTAGCGGGGGCAGCACAAAATGTATTCAAGCACAATAACCCACGATACCCCCCGACGGTGTATGAGGGCTATAATGGAGGCGGACCGTCGCAGGCTAATGGTGCTTACACATATCCTGATCCACCATATGGTAACTTCAAAGAGGTCGAACCGTCACAGCTCAGTGATTCACATCAAAGCTTCGCCCTGGAAAATACAGGGAACAACCATAACTTCAGAGCCGGCATGGAACTACAACAGGTACAAAACGACCCGATAAACGCAAGCGTTGCTCAAACTGAGAATGTTATGTCCAACAATGATGAGATCGACGAAAGCGAGGAAGATACTCAGGTTGTCAACGATCCACGTGATTGGAGAAAGCGGCCCGACTATGTCAAACCAAGAATACGCATGACTGAAGAGGAGTATCAATGGCTGCGGCCGAATGCACCAGCACGGGAAGTTTTTGTAACTGCAAAAAAGAACGCCGATGAGAAGAGAAGAAAAGAGGAGGCCAAGGCTGATGAGATGGAAAAGGCGGGCAAGCCCAGGCCCAAACCTAAACCGCAGAAACCCATCAAGGGCGGGGTGCATGTTTCTGTTGAGGAAAAAGAGAGGTTTTACAAGTAAGTTTCTCAGCCACTTAGTGTCATGTCTTCCAGTGATCTTTAACGAAAATTTACTGACTATTATACTCTAGTCGCCGTCGTGACCTTAGTATGGTGGGTCGATCGTTGTTGACTTTGAAACCCCAACTTCGTGGAAAGAGAAAGAGACGTGATGTATCGGGATCGATGAAGTCAAAGCCAGAGTCGAAGAAACAGAGGCTACCAGGGAGCGGCGAAAATGGCTCTAGTCGGGAGAATAATGCTGCGCAGACAATGCAGGAGACACGTGCAAGAGCGAGCATCACAGCCAACACATATGCTGATTTCTCCCAAGCATCAGCTGGACAGCAAGCGGACCAAGGAGTAGTCAACGGTGAATTGGGATATAGTGCCGGCCCAATGTCTGGAAGGGGCGGTGCTTATCATTCAATGACGAACGGTAGAGGCTCTGAGCGATACACAGGAAACTTTCAGTATGACTACAACGAGAATCTGGCAATGCAGAGCAGTCAGTCAGGACCAACACCTAGATATACGGGAAGCAGAAGCCGTGTACAGTCACCACCACCTATGGGACCCGAGCAGAACAGCATGAGTTCTAGCCTCCACCCTTCTGGCCGTGCCAATCCATTCGGCATAGGACTCGATGGTCTCGATGGTCTCGACGCAATTTACGAATTCAATCGCACCCATACAACAGTTGCAACTGGCGGTAATGAACCCCCATCATTGTTTGACAGCCAGGATGGGCAAGTACCTAGATTAACTTCTCCCGTCCATGTCTCTAATCAAAGCGGAGGAGGTCAGCAAATTCCTAACAGCTTGATTGATCCAATGTTGCTACCTCAGGCTCAGGTTTCGGCGTCTAGAGGAACCGAGGCACCGAAAAGGGGTCGTGTTGATGACGATGAGGACGCAAATGCCGAAGAAACTCGTGGGAAGAGAAGAAGAGACAATTGAGGCAGAAATGCACATATTGTATGGCGGAGTTCAACTCAAGGGAGGATAAAGCTAAGGACAAATGCTTGTTCGAGTTTTCGACTATCGATCTTCACGGTTGTCATATGTGCGAGTATTTTCGTTTCATGATAACCAGGGGGAACTGCATGGCGTTTCAGTGCTCTAGCGTTCTTGCGTTTTTTGTCCTTTGGTATTGATATTCTGCGGTTAAGAACGGAATACCCAGGGAAATAAGTGGCTCATGGAGAGCCAGCGTTTAGCAACGAAATCCAAAATGATATGAAAGAATGTCTTCTGACGGAAATTGAATGATATCGTGAACCGAAGTTAGGCCGTTTTATCGAATATCGATGTTATCGGCTTCGAAGAGCTGTGTGATGGATTACGCCTGTTCCAAAATTTTGTGGTGAAGTTAGGCCTAGATAGGCAAAGGGAGGGGCAGTGAGGAATTTGACGATAGTTAAAGTCATCTATCTTCATCAATCTTTATACTCCATCCATCTTTGCATCAATGTCTTTTGCTTAGATCTGACTTGATATAAAAGTCTCTTTTCGGATTTCTTATACCCTTTTGACTGTCATTGAACAATTGATGGATAGTTTCCAGACTCCTTTCAAAGACTATTCGATGGATTATTCATCTAATTTTCAATAGAACATGTAAGTCTTTTGCCAAAGACCCTATACCGCCTTGGTGAGCCGTGATCGACGCCATCGAAGAGGCCAACAGATTTCCCCCTTTCAGAGACATTCACACTTGTAGAGGCAACAATTGCTTTCTGAGCGACTAACTCACGAAACATGACTTCTGCATCAGCGACTCCAACGAGCCTAGAGATCTTTTTGAAATGATCTAGCGTGGAACACTGGTAGAACAGGAGCTTCTCTGATTCCGCAGAATCGTGTTCTTTCGATATCCAAGAAGAAAATGACACTTGTCAGAACAGACAAGTGCGACAACTTGTCGAAAGAATGATTCAAAAAAAATTTGATGCTTGATGTACCCATTGATGCCGGCTTTGTCAAGATGACAAAAGCCAAAGCCTAAACGATTGTCCCATGGTACCTTCCCTTACAAAAGCTTACCAGCCACCTCAAGAGTCCCCTCCAATGCTCCAACATGGAAGTGCCACCAATGATACCCAATAAATTGATGAAACGATTCAGAATCCGGTCGATTACTTTTCCGTGTTCTATATTCCGACGACAAGATCAATTTTGGACTTAGGGATGAAAGACGGTATTCCTGCCCCGGTTTAACCTTATAGAATCTACCTCCAAAGAGTCCGTTCGTAAAGATGGCTCTCCTTCTTGACCCTAGTCTCATTGACAACGTCGAGACATTGGATGTGATGAACGAGTTAGTCACGTTTTGATCCAGTCTACCAAATATTGGCTATTCGACACCTGATTGGGGGTTCTGGGGTTGCGAGCGACTCAATGCTAGGTGAAGATTAGATTTGTATGGAAGGCATTGAGATATGTAGGATCTCCACGCCCTCTATACCACCTGCTATTGGCATGCAACACCACGAGCTTACTGAGGCTTCAACTTGAAGCTTCAAGGAAAAGATTATCCTCCTGTGACGGGCCTGATTAAAATATCACCAATCATTTCGCAGACTCAGACGATCCAGCCACACTCAACGCAATATCAAGAGTGCTCGACGAAGACTTAAAACGTGCCGATGAAGGACTGGAAGTTCACTGCCGTCCTCAAATACTAGCTTTCATGGCCCAAAGGATAACCAGCCATAGCTGATGATTCCTCATGTTCTGAACGACTCGATTCACACTGCAAGTTCAATAAAACCTGGGCATCACCACTCTGGCTCTCCAAAGTAGTTTTGCTATTCACCACCTTCGGCTTTATGCGGGAATTTATCGTCATCATCCAAATGACTCGAATCCCCTAATCATCAGGCGCAACCGAATATGACAATGAAGAACCCACTTTACAATACAAATCGGTTGCTAGCTACTGCCTCTCATATCAGAGATCTTGTCAGGGAGGTTAGATTCCGGCCATCCATGTTATGTAGATCCTCCAACTTCAACTCCTTTGTCTCATAGTTCTCCATACATTACGGATTATAAGCCGCCTGAATGTTCGCCTAATTTGCCTTATCACATTCCAAATTGCTGGGAGTGGCCCTCTCAGCGACTCCTTAACACGTTGCCTTATAATATGCCACTATTAAACATCTCAATACCATATGCTGATGGCAGTGACCGGACAGAATGTCCCAATTCCACGGTCCTACATGTCTTCAGGCATGGAAACAATGTGATGCGAATGATGTCACAACTGGCACCGCATTTGGAAGCATTGCAACGCCCTAGGCAGGGAGTCTTCAGTTAGTCTGACGAGAAAGAAGGGCAAACCGATGATGCTGTCGCGTCACGAAGCAAGAAAATAGTCGCTCCAAAGAAAGGTCGGATTGCTTCCATTTGCGTGCATAGTTTGATAAATATAGGCCGTGGATAATTGAAGAGTAACCCACACATATCCGATATGATACCATAAATAATAGATGCTTCCATTAGTGTGGATAAGAAGGCAGTGAAGGAGAAAGCATAGAAAATTGCTAAGACGGGGAGAGCAAATCTCATCGCTCGTAACAACTTTAAACCTCCGAGGATCAATCCAAGGATGGAGAGCCTGACAAGTGGTTTGTTGATATCAATGAGAAATCTCTACAGAAGCACGATTGAGTGTTCTCAAAGTCTCACAATCTACCAACTCTACTATGAACTTCGTGCGGACCAGTCTCTTCTAGATTCTGTCAGAGTCGCAATCAGAAAGGAACTCACATCAAAACTTAGTACCTTGAATGACCTAAGCGCTTCCGAAAGGGAAGAAATATAAGAGAGGAATGAATGCCAGATTCAACGGAGCTGGAGCCAGGCTCAGAGGAAAAAAGACATACCACGGAAATAGATGGCTGTCCGACTCCTATCGAGACAACGTATGGCGGGTGAGAAAACGTTTCTCGTCTGGCACGAGATGGGTGGGGAATTGAAAGAAAAGCCATCTCGAAACTTTGGCGAATATGGCCAATAATGGGGGGAGACATTAACCAAATACTGGAAACAGGTAGTTTCTGTTACCCCAAAGATACCAGGCAAAGGCTACGCAAAGTCCACAAATTCCCTCGAGATTAGAGCCATGTATCATGGGATAATCACCCATTTCAGACTTCGAGCGACCACTAGTGCAGAACGAAAAATTAGATGAACCCACACAAGGATACTGTCAGCCATCTCATATTTTGCCGTCGGGTCCCCAACAGTTTCCTGCGTCGTGAAATCGAAATTAAATATGGCATCAAGCTTGGCCAGGTAAGTTGTGTTTCCTTTGAAACATTGGTGAGGGGGAAATGGCCTTCCTATCCTGGGAACCACCAATATGAATGACAGTCAGACGCGATGATCCGAAACCACAAACTCGATGATGGCTGCGTCTCGAAATGTATGCCGAACATCTTCATGCATTCGAAAGCTACCACTTAGCAAAGCTTTCAAGTATGGTATTTTCTGGTCCCCAAAAGTCTATGTTGTCTTGATCATTTTGCCCGTTGCCTTGAACCCCCCCTTGGCCAATGTTAACGTTTGGCTTTAGTCTGGGATATGCCACAACATGGTTGCGAAACCCACGCACTCACGTCAGCACTTTGACTGCATGCCCTTTTTCTCAAACAATGACTGGCGGACATTATTGAAATAGGCTTCCTACTCTGTCTCTTAAGAACTAGGCGGTTGACCAAGATAGGGAAGTCAAGTCTCCTAGATGCCCATAGATCCAATGATCGCACTCCGCATATCTTTCTTTGTATACACTTCCTTTCTTGTATATACCTCTGTCAATGTTCTGTATTGTTGTCTCTCATCTGTCGCAGTTATAATGGCTCCAAGATTGCCGGTACCCAACCCATTGCTGCCGATCCTGTCGCTCAGCCTTGCGGCATCTTTTGCATCATGCCAGATCCCCTCCACCCGCGACATTATATAATGGTATGTTTCGGTATTCCATATACTCCAAAATCAGAATCAAAGGGTTTCGTTTTTGCATGCCGATCGTAATCGAATGGTGTGGTTGAACGTTTGTGGTGATTGAGGCTGTTAAGGAGTGTCCGCGAGCAACCTTCAGTGGAGGTAGTGTTCGTCAATCGCACATGGTACAGACACCGCATGTAATTAGATGATCGTGGAGCTAAGGGTAGAAAGGATCAGTTCAGGTCTTACCATAAGTATTGATGGAGTCTAGGAATTGTACTTACATTGAGGGAGAAGTATTCAGGTTTCGGCTGGTAAGATAAGCTCTTGAGCTTAGCCACACCACTTCCTCTTATTGTAGAGCTGAGCAAAGGACTTTCCTCGAGTGTGTATGGCATTATTCGGAACTCCCATTTCCAAATTGTCGTGAATCCAAATTGTCGCAAGCGTTGTTTGACGCTGATGGATTCTAAGATTCTGAGACTCCTGAAGGATGAGGTTGAATTTAGATTTTAGTGTCGATATGTTTGCCATTTCTATTGATCATTGCTTTGACCATGTTCCTTTGAATTTACCTCTTTTTCTGGGAGTATTGGAGTTGGAATCGATAGGTGCGTTATGTCTAATACATTTAAATCAAACTGGTGGTGAATTCAAGTCTTCCTGATGGGTTGAGGTCCATCTTTGGCATCCCAGTGTCTACCCCTGTGATTAGTCAGCAAACGCTTAAGATGCCATCAGTTTCGAATTGCAACAGTCAATTCTCTTTGGTGAAGAAGCCAATTTCTAAGTTTGTTGAGAGTGAATAAATATCAAAGTCGAGAAAACATTACCTTTAAGAATACTTCAAATGATGAGCTGGTCAAAAAATAATGGTCAGTGCTATAAGCAGCCAAGGTAATAATTCAAAGCTAAGTGTATCATAGATCAAGAATGTCCTTGATCATGTCGATGGCTAGTAAGCATGCTTAACAAGTATGAATCAGTAGTCTCCTCACAAGGGATCTTCTTGAGCCTATTTGTGTTGTCCGTTATGAATGTAGGCCGAGTCAACATTTCTCTCACGAAATCGATTCTCCCTTGGTTTTTGTTTTCCACTTTGTTAGATGATCGAATGGCAGCAAAGTTATTGAGAACGTAGAGGGGGGACCAGACTCAATTGCCTCATGAAGATTGGTGTACTCGAGTAAGTCAGCGAAGCAATTCGAAGGCCTCGATTCAAAATCCGTGTTCAAAGTTTTGAAGATCTAAGTTCAAACACTCTTATATGAATTCTCAAAATATTTTCTACGGCTTACTTCACTTTACAGAAGATAGGGGAATTAGAGGATCCAATGATGATTTTAAAGCTGTATTATGATACACACTATCCAGGACCTGTCGAAGATCTTGGGGTGGACAGTACGGCTTTTCTCCAGGGTAGTGTATAAAAGCTCGGACTGATATCAGCACAATCTATTTATCCGCAACATTATTATATGATGTTGCTGATCAACTCATCTAATGGACACTCTCCAAGGGACAGATGCATGAAAAATGAACGAGGAAATTGCACCATAAGAGGGTGCAAGCGAAGGAAATCGTTGTAGAAATTTCACAGCGGGTCAAAGAATGAGAATGGCTCGAGGTGACTGAAAGGTACAATTGTCTAACCGGTCTTCATGATTTGTCAGACATTTTATGTACAGCTTGACAAGCTCCTCTAGGGTTTTGAACAACCTGTCTGCAAAAGCTTACCTTACAGGCCTAGGTCTAAACCCTTTTATTTACCCGAACCGACGTATGCGCATTTCCCATCTTAATTATTTTCTGTCGGTAAAGTAATTACGTCGCTAACAGAATCTAGGCTGCTATACAAGGTTTATTGCATACACGACACAAAATTAACGAAAAGCGGTGAAGCACTAGGCTTTTGGTGTGCACGTTCAAATAAGCGAGATAGGCCTAAAACTCGATGTGGTCAATATCCGACGCAAATTTAGAGTCCGAAAAGCTTTACATGATGTCATTGATGGAGGAACATCGCATGTTTTGCAACATTTTATTGTTTATTTAATATTGAAGATTTCACCATTTGCCACATAGGAAAATTCATAAACAAAATGCAACCTTCTAGTATAGTTTGTGGCACACCAAATTCAATATTCAACCCTTCATAATTTAATAGAAAATCAACCAGAGACTATTCCCACATTATTACAATCGCTAGTTTTGGTATGTCCATTGAAAGTATAGATGGATTTATAATCTTGGTCAATTCTATATATGAATTGGAATTGTGGTGTGTTTTAAGTCCCACGACTAGACGACTAAGTCTGCCTTCCTTTCAGCTACCTGACCATCAATGAAAGAAGATCACGGAAGATGGTGACTTGATTTCATGCTTGGCCAATTTCGCAGATTCAGACCAACGACTAGCTTCCCGATCTGTTCAGAGATTGGTAGATGCAGCTATGAAACTCCTCCTGCAATTGATCAGACATGTAGTAGAAACTTTACACTTTTCTTTCGGTGCCGATCAGAATGACTATATGCAATTCAAAGCCTTTCATAGAATCTGGAAGTAAAATGTGGTGGAGATGTAGTGGGGATGTGTTACCTTTCTTTTCAAAAATACAAGGATTTAGTTTTGTTCAATCTTCTGAATTCTGGATGAATTCAATTTTTAACATGTATGATGGTATATAACTTTGTCGGCTGATATTGATTATTCGCTCCAGATCTCCCCAACTCAAAAGTAATGAATTATTAGTCCTACGGTCAAGGTTGTGAAAGGAAATCATGACGAAGTAGATATTTGGAAATGGTTTTGGCCGTACACCGGAGAATAGGGGAGAATTTAGCGAGACCTTATGATTGCAATCCTTGGCAAGTATATTTGCAAAAATCTCGAAGTTTCCATCTAGTATATGCTCACGATTTCCTTGCGGCTATGCGAAATGTTTTCACTGATATCGTTGATAATTCATAACCGACACAAGAGTTTCGAACCGTCTGGAAAGTGAGGGATTTAACTTTTCTCGCTACCATTGACCGCTCTTAATAAAAGGCTTTAGTCCCCCATCGTTCCCTCATTCTCAAATACATTCTGTTGAACTCCGCAACTATCAAAAAAACACAACTTTCTCATGCACACTACAAAATATCCTCTATCAAATATTAAATACAGTAACACTCAAACCTTCAACGTCACCAAGGGCTGTAAACTTTATTCATCATCACATCAATTGACTCGGCGACAAGACTCATCCACCGATCCAATTTCAACATGTATCTCTAACACATCGCATTCATCGTTGCCGCCTTCTGTACCCTGCCTCTCTCAGTTTCGCTAGTCGTCGATCGATCCGAAATCCCCCAAGACATTTATGGCAAGACCGTACTTCAGCCACGTAGTCTTGTGTATGCTCTTCCATACACAGATTTCTGTACGCAATCAACCACCATGGTAGATAGCTGCATGGTCGCATACGCAATTACCCAGAGCGCGGCCACTAATAAAGAAGACAAAGCCCCTATTGAAATACAAACATTCTCTCTTCCATGCAATGAGGGAGCCAACGTACTCAACAAGAACAATTGGCATAGTCTCAGCGAAGACTTCGACATCGATACTTTTGGGGGAAAGGTCGCGTCTGGTTTTAAGAATGTTAAGTTAAGCGTTGAAGCATATGGAGATTTGATAGGGCCGGGGCATACTCCTGTCATCAAGATTGGAAATGATGAGTTGACGGTTACGAATACAAATACCGTACCGACCGACTGGGTATCGTCTGATGGGTTCCAGGGGCAGGTACTTTGGGTGGCTAGTTATCCTTGCAAGGACTAGCATGTTTGGTTTTAGCCAGGAGTTAAGAGGCAGATACAGTGCATTGCCCGGTATGGGTCACATATGGTATCAGATCCGGCTGCCAGTTTTGGTTTGATATCTTCATGAAGATACGTTGGAGAAGTACGATCCTCAGATAATGGTTTCGATCTTCTTAGAGGAGGATTACTGCAATAATAATCGTTGCTTTACATCATTTGACTGTATCTTCTGCTTCTATCAGTAATCTGACTCTAATCACTGTCACTCAAAAGTCACAAAAAAATCACGGAGAGTTGTCATATTTGTGAGTTGTGTATGGCTCTGTCTCTTCGCCTGCTTTACTCTCAGCGTTAAGTACACCACTATTGATCAGTGTCCAATCATCACCGACAATAGCACAAAGATGGAGGTGCCGATAAATTTGTGTAGGAGAGACGGGGAGAGCGATGCTGGTGTTCCGGCGTTACGTATTGGTTGTGGGGTGGATATGTGTACTGTTAGATGAATGAATGAAGTATTTGAGTGTTCAGCTTTCTTTATGGACTAAGTCGGAGTAGACATATGGATAGATATGAGTGGCCAGTCCTTGTAGTACCCTATCATAAAGTATAATACTGGTGATTTTGGCATAAACCTTGCTAGTCTTTCTGAGGATGGTTGTCCTCCTTATCTGTAAATCCTGCGCACTGTAAAACTGGCCCTATTAAGTCCATCGGCAGCTATTTAACAAAGCTACTCTGAGTCTCAGACATCGGTTAAAGAGTCAATAAACCATCTGCAATGAACAAATTGGATAAATTTAATCTAAAGCCTTGAGAATAATCCAATAAAATCAAATTTGTGAGTCAAATAGCCCTTCACACTAAATTATGACTCCTCCACCTCAGCTAAACTCCATTATTCACTCACAATCATGACGTGTCAGGACACTGAGCTCCACAAGCGACAAAGCTGCATCACTTTTCTCTTCTCTACATCTTTCAGATTCAAAATTCCATTTACAGGTAACAGCTTCGCAGCGCAAAAGGAAACTCAAACCCAAAAACATTCATCATAGCATAGTCAGTAATCCTTCGAATCAGTTAAACTTCAAACATGTTCCAGACCATATTTACATTCTCGACCTACTTCACCTTCTGGGCCTACTTCCACATCCTGCTTACCACCGCTCATCACCCTCCACCCCCCTCTCTCGGACTCCAAATATACCATCTATCACCATCACCATCGCCATCACCATCATCAACATCCACAAACTCATATCTCCCACCACCTTCCTCTCTCGGTCTCCAAATATACCATCCATCACCATCATCACCATCATCACCATCACCACCCTCCACAAAGCCATCGACATCCCCACACCTCCGCTCCCGCACCCCCTAAACCTCCCCCCGCCCCTTCCCCCCTTGTACCCACTCGGCCACAACCCCCAAATACGCCTTCTCCTGCACCCTCTGGTTCCTCGCTTCTTACCCCTCTCCCTCCGAACCCACTACCCTCTCACCATCCATCTACAGCCCCTCCTGCACCACCCTCCTCCTAACCCAATTCTTTCTCCCCCTCGACAAAAATATAAGCATAACCACTACCTCCACCAAGCTTCATGGTTCTCTCAGCATCCAAGTCGCGAATGGAAGTTGGTATCAAGAAATTTGGTATCAGGATCGGCTTGTGGATTTTCGGCTGCCGGAGGATGAGAGCGGCACGCCGTATTATCCGGTTGATTTTGATGGAAGGATTGTGAGGTGGACGGGGTTTGAGTGTGAGGTCGGTGATTGTGCGGGGAGTGGGACTTGTGATCCTGGGGCCGGGGTTGCGATTGTTGATGGGGTGGTGTTGGGATAGCAATGGGTTTGGTGAAGACTATGGTACTTTTGGGAGGGGGGGGGGGTATCATGGGAAATTCTTGTAAGAATATAATGCATTGATCTCAAGAGTTCTTCGTACTCGAGACAACGAATGTGACAACCAAACTTTTCAATTCAGCGAGTTCAAGTCCGCTGCATTTTATAACAGACATTTTAATATCAATGTCAATCATTTTTTGTTCATATACACAAACCCCGAAAACCACCCCAACATTTTACACCCAAAATAACCCGATTTCAGCCAGATACAATATGTTCTTTGTCTCCCGGCCAAACAGCACGGAAACCCTCCTCACTTGGAGGTGTATAATCAATCTGCCCATCAACCAACGGGAATGCAATTCCTGTCAATCACATCCATTAGAATCCACATCAAAACAGTTCAAATATGAGAAATTGAAGACTCACCATATGTAGGATTAATCAGCGATTTCTGATCAAACATTGAGAATGCACGTGATGTTGCCCAATCATCGAGGACTTGCCAATTATTGCATGTATGCCAACTGATATGGGTTAGATTTGATCTTTGGTGATAGATGGGAAGCTGAAGAGGAATACGTACCCAGCAAAATCCGGCATAGGTCTTCTAATACCCTCTTCCCACTCAAATGTAGTGATGGAGGTATCAGCATGGCACATAAGTGCTTGACGAATATCATCAATACAATGATCTATCTCGTATCAGTATCATCTCAACCGAGGAAGTGCATCCCGAGATAACTTACCGACATGCATTTTTGTTGTCGGTCCCTGAGCATCAGGATAATAATCGGCATAAAAAGCCTCTCTCATAAATTTCTACAAATTATTAGCGACACGTTTGCGACGAGATTATTGAACTCCTGGAAACTTACAAGACAATGCAAGTGATGATAGACATTGAGTTGAGCATAATATCCAGAGCCATCCGCGAGAGGCAGAGCAGTCCTGTCCAACTTCTCAAGCTCCTCTTTACTGATTCGAAGATTATTATTCTTGACCAAATTATGCCACGCTAGGTCAAGTTCCTACCACAGGAGTCAGTACAATACCGGTAGCCGATTCACAAATTACTAAACAGAGAATAACGAGAAGCACTTACTGGACGAGGATCTCCTTTGTAAAGACTACCCGCGAAAAGTGTACCGTTATAAAATACTTTCTCATATTTTAGAGCATCTGCAGCCGGTGCTATTCTCCAAAATCAGTTCTTTTTCGGCCAGCAGAGACTGTAGGTCTTTTTCTTACTATAAACTAGTGTAGGCGGTCCTGGCCGTTGACTAAAGAAATCGCGTGCAGCAAAAAGCCCAATAGTATATGTTGCAAATATAAAAGAGTGAGCTACGACTGCCCATATGAAGCTCCTTCGTTTATGTTTCCGTGGTCTAACATCAAATTCTACGCTTTCATCGTCCTTGGATTCAAGTAACCCCTCAGAAGATGTGGAAAGATCTTCGTTTGACGACTCGTCTTTGTAGAGAGGTCTTTGACCAGAAGTGGAAATTCTTGCAGAACGAAGTTTCTTGTATAATGCCTCCATTACTATGAATGATACTGGTGCGTCGTTTTGCAAAATAATCAACTTCGAAGGAATGAAAGGGGAATTGATATTTGGATGGTTGATGAAGTGTTTTCTTTCTGCGGAGGACTAGTAGACCTACGGTAGGGATCTCTTTGATCCATATGCAGCTTGATTACTTCGCACAACTTCGTATCAAATGAGTTAGGTTAGAGACGATCACAAGAAGTTTGCATGATGTATTTGCGATTAGCAATCGGATGATCAGATCACAAAGGAGTCTTCCATGTCATTTTTGTCGATACCAGTAAAGATCAGTAATTTGAGGAGACATTGGGATACTTCCGCTATAATCAGCAAGCGAATTCTAGGAAAGACGTGGAATTGAACCGGGTGTACTCCGTAAGCTGCAGCAAAACTGCCGAAACGAAGTCACACAGCGTTACACGGCGTTACACTTGCTTACGCCAAAAAGCACTGTATCTCATCCGCACCCGATACAATCCGTTCCGCATAGCCTATCGTACGGTAATAACCTGCACGTGATATAAGGATCACCAATAAGTAATTGTAGGCCTAGCCTTTAGTGCAACACGGGGAAACGGGTGGCGTGCTTCAATTACTTTCTTCAATAACCGCGGCTTAATCATTCCCACCAACCTTATTCTAACACCTTCAACGTTTATTATTGCTGCTACTAAGAAACTAGCTGCTGACAAAGTATAGCAGACGCAACTATGTGGGGCTGAAGCGCGAGTGAGATATAGGAGCGAAATCGGATCATGACAAAGCTGAGCAATGGTTAAATTGCCGGCGCCAAGCAAACGCTGCAGCATGACTACGACAATTGCCCCTCTAAGTAATCATTACTCACTTTACAAACATCACCGTTACATTGCACCTTGTTCTGTTGTGGTCAATCCTCAACATACGAGATCAAAAGTATCTCGAATATAATATCTTGGTCAAATCTGCGCTAGGTAATGTCAGACCTGCCTGTTTGGACTAAGGCTTCAAGTATTTAGGAGTGAATTGTTGGGGAAAGATAGAAAGTAGTTGCTTCGTCGCCCCGGAAGTGCTCCACCCTCGGACATTTATAATCTCGAGAGATAGGAATACGAGTGGAGAAGTGTCTCTGATTCTCGATTCCGGGGTTACATCGTTTTGCGTCTTTATGATATGGTCACCATGTCATGCCCTGTTGGACTGGGGATAATATCCTTGAGAATCATTCCTTCCAATCATCGTTGTCGAGCAATGAGGAATACTTACCGCTACGACAATTATTTCCTGCATGTACAAGTCAGCGTTGTCTCTCCATAGAATTCCGCATCTAAAAACAGAAGACAGATTGGAGCATAAAAAAACTCCACAATCTAGCATCTCTAATTTGAGTTGCGCCGCCGTCTCCCGATATAGGATGGCCGGGGACGCATTGCATTGTCAGATCTGGGGCTGTGGGGTAGAACGATTTATTTTGATGCTTGTAGATTGTACGAATACTGCTGACTGCTTCCTTGTAAGTGGTCATGAGAATAAGCATTCAATATCAACGTCGTCTCACGGCATTTGACTAGTGGTACCTCTAGTATGTACCTCTCTGCCTTGGTGGCGTCCCATCTAGCATCTTGCCTCCCAAGAAAAGATCATATCGTCTTCTTCTTGTTGGCTGGGTTGAATCAATATCAATCAATCTTACTCACTCCTACTGTGGTGAGAAATTAGACTCTGCTTCCCCTCTTTTGTTGTCTAATGCCAGGTCTCGAACTTTGTCTTCTGATCTCGAAATTGCCGAGGATGACTGAAAACGGTATGTGGTGGTTGCTTGTCAGGTCTCGATTCAACAATAAACTAATAGGAGATGTGGCCTTCCCCAGGGAATTGGATTGTGTGTCGACGTTATCAAAGATAATCGTCGCTAGAGGCGGGTGAAATGATCGAAAGGAGAAATATTCAAGTTGAACGCCTTGCGATTGGTGGTTACGGCTGGATGATCCTAAACCCAGCTTTCAAACCATGACAATTTCATTGAGTACAATATCCATCTAGATGCGAATGGATTATTCAGTATGCACCTCGCTCGAGGTTACATTTGTTCGCTTCTTCACGATGTAGATCTTATCTTTCTCAACCTTTTAATCCGAAGAGTTCTATGAACTATCTCAGCTATAAGTATAGTGGTTCTCAGCTCCAATCCATCTCTTGTCTTCATCATCTTCATCAACTCATAAATAAGCATCGTCAGTTCAGACTTCCCTAAAAGTTTTGTACATTTCCAAACAAATCTAAACCCCATCCCTCAAACCTTCAAAATGGTCGCTATTAGCAAGCTCGCTGCTCTTCTCCCCTTTTTAGTGGTTGCTATAGCAGCACCCACGGGAACGAATTTCAATTCTGGTAAGATAGAATGCGGGAAGAAGCTCTAAACTTTTCGTCACTAACATGACTCACCAATAGTTCGCGCTGTTGAAGGCACTGACGAGGATCTTTCACAAGTGTATCGACGCGCCGTTGAAGGCACTGATCAGGATCTTTCGCAGGTCTATAGGAGGGGTACCGGTACCACCGATCAGTATCTTTCGCAAGTGTATCGACGTGCTGAAGATGAGGACCTTTCTCAAGTCTATAGGCGCGCTGAAGCAGGAACCGATGAAGACCTCTCTCAGGTCTATAAGCGCGCTGTAGCAGGAACTGAATCAGCCGATGAGGATCTCTCCCAAGTCTACAAACGTGCTGAAACAAGCACCGACGAAGATCTTTCCCAAGTCTACAAACGCACCGAAGATGAAGATCTCTCCCAAGTCTACAAACGCACCGAAGATGAAGATCTTTCCCAAGTCTACTAGATAGCATACGCATCTCCCATCACACGAGGAAAGACCCGATGCGACAGATGTCACACTTGGCTTTAGGGGATGGTGATATGGTTGTATAAAAGGGGTGCAGGGGCTATTTGATTGGAGAATTTGAGGTTTTGAGACCGTTGAGTTGTGGGGCGGGTGGTGAGGGTTTATTTCCTGGAAGATTGTGGGAGCGAGACCATTGATGGTGCTTTTTGACTTGGGCATTGTTGAAGATCTTCAGATTCGTGAGATTTCTCTAGCTTAGGTTAGGAGCTATTTCGCTAGAGCATGACTGATTTCTCTTCGATGAATATACCGTATTGTTTGGCGGAACTTGTTATTGCTGGTGAATTTTCCGGGTTGTGGTGACTTTCGATGTGACTCTTTGATGGATATCAGTATTACTCACACGGCTTTGATGATTGTATCATTGTTCCCTTCGTTTATTTGCATGCCTTCAAGAAACTCAGCACTCAATTCCAACAGTAGCATTCTCCGAGAATATCCATCATCACAGAACACCCATCTTGCTTCATTATCCCAATTCTAATCACCTCGCATAAAAAGAGTTGAAAGCTTAATAATATTCCCGGTCGTGAGGTAAATAGATAGTCCCAAGAGATCCGCAGTCAAAACGGGAGTGAAAACCTTGCCAGTGGCTAGACCACAGCCGAAAATCCGATGTCATGAAAAGATTTGATTCCGGAAACCTCCAACCCAATAGATCTCATGTATCCTTCGGAGATTGTAGAATCGGGGTCTGCGGTATCGATAACATCCACTCGCCATGCAACTTGCTTTTCCCAGACCTCAGCTCGTAAGGATGTCTTGCTTCCTATTGGCACGTGCCACAAATACTTCCCGATTTACTTGACAACCCCTGAATCATCTCCACCAACGAGCCACACACTCGGTAGATGTCCACTAATAAAAAAGGAACACACGTCTTCGACGACCTCTTTCGCGGAATCCTCTGCAAGTGACCACTTAAATATGCGAGAGATTGCCATGCCCACTTCCCGCTATACTCGAATTTGGTAAGAGGAAAGACGAATCCGTCCGGAACGCAAACCCACGTTCCGATTTGCGAGAAACGAGAGATGTGGAAAATTGCCGAGCTATTTGACAATTGATCCACCATTATTTGAGGGGACTCCAGAAATCATCGATTGGTCTTCAAAAAGTAGAATTCTTGCAAAGAAATCATTAATCATGGACATTGACGATCAATCAAGAGTGAATCCACCATCAAGTTCGTATGTAGTGGAGGAGTTGGGTTCTTATGTGGATGCAGGAGAACCGGAACTAGATGTAAGTGTTATCCTCCAACATATTTGGATGTGAAGGTTAACCAGAATTCTAAGTCTGGAACTGACGTAGATTCTGCTCTTGGTGGAATGAGCTTGAGGTAAAGATCATAGATAGTAGGAATTTGAAATGTAATATTAACGATACTTGAAGAAGCTCCAATTTCACAGTCGAATCCGAATTATATCGACATATTGAAGAAAATGGAAGAACCTATCATCGTTACAAGCATGGGCGTAAGTTGTAATTCCTGGAAAAGTATATTCGTATAGCGGAAACTTATCATTCATCCATCAGAATATCCACTACCGAATGACACAGTACGTTCGTCCTTCAACGAAACGTAGGAATAACACTAGTTGATACGATATCCGTTATTCAGCTAGAGCAGGATAGACTTGGTACGTGCTTTTGTATTGTCCGTGGTCGTATGCTCGTGGAAAACAGCAAATCCTGATAATCATGTAGAATTCCAACACAGATTTCTGCGTATGACTATCGACGGAAAGTTATTTGTGTCGCCTATTGACACAAATCGACCATTAAATGTCCTCGATATTGCCACGGGTATTGGCATTTGGGCGGTTGAATTCGGTAATTTTTAGATTTCTGAGATGATGCATTTCTGACGATGTGTAGCAGATGAATATCCCAACTCAACGGTAATTGGTACTGATCTTAGTCCCATTCAGCCACATTAGTAGGTATTAAAGTTCGATGTCCTAATTCTCCCAAAATCACTAACCGCGATGTGTAGTGTCCCAACAAATTGCTCGTTCCGAATTGAAGACGCGGAAGATCCTTGGACATTTGACGATCTTAAATTCGATCTAATCCATGGGTGCGCCTTGTTATCCTGCTTTCGCTCCCCGAAGGCTGTTTTTGCATCTGCGTTTCAGGCTCTCGCGCCAGGAGGATACCTTGAGCTTCGAGATCCGATCTTCCCCTTCAAATATGCCTCCCCGCCCCCGGCAGATTGTGCGTTAGTAAAATGGAACAACATGATACTGGAGGCGAGTTCGAAGGCTGGACGATTATGGACAAACGGAGCACATTACAAGAAATGGATGGAAGAAATCGGGTTTATTGATATTGTGGAGCGAAGGGAATATGCACCCATGAGTACATGGGCAAAAGGCCAGAGAAATAAGGTATTGAGTGTATGGGTTCAAAGAAATTTGTTGATGGGTCTCGAAGCACTGAGTATGGCTCTATTCACAAGAGTTTTGGGAATGAAAAAGGAAGAGGTGGAAGAGTTGTTGGTCGGCGTGAAGAAAGACATCGAAAACACAAAGATTCATTGTTACTCCGAAGGGTGAGTAAAAGCTTTCCGCAAAACCCCTTTCCCTTATATTGAACGGAAACGACAAGTTAACACGTCGAATTTAGGGTCCTGGTGTACGGCAGAAAGCCTTAGAGGAATTCGTAGGGGTCAAACAACGAAGACTTTTGAAGGTTGAGTTCTCTGTTGAACATAATCTTAGTCAATTTTCACAACAGTATCCGTAATTTGACATGGGGATCGTGGATAATGATTTGGTCGCCCAGTGGGGATTGGAATAAATCCACCGCAATGTTGGGCAACATCATTCATATACTTGTAAGGTCCATTCGATAATACCGTGCAAAGTTGTGAATAATCTTCGGCCGTCAGAATCAGGAGTAAGTAAGATTTCTTTGAGGTATTTGAAACAAAAATTGTTTGACGACACACTTCTGGTCAACTGCGATAACAAAGTTCTCCAGTTGATGCATGAAGGTGGCATCTTCAATACAAACTTCCAGGTATGAATTACCAAGCCGATTCAAAAGCGATAGGATGATCGTCTGCCGAGCTACTAGGCTCTCCAAAACAACAGGTGAGAGCGTCTGATTCATCTATCATTGGGATTATTTTGTTCCATTGACATCAGCTCCTTTAAGACCATGAATGGTGACAGTCTAATTTCAACAATTTTAAATCGAAATATAATCTTATTTGAAAGTTTGGTGAAGGTTCAGTGCCGCAGAGATATCCATTATAGCTAAGTCTTCAACAAAGAGAGTCGTCGCGGTTTGTGTAGATATGGTAGGCTCGAGAATGGATTTTGAACGCGTTCGCGGAGATGTGGTGTGCAGGCAGGCAGAACCGATGCGGTGTTGGGATTCCAATTGATATTCCCATGCTCCCTCTGCCACCGACTACAGAGATTTACCCCTTAAAATGACTGAAAGTCGTGACCCAGGCTATTGTGTTAGACTCTTGTGGTAATCCTTGAAGTATCGCTCTTGTCGTGCTTATGTTGAGTTGATGTTTTGAAGAAATGAGGTTAGCACGGAACATCAATTACCCCGCATTTGCCTAAATTAAGCAGGCAAGACAGAGTAAACGAAGTCCCACTCATCACCGGAAAAATCTCGGATATACCCCCCTTCCCCATGGGGTTATAAGTTATTCACGCGTACTTGAGTCATTTAAACCACATCACGCGGTCAACGTTATTCCGCTATACCTACCGGTAACTGAAATCGAACCACCCACGTCCAGCACCCAACGAGTTTTTCCGTCCAATCCCTCCAATCCCTCGACAATGGGGTCTGTTCCTCGCACATCCATATCCATCTCAATCCAGCGTATCCCCTTCCGCTAAAACCCCATAAACAGTGGAATCCGACGCATCAACGCAGTAGAATTAGGCTATCTCTAGCTAATTTACCCCATCTCTTGTCCTCTTTCACCCCAGATCTTCAAATCACAAAGTTGGCGTGGGAGTAACATGAAGGGTGGTTATTGGCGACGGGGAATGGCTGGTTTGACGACCCACTTGTTGATTATACAAGTAGGAAGGAAGTATTGGTACACCTCATCTTCATCATTAATACCGGTACTTTTCGTGCTTTGTGTTTGTTTTCGTGATTGATTATACCGTTGATTATATTATCTCTATTGTCCTTTTCTACTACATACACCTATTGAATGCATCACTTCCGAATATTTAACGAGAGAGTGATCAATCTATCGCTACTCATACGATGTCGACATCGCATACCCCTAGTTCTCCCAGCACCAACTCCACTCAAGGTCTAGAAACACCACCCTCACCCCAATCCTCCCGCTACCGTCAATTCATCGACGACATATCCATAAATCGCAATGCATATATCCTCACCATCATCGCCTCATTTGGCGGAATGTTCTTCGGTTGGGACACCGGACTCATCGGCGGAATTCTCACCATGACCTCCTTTCAAGAATCCTTTGGTCTCGATCCCGAATCCTCTACTTATACCAATCTATCCGGAAATATCGTGGCAATTCTGCAAGGTGGATGTTTCTTCGGCGCCATGTCTAGTTTCTATATTAGTGATGTGTTTGGACGTAAAAAGGCGTTGTTGGTGGCGGATTTCTTCTTCTTGGTCGGGAGTATTATACAGACTACGAGTGGGATTGGTACGAAGAGTCTGGGTCAACTTTATGTGGGTAGGTTTATTGGAGGGTTTGGGGTGGGGTTGGTGAGTGCGGTTGTGCCGACGTATATTGGGGAGAATGCGAGTAAGGAGATTAGGGGGAGGTGTGTGGGGTGTATGCAATTGTTTAATGTGTATGTTTTTCTCGTCTGGTCATTACTGATGTCGCAATTCTTCTCCTATCTATGATTACATGTCCTTGTGGAGAAACGGAGAGAAGATAAGTCTAACCAGCCCCCAGAACAGGTATAATGCTCGCCTACTTTATAAACTACGGCATCGAGAAAGACATGGTCGGCAACAACCCCCTCAAATGGCGTATCCCATTCGCCCTGCAAATGCTCCCCGGCCTCTTCCTCGGCCTCGGACTATTTTTCCAAAACGAAAGTCCCCGCTGGCTTATAGAAAAAGACCGTCACGAAGAAGCTCTCCTAGCCCTCTCCCACGTGCGTCGTCGCTCCCCCACAGATCCCCTCATCCAACGCGAGTACCACGAAATTATTGCCGATTTCCACGGCAAGGAAAAGTTGACTCTGCTCCGACAGATGAAACTTACAGTTTCCAACAAAGCTTCGCTTTATGCGGTGAGTATGGCTGCTACATTGCAATTCTGGCAGCAGTGGACGGGAACAAATAGCATCAATTATTATTCCCCACAAATCTTCAACACGGTGGGTCTTAAGGGTACATCTGCCGGACTTTTCGCAACGGGTATTTATGGCGTGGTGAAAGTGTGTATTACGGCGTTGGGACTTATGTTTGCGACGGAACAGGTGGGGAGGAAATGGTGTTTGATTATCGGGGGAATGGGACAAGCTTTCGCTATGTTCTATATCGGCGTTAACCAAGCTGTTAATCCCCCTGTCGACGGAGCACCTTTGAATGGAAATTCCATCTTCGCAATAATTTGCGTCTATCTATTCGTAGTATTCTATTCCTTTGGCTGGGGACCCATCCCCTTTGTCCTCAGCTCCGAATGTTCACCCAATCACCTACGCAGTTTCAGCATGGCGCTAGCCATTGCCGTCCAATGGCTCTTCAATTTTGTTATCTCGAAGATTACGCCGTTTCTGCTGAGTGGGATTACGTATGGGACGTTCCTGCTGTTTGGGAGTTGTTGTGTGCTGATGACGATTTATGCGGTGGTTTGTGTGCCGGAGACGATGAATGTTCCGTTGGAGAGAATTCATGAACTTTTTGAGGGGCAGGTTATCAAAGGCGCGTTTAGGGATACAATGCCGAGATATAGGAGGTCGAATTTGTTAAGGGAGATGAGGAGGGATGGGGAGGAGGAGGAGGTGGGGTTGGGGAAGGGGAAGGGGGATGCGGAGAATGGGGTGGGTGTGCATGTTGAGAGGGTTTAAAGGGATGGATTGTGGGTTGTGGGATAGGTTGTGGGATGAGTATATTGTTGGTAGATGATTTAGGGTAATATACCATGAAAACGAACTTGATACCAGAAATCCTTAGATACCGCTACATATTTCACAAAGAGTTCCCAACTCAACAAATCCTTCTACAATTCTCCTCGCATTCATCAACTCTCGGTAACTTGAAGCGGATACGAGTAGTACTCAAACGAGCTTTTCAGTTGTCAGTACCATATAATACCCGATCAAGAGTATCAACCAGTAATCTATTCAGTACTATAGACTCAGGTATCGACTCTCTAGTTATCTACTCAAAGTAATTATAGGCCTCGTTCTACTCAAGTACATTTCTTCTCAATCTACCCTACCCTACCCAGCAACGTCTCATAAAGCAGAGGAAACTTCCATGATATGATCATCTTCGGAATTTAAAGTCGGGCTTTCACGGCATTCCTACTCATCTCCATCTCCTCCTTAGCTTTCTCTCTTAATATCTTTCTCAATATTTTGCCGCTCTATATATTTCTGTCAGCTCCTCGCTCAAACAATCACGCATTTCCAAGACTGAAAATAAAATGTTAAGGAAACTTACCGGATTCCTAGGAATTACCTCCACAAACTCCACTCCACCCTTTAACCACTTAAACCTACTCGTCCTCTCCTCTACCCACTTTAGCACCTCTTCTTCCCTCACCATCCCATCCCCATCCCCATTTCCACCCCTCACAACATAAGCCCTGGGAACCTCCTCCTCCTCCTCCCTCACCACCCCCACCACCGCCGCATCCGCTATCCCCGGATGTTCTAGCAGTAGCGCTTCCAATTCAGCAGGTGAAACTTGGTTTCCTTTCACTTTAATCAATTCTTTCATGCGATCCACTATGAAGAATTGTTTTTGAGCATCCACGTAGGCGATATCTCCCGTGCGTAGCCAGCGCCCATCGGGTGCATTTATGATTGTTTCGTTTGTGGCGGCGGGGTTTTGCCAGTAGCCTTTCATTATGCTTTGGGTTGTTAGTACCTGTATTAATTTTGGTGTGGGAATGGGAATGGACGTGTAATGATTTGGGGGTATTTAAGGTAGATTGAGGGAGGTAAGCGGTATGAAATTAAAAACAAACATACTTAGGAGCCCTCACCCAAATTTCTCCCCGTTCACCCTCTCGAACCTCCTGCATAGTCTCCGGATCCACAATCTTAGCATGGCAATTCGCATTCAGTTCACCCACCGAATTTGGAGGCGTATCGAGTCGAGGATCGCATCCGAGGAGCGAACAGGTTCCTTCTGTCATACCCCAACCTTGCTTTATGAATATTAGTAAATACTAGTGATAGGATATATACATAGAAAGAAAAGGGAGTATACAGTAAGTTTCACACGCCCATTTGACCACAAATTCTCAACTGCTTTTATAACTTCTCCACTTAGGGGTGCGGCACCAGAACCGATGTCGATGATGCTGCTGAGATCGTATTGTTTGGTGAGAGGAGATTTCACAAGTAACTATGTTTCTTGCCATTAGTATTTCTTCTCATCTCATCTCATCTCATATATCAAGAACAGACTCACAACTACAACTGGAGGTACCATTGTCAATGTGGTAATCTTGTACTTCTGTACCGCCTCTAGCATTTCTTTGAACTCAAACTTCTTCATGATGTATACTGGAATTCCACGTTTAGGAGCTACTGCTCCAAAAATCGTTTGGCCCATTGCGTGATATAGAGGGAGGAAACATAGCCATTTTCTATTTTGTCATTGGTATTTGAAACTTAAATTTGGGTTCTTTGGGGGTCTTACGCTTTTTTGTTCCTTTCTGCTGTATCTGGATGAAGCTCATGTAAATGTTTGTATTGCATTGCGTTCGCGACGTAATCTAGGTGATTTCTCGTCAATTTCATATCCTACTCCGACGTGTAGATCCAGAGATACTGTATGATTCAAGAGCGAGAAAGGATAAAACTTACTATAATGCGTAATCATGACCCCTTTAGGTACACCTGTCGTCCCACTACTATAATTCAAACAACAAACCGTCTCCCTTGGATCAATATCCTCCTTCCATTGAAACTTACTCCCAATCTCTTCACTCTCCAACAATTCCGTCCAATTCCTCACTCCCTCATAACCTTTCCCTCTCCCATCACCACCACCCCCCTCAACCCCATCACCAAACGCAAAAACATCTCCCCTCCCCATCCCAACCTCCTCCACCGCCTTAACCCCAACCCCCAAACAATCCCCCCCACAAATCAAAAACTTAGCCCCACTATCCCTCAATTGAAACACCAATTCCCTCTTTACAAACCCCGGATTTGCCCCTGTAAAAACCCCTCCCGCCATAATAATCCCCATAATCACAACTGGAAAATACAGGTTGTTTCCCGAAAATAACAAGACTCGATCTCCTGGTTTCAAACCATTTTTAATAAGGCCCGCAGCCAGACGTTGGGAATAGAGACGAAAGGTTGAGTGGGTGAGGAAATGAGAGGGGTTGGCAGCATCGTAGAAGGCGACTTTGTCTGGGAGAGGGAATGTGGAAGAAGTGAAGAGGTAGGTTGGGAGGGAGACTGAGGGAATGTCGATTTGCCAGCGGGATGAGATGGGCATTTTCACTCGTATATCGTGTAGCTTTATATGGAAGTATTTCTCCTGAGTTGAGGAATAAACAAAGGAATTGTAATTTTCGCTTCTTGATGCGATTATGTCTGTCTGTCTAGTAGTCTTTCAGGAAGTCGAAGTTGAAAATAGAGAAGTAAAGAGAGTTACAGTACCACTATTGTATAATAAATAAGTAAGTGATCTACCTCTACCATCTTCCCCTTTCCAACGTGACCAATTCTATGAATTGCGGGGTATCCAAACGCGGGGTGGAGTTCTTTCCGAGTTTAGCTCATCTTTCCACGTCAGCTCCGAGGCATTTTCGGGTATTGCAGCCCCTTACATGACTCGTGTGCCGGACGTCTTATTTCCGGATAAGTCCGGAAAACCGGTCTGAGTCATTTGGTAGAGATGCTTATGAATCAATGGGGTGGCTTAAGACATGGACAACAGCTACGAAATCTTCTGTATATTATAATACCAGTTCACAATTTGTGAAATTCAAGAATATATACTGTGTGGTAAGTTCGGTCCGAAATGTTTGCATCAATGTGATGTCTACCATTTACTCGAGTACAAACATGACTTCTCTACTCACGCGATATCTACCGAAATCTGTTAGACGCAAAGGCCATGCAAATTCGAAAGGGATCTATAATATGCATCACGTACTCGTACATATGTACAAATAGAGCATCCCGATATCCAACCCAAGCAGACAAATCTTCTCCACCCCCAAACCCCATTTACTCAGCAATAGGACAATGATCATAATTCGCATCCGCATTATTCCCCCACCACAAAGGAAACGGCGCCGCAAAACCTCCGGCCCCAAACACCGCAAACGACAAGATAAACAAGACGGTATAACTAGCACCATCCCAAGCCCCCGTAATCAAGTACGAGTAATTCTTGAAAATGCCCGGTCGGTAGTTGCGGAGATAGAATTGGGTGAAGAAACCGGCGAGGACTTGGCTGAAGATCACGCAGGTTTGCGATTGGTTGTAGGGGATGTATCCGGCGTATTGGATGAATTGCGGCATGTTGATTTCGGTTAGGGCAAAACCGCGGATTTTGGGGATGAACTATATGAAAAGATTTCGGTTAGTGAAAGGGGTCGAACATTGGGATGATGGGGGAAGACTCACAACTACGATAATTCGGTGGAGCATGACAAGAGCGGCGCCAATCACCAAACCTAAAGGTACACCTGAGTATTTGGCGCCAGATCGGTAAAGCTTGTTTGCTAGTGCCCACGAAGCTGCATTGGTATTGAAAGCTTGGATTGTAGCGCCACTCCAGGAATTGTTACCGTTTCCGGAGACGAGAAGTTCGCGGTTACCGTTTATGATGGATATCATAACGACATAGTTGACGAATCCACCGAGGATAGTACCATATACTTGAGTGAGGAACATGACACGAGGAGGTATTTTGACTATTTGAGAGGTGGGTCAGTTTGTGGATTGCTGAATGACAAGGAAGTAACTACATACGGTATTCACCCAACTTCAGATCATTGGAAAGATTGACAGTGTTTGCGATGACATTATGCGACCAAGCCGCAAAATACATATTACCAACTGGCCGTCCAGGGAGCATAAGACCCGCCAACATCTTCGACAAGTTATTTGTGGCAATACCATTTCCATAACGAGCATAGAGAAGGTTACTCTATCTTAAAGTCAGAATATTCACACTCAAAGTAGACCATGGAAAGGTTATACATACCAAAGGAGCAATAAAACTTCCCAGCAATAGAGAAACAATATATGCCCAAACCGGAAGAGTGATATTTTCCTTCAAGACGACCACGAGACCAAGAACAAAGCTGATGATGAGAACAACAACAAACCACCACCATGGAGCTTCTTTATAAGTTTTGGCCATGTGCGCATGATGAGGATCTTCATAGGTTCCCGCCTTTGCGCTCTTGAATGCCCGAACAACATCTCCACCCCAGAAAAGGAAGCAGTGTGTAATCAGGGCACCGATCTGGGTATTAATAAGTCAGCAGCAACATAGCAAGATGGACAATGATGCTTAGAGAATACTTACAGCCGCATTCGCCATAAACATAGCATAGGCGAAACTTCCACTCAAACTCGGATTACCATATTCTTCCAAAGCCGTATCATTAAGAATACCATTAGAGAACACCAGACTCGTGGGATATTTGGAGCCATTTTCCGAACGAAGTTGCGTTGACATGAAGGGTTGTGCTTTTGAATCCCAGGCATTGCTGTAGTAAATTCCGAGCATGGCGACAAAACAGACGAGATATCCTGCCAGAGTGTGTGCTTGTGTTTTGAGAGGAAGAGAAGTATTGAAAGATGTAATCTGCAGGTGTGTTTGGATTAGTGCGTTTTCATGAAATTATTTTGGTAGTGATCCACCGAGATATATGGTCAGACTTACGTATTGCCAATCAAACGAAAGCGTAAAGAGACCCAGCCCCTGATTGTTCGTTGCACCTCCAAAGAGATTCGTAAGAACAGCCGCCTTGTCCCCAGTGGCATTCATAGCCGCCAAACACGGAACAGAAACTGAATTCAACCATGGAAAGACATAAGCCGGGAAGAACTCATAAGCGAACATACTTCCAAACGCATACCAGAAGTATCTGAGAGGCTTAGAATGTTTCAAATCTTGCCAGTGAAGTCCTTGTAGGGTTTTAACTGTGGGGAGTGTACTCCAGTATACCGATTCCGGGTGCCATACCATGATGGGACGAAGGATTCCGCAGAGCCCGTAGCCGAAGAGACCGATGGATATTACTGCCAAGATGACGGTAGTGGGGCTGAGAGGTATGCCATAGAACAAATTCTGAGCTGCAAATACGGTAATGGTCTCGGCCGCGTTGGAGGCTGATGTGGCTGTGATGGCACAAATAGCGTGTTCTTTGAGATTCCACGGTCCATAGTTGAAGAAGGATATAATTCGTATCCAGAGTGGTGGTGTACCTTGTCCATCCTTCTCCCTCCATCGAGCTTCAAATTTGTCACCGCGTGGAAGGAGGTTTGACCATGCCTTGCCGAGAAAGTAGGCAATGAGAACGATGAAGGTACCTTGGATAACACCCAAGGAGGTTGGTTTGAACTGGATACAGAAGTTAGATTCATTTGGTAATCAAGCGGATACCAATCATCACTCACCGAATAAATCTGATACATAACGGCCTGAAAGCCCGAGAGAACAGTTGCCAGCACAATACTTCGAAAGCTCAAAGCAGGCTCTCCATCATCTCTTAGCGGCAACAAGTGCGCAGCGGCATCTGCACCAGTAATAATAATTACATTATCATCACTATTATCATCCTTATCGACATCAGACAATTCTTTCGTATCAAAATCTAAGGTATCTTTTGAAATCTCTCGATTATCAGCCGAGATCCGCAGTTTCTCGTCGATTTCCTGGTGTGTGGGGACGGAAACGATATGGCCCTCGACCGGATTGAATGCTCCCACGACCGCGATGTCAGTATTTGCGCCTGACATATTGTCGAATTGACAGTGACCAAGTTCAATTTGAGGAAATCAAAACCCTTTTGCTACTAAGAAGTAATACAATTGTTCGAGATACACAAAGAAAACACAAGCCGGTTGCGCTCCCTCCCATATATGGGGGTTTTCCAGACCCTTACTGCAACCCATGCTTGTACGAGGGGTCGATGAATGAAGCCTTGGTATCGTGGGATACAAGCACGATATCTCGTACGAGTGCGATAAGGAAAGTAGATCCTGGTGTGATAGCAGCCATATCGCACGCCTTCAGCTACGAATCCCAATGAGTCGCGTGAGTACATAGGGTTGTTGCCACATTCAAACCCAGCAAGTAGACTTGCATTTAGAATGTCAGTTCGAACAGAATGGAGGTGAAAGTAAGGTTACCTTCGGAGGATCCTAACGGAATTGATAAAGCGATGGATGTATTGCTACTGTTGGGAATTACACCAAACCCTACACCATCACTGGGCACGAGTACCTCATAGGCATTACTTGGTGTGAAGGCTTGGGCTAGATTGTCTTAGTATGAACAAGCTTTGGAATTCAGGGATGGCTTTTGTGGGAGTTTGAAGTCGAAGGCGAAATGGAATCGAGGAAACAGGAATTGTTTTGATGATAAGATAGGTGGGATAACCGTTGAAGTAGACATCCACCCCCAGGAACGCTACTCTTGGAGCTACAAGCTACAAGCTGAATGGCGAGAAGCACAACCAACAAATATTACAATACCTTATCTCCCCACGGCGTCCCATCCAGATCGAGTATACGAATCGATATGGGAAAGCAGAAATGAATTAGGTGATGAATGAAGGTAGCTTGGCTTCTAAAGTCGCCCTGTAAGTAAAGGACACCTTAAGATGCATTGATTGTCGAAATACCCGCCATGGACCATGGTGATTTTCTGCGGCATCGTACGAAAAATGGTAGTGTGAAACTAGGCGAGTACAATGTCAAATATTGCTATATGCATAAGCCGAAAGTAATCACTGTAAACTACAGTAACACTATTAAACAGAATCATGGCCTGAGTAGCTCATAAAAGCATACCGGTATACCAAATCTATCAAACATTTGACTTGGCTAGAGCGCACTTTGCCGGCCTCCCATCCGGATGATAACCTTGCTCTCCACAATAAGAAGGTCGTTATCTATACTTCTGCTGAACCGATAAGAACTTGCCTTATATGGAACTCTATTTTTTCATCTGATACATCGAGTGATAGAATGAGTGGTAGAATGAGTGATAGTTTTTGGGGAATTTCGACTTATTGTTATCCATGTTCCAACCAGTGGCACTAGCTTCCACATCTAATCTAATCATCATTCTTCTAATCTATCCAAGCTGATATTTAGATCTTGGCAGACTAAGTCTATTTGAAATGCGTGGGGTTGATTGATTTTCAGAACTGATTGACATGGGTACTTGTATAGGTACAGTAGCGCCAAGTCGCCATCGCGAGACTACTTCGTCTAATATGTCACGTTGTCATGGTGACATTCATTCAGACCCGAGACTCTGGATGAGGGAGGGGTCAAACAACAACCAATGACCTTACCATATCAATTCGTTTTCGATCTAACCCTATTAAATCCAAATTGAGGAAGTAGGCAACCTATCATATATAATTAGAAGAATCAACACAAGACTATAGACAATTTCGCCATATGCTTTTACTTTATAATTTCCCAGAATTCTTCTGGAGTTCTTGAGAACTAGCTTTACGATAAATCTAGAGCAAATATAAGTCCACTGACTTTCGACAGTAAATCTTGTCTAGATTCCAGGAAGTAGCTCAAGTCTAGTCCTAGTGCTTGTCCTCTACTGTACAAGTTCCCTTCTAGAAGCGACTACAGTACGAGGACAGTACCGTCTTACCTCAACTAACTGAAATTGGGTCCGACCGTATTTGGTCTAGCTGTAAATGACATAAAAAAGCTAAACAAATGTATACTGTGTAATTGGAAGAATCTGAAAAATGGAGTTCATTTTAATTCTATATTTATATATATCAGCGATATCAAACAATGAAAACTAGGCTGTATATAGTTTGGCTTTGTTCTAATGCGTTTGGACTTAACCTCAGTTAGGTGATGTAATACAGTACATACACAGACCCATCATTAAACCCTCGGTTCCGAACACCATACCCTCCTACCCCTCCAACCGCGCCTCCCCACCTATAACTTTCGTTTCTTTCCTACCAAATGATGTCATTTGCAATTTTCACCTAATAATCAAATCATAATCCCAACTCTTGACCCCTCACCCACTCATCTATCACCCACTCATCTATCACCCACTCATCCACTCATCCACTCATATTTCCACCCATCCATTCATCTTTCGAGAGAGAAAGAACCTATGCACTGTGTATACACCCTGGTACCTTATCTAAGTATACATATCTATGCCATAGCAAGCTATCTCCATAGCCATATCTCATGCCAATAAATCACTACATTCAATAAAGCAAACAAAAACCCAGGGATGCACAGCATCTAGCCAGACCGTATCGTATTGTATGTAGCCACATGTATTCGCACCAGAAGAAGATGGTTATTATTCGAAGGAAGCGTGACGAGATTTCGATATGTAGCTAGAATACGAGGCGCTTATTTCCTCGGAATATTCACAAGTACCCATATATTAACGCCCTCTGCATTTTGTGTATAGCAAATTCTTCTGATGGATTCATTTGATGCCATTTGAGATTGCATAGCTACATACCCCTCGTCTACAAATAAGATAGAGACCTTCTAGATCAACATGGCATTGATATTGTATTCTCCAACTCTTTCCCATCACAACAATATATCATATATGATGCTATCCTCAGTTTAAAGCATTGATGGGTATATTTCCCGGGGCAAAACATCTATCTACAGCAATTGCATTATTCCCCCACCAATTTGGGAATGTCACGTTGGGGAGATTAAGACCAAATACCATGACCGTTTGCATGAGTTGGGTACCGCAGTCGAGACCGACGCCTAGGAGATAGTTGTATTTGCGGAACCAGATGGGATGGTAGCGGTAGACGTATCCCATACTATTTCGACGTTAGTTTCTTAATCATGATTGGAAGAAGGATCAAAGAGAACGCCAAAGCGGTAAGGAAGAGACACTTACAAGAAAGCCGAGAAAGCAGCACTGGTCAATAGATTCGTAGTTTGATATACCGGAAACCAAGTAGCTCCAAAGAAAATCAACGTCGGGTTAAATTTCTCCTCGATCTTCCACTGTGGCTTCCATTTGTGTACAATGAAAGTCAAGATGACGAGTGCGGGACCGATAATAAATCCATAGTAGATCCAGGAGTACATAGAACCTTTTCCGAAAAAGATTTTAGGGCCGAGAACTCCCCAGATTACGGAGAGCGAATAGTAGTTTCGGGTTTTGACGGCGTTCCAAGCTTGAGATGGAACTTCTCCGGTAAGCTTGGGGCCTTCGGAGTCTATTATGAATCCTGAGGTTTGGGGATTAGCTGGTTACTATTGTATCAATGGGAGAGTGACTCACTCATCATGCCATAGTTAATGAATGGACCCAGAAGTGTACCGTAAATTTGACCGATGAACATTTCCGTTTCTGGAATCTTCATGTAAAAGCCAAACTTATAATCAGAAATCAAATTCAGATTTTGCTCCAAGATTTGTCGACCGTAGACCATGCAGGTGAGAACTCCAAGAGGTTTTCCAGGAAATAGCGCTCCGGCGATAACTTCGGAAAGAAATTGCATGCCGACTTGCATATTCGCGATTCCCCAAAGTATTCCATTGGGAAATGTGAATATACATGAGATGAATGCAATGACTATAAAACCCCTATCAATCAATTAGCCGATGGAAAGGCACTAGAGCAAAAAGAGGAGTACCTACCACCAAGGAAGTTGCATTTCTCCTCCATATAATTGACCAATGGCAAGTCCAGAGCAAACGAGCAGTAGGAGTGCATACCACCAATGTGGAACGCGAGGGAATGGCTCCATGAGCTTAAGATAAGGATCATCATAATTACTCCTCCTATTCCTAAACGCATCTTTCATCCCACGATAAGCAGGGGCACCATACCAAAGCACTGAGTATACCATGGCTCCAGTAGATGCAGCAAACCCAAAGAAGAATTGAAGAGCATATGATGCGGACCAGTAAGGTTTGGAATAAGCATCCATTGCTTCTTGATTTAGTGAAAAATCGGGATTGAGTACTCTCGAGATGTTATATACTGCGCCGGTATCATCCCAAGTACCAGAGCCCATAGGGGCAAAAGTCAAGGCGTTTAATGTGTTGGAAAAATACAAAAGAGGGTAAATCAACCAGCATGCAAGCATTGCACCGATGAACTGATTTGCATTTGCCCAAAGTGGTGTGTACAGTGGCGACCAAAAGGCAACGTAGTTCCAGTCTAAGCTGATGTCGAGAAGTCCCTGGAGTGTTCGTTAGTATGTAGTAGTCCACATCAGAATGATCATAACGTACAAAGCCAGAGTAGCCGGAGCCCATCAAATATGCTTTCCAATTTCCATGGCCAAAGTAGCAAATCAGTGGAATAGAGCCCAACAGTGGAAAGATAACCACAGGTAGCCACTCGTAGCAGAATGTAGCACATGCCACAATGGCAAAGAATTTGAGCGAACTTTTTGTAACAGCAGGATTTTTGTGCATGGCATTGAACAGAGATACGTTTGGCAAGACTCCTGGATAGTAGATATTTGGAGGTCGAACTAGTATATCCCGAAAGAGTCCGGCAAACCCATAACCTATCATTTGGGTAGTAATGAGGAATAGAATGCCCCAACCAGGATTTATCTTGCGACCATAGTATAATTCCATTGCAGAAAGTGGACCGAGACCGTACGCAGTATAGCACTCATCATCAGAGTCAGTAAACGAAACAACAATGGGTCAGAATTCTACTTACACTACCCCAGTATGCCACTACAATCAAAGCATGTTCCTTTGCGTTCCATGGTCCTGGATTGAGACTCCATTTGTACCCAAAGGTACTAAATACTCGTTTTGGCAAGTAAGCGGCCATCGCAGAGCCCATACCCCATGAAAGTAGTTGCACGGCGTAGCTCGTGAGACTCATAGAGTAAGGCTTAAAGTAGTAGAATGAAGATATTCCACATCCGATAACTACCCAAAAGGTGGAGCAGAACCAGAATCGGAATGTGAGAATTGGTTCCCTGTAGTAGAATTATGAGTACTGGCGATAACTTATGGGATTCACAGCACCGTGTACCTACGTAGGATCATTATGCAGGTCAACTGTCTTGGCCACCAAAGGGATGGGATAATCCTTCAGACGAGGATCGATAACGACATCGTTTTCTCCAGGTACAAAGGTCTTCTCGTCGGAGATGTCCTGATAATCGTTTGAGTCGACGGCTACGATTTCGATATCCGCGGTCTTCTTTTCTGATACAGGGGACTCTGTGGAAATTTGCGATACAGAATCCCCTACTTCTCGATGTACATCTATGTTGTCCATCATGGAGCCAATTTCGCGAGCAAAGAAAGACGGTCTGCAATAATTGCTTCACAGCAAAAATCCTTAGGAACTGCAAAGCTTCTATAGTACGTTCGTTTCGACCCCGCGTCTGTATTATCCCGCAGACCTTATCTATCAACTAAGGTCTTGCGTTGCACGAGCGGCTTTTTGAAATGGTTGCAGCCATTCATTACTGTAATACGGTGCGATGCAGACAGGGAATCGACAATCCCAATATTTCGTGATGGGTTTTCCTCTCTATATTGGATATGGTTCCAAAATGGCAGTATGTCCGAAGATATTTCAGTCCTTGATAGATCCAAGTCTCCTTGCTCTCTAGATTCGAATACCAACATTGTAAACTTTGTTGAGAGATAAGAAACCACATAAAAAGCATGGCTTATCACCTGTGATTTACTTCGACAGCTTCCTGAATGAGCAATGGCCCCCGCAACTTCGCAGAGAATGTATACCGTGCTTTTTTCCCGACACCAATAACGTTACCACTCATCTTGGAAGTAGGCTGACCTAGCCTATATATGGAAATCTTCCGAGAAAATGGTCACCAGATGCTCTTCAACCACATCCAACTAACAATCGTATCCGTAGCTCAAATGCTGAAGTTACATGCATACATGCAAGATAAAAGATAGATACAGATTGCAATCTAGTGGGGCAGAAGAACCGCGAATTCGTAAATCAATCGACCCCGCACTAACAAGTTGGTGATAAGATGAAGCCATTGGATAGAAGGCTGATAAAGTATCACGAATTGACTTTTGATCGTCATCGTTATCAGAGAACGCTGTTGATAAGATTTGTCGAGCAATTAATTCAAATAGGCAGGAGTCAAGCTTACCAAGACGTTAATAAGCTTCTTTCCTACATCTTTGATGTTGGTGGCTGGTACACAGTACTTGAGTACAAGACAATGAATGAATTATGAGCAAAAGCTCGAGGCAAGGAGCCGATTGAAGCCGCTCTTCTCATATCATGGTGGCAGTCCTCATCGTCGTCGATAACATCAACTGACGTTCATCGTGATGTAATTTCATGAAGGTGTAACTCAATCAAATATGTCATGATCGATAAGATGTCGATGAGATAAATGAAAGAGGAGATGGATGGGTGATGGAATGGAGGTTAGGATAGGACTAAGTAGTTCCCAACTCTAATCACGTGAGCTGTCTATGGGCAACGTCTGTCGGTATGACTCACTGCACAAGTCCTGAATACTCTTTGGGTGAGTGCTTACTCACAGAGCCTGAAATGCATTCTCCCTACCTAGGTATGTTAGCTAGGTCAACACCAGTATAGTGATTTCAGGCGTTCCTTTCCTTGCATGCTAGCTAATCTAGGATTTCTTATTCTTTCTATAGTAATCTGGTTTCGTTGAGTGTGTTTAATAGCGATCTCGCAAATTTTAGCAGGGTAAAACAATCGTTGGAATTAACATTCAGTCTGGATAAAACGGCAATTTGTTCGAACAAGACGGCGAACAAGATTCTAAATAGCTCTTAAAGACTCCTGGGTATCATTGCGTTCTCTGTTTGGTATTGATGAATTCTGTGGATCAGGGTTTCAATAATGATTGAATGATTAGTTTGTCTGATTTATTGAAACCCTTTTTCTTTTCTAAACAAATGGAATAAAAATTCTTTCTGACAAGCTGTCTAAGACCTCACACAGCCCAATATCCTGAGTGCTGATCATGTTATACGTCATGAGTGTGTTTATAGAACTGTCATAGTTGAATAGCATGAATATTGTTATCAAAGGTTGAAAATCGCACCTTGACACTTATGTAGTCATATTATGTGATTGTTCAAGATTAGGATTTGAAGGCAAGAGGCAATTATGTTATTTCAGCCCATACCCCACCCATAGCAAGCAGCCAGTATGTTGAATTACCTTGTCCTTGTTGCCATATCATATCTCAGTATCTCAATATTTGAGATAATGAAGTACTGACCCTGATAAAAACAGTTGGCGAAGAAACACACAAAAACACCACAAACTCCTCTCCAATAATTCTGCAACCTCACAAGGTAATTCCATATTCTGATATATGATTGATATAACTAGGAGCCCCACATCAATAGCAAGTTTCAATTTTCAGGACTGTCCGGCTACAGTAATTTCACCTTAATTCCCAGCTAGGTTTGTTGAGAACTTGAGAATCAGAAAAACACTAGTCTTCTCGTCTGAAGTAATTTTGAGCTACCCGTACAAAATTTGCCCGATATCCAAGAAGGTCAAGTTTGATGCCGAAGCCGGCTAAGAATCTGTCAAGATCGAGAGGATAATGAGGGTTTTTGATGTGAAGGAAATATCAATCATTGGTGTAAGATGGGGAAAAGATGAGGAATTGATTTTCCATAGAAGACAGATTTGAACAAACACTATGGCTTTACTTTGCAGTCATTGGAGTAGGAGTAGGAGTAACAATGCTTATCATGTTTGACTGATTTCTCTTTTTGTTTTCACTACTGTAAATTGTGAAAGACCATAGTCATACTGCAAACTTTGATATTACTGGAATCTGGATAGAAGCAAAAGGAGGAAAAAGAGATTGTTACTATGACTATAAGAGAGCTGAGTCTACTACCCGATAATCATATACATGTATATATATATTCCACAACAAGTTTAATATGAAAGCCCAGACTTACTATAATCTTTAATAAACCTGAGCAGAAAGAAAAAAAGAAGAAAAGATGAGAATATCCATACTATATTGCTCAGGACCATATAAATGTATATGAAATACCTTAAGAGATACAGTTATCAAAAGCAATTAAAAGTGAGAGCATCGGAATTAACCTTCGCTTCCTCCTCGACACAATCAACAGCCACATGGGAGGGATACAATAGTTAAATAATAGTTCTCTATAGTTCGGCTGCTGTCCCGTGTTTTGACGAAGAAGAATTTTCTCTATTTATTTTCCGACCTTTAATTTTTCTCTCCTTTATTTCTTTCCTACTACAACTTTCTTTCGATCTCTTGGGTGTTTCTCTTGGTGCAAAATACATTGAAGTGCCTTTTGCTTTGCTTGATTAACATTTGCCTCATCAAGGATCTTGCTTTTTGCTTCTTTTTACTATTGTTTTTGAGCTCTCTTGTGTCTTTATTCCCCCTCGTTGAACTCTTCATCTTATCGATTACACTTGTATCGCCATGGAGACCAATTACATTATCAGTCGACAACAACATCTGTTCTTTGAAGAGCATGGATATCTCGTCATAACCAATGGTTTTACCAGAGAAGAAATCGAAAAGCACAAGATCTGGGCCAAAGTCGTTCGTGATCTTCCACAGACCCATGAGCCTTGTGGTTACCTCCAATACCAGGAAATCAACAACAAAGGCGAGCGTGTGCTTTGCAGAGTCGAGAACTTCGCCGAGGAAGTATTTGGGTTCAACTCACTTCTTCGTGGTATGAAGCTTGTTGGCATTGTTAGCCAGTTGGCTAATACACACATGGTTTTGTTCAAAGATAAGCGTAATTTTGTCTCTTCATGACACTTTGGAATCCTGCTAACTTCTCTAGTCAATTACAAATCTGCGGGTGCAGGTGGCTTTGCAGCTCATGTTGATCGTGTTGGTTATGGCGCCTTTAGTAACCTTAAGCACTTGTCTATTGCCATTGCAATCGATCCGGCCCACACAGGAAACGGTGGTATCGAGGTAGTTCCGGGTAGCCACAAAATGGATGTCCCAATCGGCGCCGACAATACTCTTGAAAAGAGTTGGGTTGAAGCTCAGCAATGGGTGCCCGTTGATCTCAAATCTGGTAAGTCAGATCTCCTGATCCAAAGTGCCAAACACAGAAATAACGGAGTGCAAAAAGGTGACATGCTGATCTTTGGCACCTCATTCGCTCATAGGAGTGGACCAAATCTCAGCACACATGATCGTCGAGTCATCTATGCAACCTACAATCGTGCGATCGATGGCGACAACCACGATGCCTATTATCTTGAGCGTGCGAAGAGATACCCATCGAGTCACCATCGCATTCCCGGTGTTGACTATCGTGATGGTTCTGCAAGCTATGCGTACGGCACACCAATGCTCACCATCGAAAACCTGGAATCGAACGCGACTGCAGGAAAGAATGACAACGACAATGGATCTTCCAATTAATGTACGGATGGTGGGATAGCAAAGAAGTACAATGTCGTGGGGGAACGTTCTCTGGGATGTGGAAGTTGCTCCTGTTGTCCATAATTTGTTGCATGAGGTCTGGCAATGATTTTAGCTAGCTAGCGTCCATATTTCCACGTGGGTACACTGGTATTTTAATACTTGGCCCGAATGAAAATGCAAATTCTATGAAACTATAAGTTATCTTGACTTGGAATTGATCAAATTGGTATTAACCGGGTGCAATCGACCGCCAATTAAAGGTTCAAAAACTCTGATTGATGATCATCAGGATGCTTATAGGCAAGACAGAAAGAAAGCAGATCAACCACTTGGAAGGCTGCGCCAGATATCCAATAGTTCTGCCAAATATTTCAATATATGTGCCCTTCAACTGATATACTCGAGTAGTCAACGTTGTATATCTTTCAAAGACAAAGTAACGTTGAGTTAGGAATAAGCATTAATAGTTTCAAAGGTAAAGATTAAAGATACCTTTTATTTTTGGCCCTGTTTTGTCCAATTCCTCAAAAGCTTCAAAACCCTCAAGTTTAGAATGAACGTATTATCATTTCAATGGAATAGTATCATCAATCCTTGAGCTATATCATTAAATTCCTTTCCAGCCTAATATTGGAATATCTCTTTCTTTTTCTTTTTCCTCTCCCCCTCCCCCCGTTTTCTACAATCTCCTTTACTCCAGACTCCACTTACAATAATGGCAATAAATGCATTCTTAATATCGATAATAATGAAAATTTAGCTTCGATTTCGATACGCCCTCGACTATAATCATGACTTGTTATTGTATTCTAAACAGTTATGCCATCCTCAAATTTCCCAGAATATGCAAAGCCAGATCCCCTGATTGCAGGAATCCGATATCGAAGCAATAGAGGAAGTTGATGTAAAGACATCTTACTGATAAAGACCTGGTCTCCTGCAACTTCGATGGCTTTGAAGATTGTCCCTAAGAGGAAAGCAGTCTGAACTGCTTCAGGATTATCCATTATCTTCGTTTGTGCGACTTTTGGTGTTTTGCTAATGAGCTCTTCCCAGAATCCTCGGTCAATCTCCTCAAATGCTGAACGTTGGCGGGTCACTCCATCAATTATTTCGCCAGCTAGGTAGTGTATAGCAGAGCAGGCAACACCGAATGGTCGAGGCGGGGACAGCTCCCAATCAATGATCCCAGTCATGGTTGCGTCCTCATCAGCCATCACATTCATTACATTCAGGACGAGGTATCCTTGGAATAGTGGCAACTTCTTGAGGCTTGGAACTTCCCCAATTAGTTTGTCGATGAAAGGAAAGAACTCCTGGACATCGTTTCTTTCGAAACTTTTGATTTTTCGGAGTTTGGGGAGGATATCATCATCAACCGCATCTTCTACGTTCCCATCGCAGAAGCAACGCACATACGTACGACCCAGAGATTTGACGACTTAGATTCGTTGAGTATCATTCCAGATTCCTTCATACTCGAGCCATGGTTTTCCAGGAATTCTTGTCATATAGAAAGGCCATACCCCCTCTGCCACAAGTTTTGCGTCGTCAATAGGCTCAATGATAGGGACCATATCACCAAGTAATTTACGGGCGTGACCGAAAGGAGCTATGTCCAAGGCCTCGATAGGAAATTGAATTATAATTTGACGGCCATATTCGAGGAAAACCTACACAGTTTTGCTGAAACATCCTTGAGTTTTGGTGAGCTGTACAGAGGTCGCATTGATACCCCGGTGCTGAAGCGCAAGTTATTTTGCCTTGTTAACTTGTTACTCCGCATTGTTGAGCGAAGGAGGGAATTCTGAGTCTGAAATTAGTTCTTTAATGGGAATGTTTAATTTTGCTTTGGCTGTGAGAATGGAAGAAATTTGATCTGTTAATTTATTGAATTTGAGAATATGTACGGAGTATCTAGGTTGTAGGTAACTAACTTGAGTATGCTGATGTTCATCCGACCACACCAAATGCGCCTCTACTTTAGCGTGCTCAGCCCTACGAGTATGAGCTTAGTACCCCAACTTATAGTATCGTACCCCAAACTTATAGCACCCCAAACTCTAAACCTCTAGCTCATCACTTTAATTAAACAGCACCGCTACCCTTCAATTCAACCTTTGATATAGCGGAAGAAGAGAAGACTCTTGAAGGTACTTTAATTCCATATCTTGGTGTTCAAAGATTCTACAAAATACCGACTACATTCTGCCCCCCCCCAGACCATTTTTTGATTGTCAAACCGAACACCGAAGATTCCCTTTTGCAGATCATACTGGTGGTTGCACGGCTAAGAGAGAGTATAGGAAGGAAGATCTATATCGATTCTTGGATTGAAAATGCTGAGGGGAGTGTACTGACAACGGGGGAGGGCTTGTGGATACGGTTCAAGGAGAAGTTATGATGATACCCGGTGTTTATTTTCATCTGCTATTCTCCGGCTACTACAATCAGAGTCTACAGAGGGCTGGCTATGAGCATGTGCTTATATTTCTTCGTTATCCAGATGCGCCGCTACTTATTGGCTTTCCGCATTGACGCTAAAGTGATGGTGTCAAACCTCGCTGCACAAGATCATACAAACCGAAGATGCCCTTCATTGTGTAGGCTATCATTGTATAGGCTATAGCTCAATTAAGAGACGGAACACTGCATTTGGGCAAACTCTTCAAGAAAGGTGCTTATTTATACGGCTGTATTATATATAAGGACGGGCTCTCTCCTAGGGCATCCGCAGATACTGTTTTCCTTCCCGGACGCAACTCAAACAGAATGTGCCCTTTCGCGCCGACTAGTTCATTTCTGCTGGAGAATTTTATCTATTGGAAATCAAGCTCATTGTGCGAACAGTATTGGCTGAGTTCTCATCATTTATTACATGTTCATCACAAGTCACAATACTGTCCTTTTACAAACCGAGGTTCAAATCTCACCAATTTAGAGGACATATCTGAAACCCTGATTGTCAATCTCGGTCACATCTCACATCCCCAGCTCGATCACCTCCTTCTCACTCAGTATCACCAGTCCTCGCTCCATATCTCTATGTTTATTAGACACAAACATATAGACGTATAGGATGATTGCTAAGGCTAGCTTCAGGCCGTAAGCAATCAACATAGACAAGTAGGCGGTATGATATCCAGCTAGATCAAATCAGTTTGAGCCTATAGCAGGAGATATTTTCTTCATGATTGATGTTTGCTTACGAGCTTCACTGGTAATGAACGTTTGCGGTCCAGCAACATTTCCGGCGCAGAATCCCATAAAGACTACTGCTGCCGTCAGCTGCTTTTTAGTGTAACCTGCAATATTGGAGGATATCATGGTTAGGCTCATACTGAATCCCAGGGCCTGGGTATAGCAGAGCCAAAGTGCCACCAATCGCCCCTACTACTCCAGTCAACAGCTTACTACCACAAGGCTGTCTGCTCATACCTTTTTCTCGGCCGATAATCCCACTAGAAATCCAGCACCGACAATACAGATTGAGTTCGCTACGATCATCACCACACATCTCATGTTAGGCCACTTCGTTGCCACCCACCCGCCAAACAACATGCCAAAGAATTGAACAGCTCCCCCGGGAATCAGCATATATTGTGAGCTTAAAGTACCAAAGCCAAAACTCGTTATATTTATACTGGCGAGACTGGTGATCGCTGCCGTTGGTATTTGTCCCGTGACTGCCATTAAGAACAGTATCCATGTTTTAGGATCCTTCATCATCTGTACGGCTTGATATGGTTTGAAGACATGGTTCTTGATACCTTGACGATTTGCCGCCACTCTACCGACAGCTACAGCTTTCTCTCGAGGCGACAGAAAATACGTCGTTGATGGACTATCAGGGAGTAACACGAGAGAGACGAAACCCCAAGCCATCTTTATCGACCCAAAGATGAGAAATATACACATCCATTTGGCAAGCCCAGTGTTGATATTTCCAACGGCATACCCGATAAGTCCTGAAACCATTGTTGCGATTCCGATGGTGCTATAATCTGAATGAATGAACAAGAACGAGTCAGTCAATTGGTATATGAACAAATCGCACAGCAACATATTTTTTGCATAAGAAGTACCCGTGAAGAGGTAACATGGTTGCTCGGAATCACTTACAAGCTTCAAGTCGCAAAGGCTGTTCATCTCGGGTATACCACATTGACATTAAAAGAACGAACCCAGGGTTTATCGCACTTTCGAAAGCACCCAAAAGGAAACGATTCGTGGCCATTCCCGCAAAATTTGTACAAGCCGGAGTACTAAGAGTAACAGCGCCCCAGCAAATGACTGTGATGGAGAGGCATCTCCCGGTTGGAATTTCTGGAGAAGATACCCCATTGGGAATTGAAATACAAGATACCCAATATAGAACATTGAACCTTCAGTTAAAATGTCAGCACATGCCATCGCTCCTTTTGGTGGAATCGACAGATATAGTACTTACTCAGCTAAGATTAATCCTGCCCGACCATATTTACATCCTTCTTGAGACCAAGAACACTCGCTAAGTTGATGGAATTCTTGTCAAGATATTGTAGGACATAGGTTACCATCAATAGAGAGAGGATCCGAAAATCTACCTTTCGCAGGACTTTCTTTGCCTCGGCCGGCTCGATTTCGTCGTCGAGAATGCTCTTGGATAACTCATAGTTATCGTCACGACTACGGGAGACGCCAGATGGCACAATTTCGATCTCGTTTACTCTGTTCGATGCGTCTTTTTCGTTCAACACAGAAGCCATAACCAAATCATTTCGAAAGGTTTATTACTAGATCTCCAAGCAAGAGTGTCTTTGGAAAATAATTGTCCTCCTCATATAGGTGGGTTGACGTTTTGCGCGTTGCATTTCAACTTCCCTCCAAGTGGTCCAGACAGCAATCGGTGTTTGTATAATACCATCTAACCGCGCTATCGGTTACACCGATGTTGTGTCACCCCAGTTGCCCAACGACATCTAGCAAGAACTGCAAGCATTCGGCGGATTATAAAACATGAGGCCAATCACTTTACGCATATTGGAGTTAAGGTGAATTCAATAAACCCCTCTGAAGGTTTTCCAATAATCATTGGTTCTACGAGCTGATTTGTTGAAGTTGCGTGTCTATCTTTTGATATATACTTGCAATGATTATGTGAAATTCGGTGTATTAGGCTTCTCCTCATCTCCGGTCACGCTGAGTTTTTGGATAACACCTAAAAGATATTCTGACTACTTGAGTACATAACCCTTTAATACCAGATTTAATAGCTTTCTTTGTGTTTCAATACAGCCTTTCTGGCAGTATTTTTGAAATCATTATCAACAGTGTTGTGATTGATTTCAATTCTACTACTGCTCCTGCTTGGTGAGAGTAACAACTTTCATTTGTATGACTATGTACAAAAGCATCAATAATTTTCTTCTCCTATCAAATATTACAAAGGCGTATCCGGAAACGATCCAGTCTTTGCTTGGTCTTTATCATTGACAATAATTTAATTCTTTCTTAGCCCCTTTATGAGAGATTGTGTTACAGTAACAAAGACTTCAAGTTTGAATCGTATCTCGTGGGATTGAAATTGTACTTTGGTCTGAAAGTATCACTATATCGAAAAACTACTCTCATCCGTACAATTCTTGTTAAGCTCCCTATTGAATACCTCCCTCACTCGTAAGCTAAGATGGCAGAACAAGTGATAGACCCGGCCAAACCTATCCTGTCAATTAAAGATCGAGAAACAATCATCCAAGGCAATGCACAAACATATGCAGAACCAAGGGGAGAAAGTTTAGAAATTATCCGTTCAAACATTCGCGGTCGTACTGGACCTCATCCAGCAGTACCCGACGAGGACCCACAAGATACCAATCTTCTCCCATTCAGACCTTTGACCACAGCCAACCTTGATGACTTTCTGGACTGGTGCGGCCCGGTCCAAGGCATCAATGACCAGACTGAATATTCTGCTGGGATTGGTTCGAGCATTCTCCGAGTAACAGATGCTTATCTCCGTCAAATATGTCTATTTGTCAATAGCCATTCCCCCGTTCGAAATCGTCGCGATGATTATCCAACCATGGCCTATCTACCTCACGATTTTTGGGCCCCACCGACATTTCCTCCCAGCGCAGAATATCTAGAAGACAGAGCGAAATTCATAAGAACGACAGCAGGTCTTCCGCCACCACGACTAAGAGCCCTCACCCATTTATTCATCCACATTGCATCATTCCCATCGACACCCGATATCAAACCAGACAGTGCCTTAATGGTCATCACGCCTCGCGCAGCCACGATCGAGTATTTAGACCAGCTTGATAGCCCTGGCAAACATCACATAATCGGAGATATCCTAAGTGTCATTTCCCGCGTCGATACCGACTGCAGCAGCACCTGGCTCGAACTCGGCGATTGGAAAGCTCGAGTTGGGTCTTCGGGAGGCGCCGAGGTTGCGGATCGTCCGCCCGAAAAACTCCGCGCGAGTCAGATTTACGTGTGTACGAATGCTTTGGCTCAGGCTTTCGGTCATGATGTCAATATGTACTGTGGATTTCGTCCTATGGAGACGACTGGGTTTGAAAACTCGTTTGACTTTCTTATGCGGAGGAAAGCTATGGTTATCGCTATCGATTTATATCGCGGGTACTTCTCCAACGTGATTGGCGATCCGCAGTATAAACCAAGGGTCAAGAGGATTTTCGGCCATCACATACATAAAGAGGGGCCTCAAAAACCCTGGATAGACAATGCGCGACAAGCCCGGAACGGATCTCCATGGTTACATTTCGCAGAGCGAGTATACAGGCGTCTCCTACATCGCGAAATGGCGCAGTGGAACGCGGAGAATAAATGGAGGGGACTAGATGAGGAGCAATTGTATAATAAAGCGCGAATGCGCATGCGCAATCCGACTCGGGCGGGCAGATATGAGGGGGCGCCTGAAGGAAAGGATCTGGGGGGATTTGGGAACGCGATGAAAATGACGAGGATAAGAAATTTGAGGAGGTGGATGGAGGATAAGGATTGTGAGAGGGGGAGGGTAGATCGTTATCATCCGAGGAGTGAGTCGGTGGGTTGGGATGTCGGGGGGAATATTTTGTATTTGACTTGATGGTGGGTGGGGTGTTGAGATGGTGGGATGGGATTGTGATGATGGATGGGTGTGTTAGGTAGATGGTGATGGAGATGGTGATGGAGAGGTGGTTGTGAAGGCTTGGCTTGACTTGACTTTGTTATTTCCTTTTGCCTTTCTTTTAGATCTGAAAATACTGTACTTGAGTAGTGGATCGGGCCACACGAATAGCTTTGTTCTTGAACTAAAATAGTAAGAGTATAGCTTCAGCTTCAGTGGTTCTTGTTGTACATCTCTAGCTTATATGTAACATTGATTCGATGTTAGGTTATGCTAGGTCATACAGTAATAGTCTGTGGTAGTTTGAGGAACTGGAACTGGAATCGGTTTGCACTTTTGTAGTTGTTGGGTTAACCCGGACTCTCAGAGGTAGGAGAGAGTTATTCTTGTATGATTTTGTTTTATATTGATAACTACTCGAGTATTCTTTTTAATATTATACTAGGTCATGTCAATGAGATGAGTCTACCAGTATCTTCTCTGCAGAAGCAAGATAGGATGAGATAACTGAATAACTGAATGTCTAAAAGCGACAGAAGCAAGATAGGATGAGATAACTGAATAACTGAGTGTCTAAAAGCGAGCTAGGTAATAAATAGAGACTTAATGTTTGACTGAGTAATGTTGCAATATTTTAATATTCATATTACAGAGTCAAGGACTTTGGAAGTTTGGATGGGTAGGAATAGTTGATATACTCGTACAGTAGCCTTGATATCTAAATTTGAATGTAAGTTGGATAGTCAAGATGAAGTATCATGATGATATTGAATTAGCAAAAGCTATCAGATGGATGGATGGATGGATGGATGCGGAGCTTTGTATACTAGATCTATTCACATATCTTCTAGATGAATTCTAGATGAATGGTCGAGACTTCATGCACGAGACTTCATGCACATGGGCTTAAAGCTGTTTGGGCAGTGGTGTTGTGCAGGAAAATTGAAGATGTGGCAAAGATAAAGATGTGCATATTACGCACTACCAAATTACTCGACTAGAGACTAGAGACTAGAGACTAAATAAAGACCTCGTTTACTCGAAATGAGCGCTTGATCTGGTACAACATTTGCAATTCTCAATTCCAATCAAATCAAAACAACTACACCTCACCATTCCCCCTCTCCTCTCCTCTTCCACCAACCCACCTACCCCTTATCCCCACTCAGCCCCATCCACCCCTCATTCCTATTTCCCTCCCCAAGCCCCCCCACAAACCTCTTCCCAATCTGCAACGCACTACTTCCCCTATAAATATGACCCATCCCACTTCCCAATATCTCCGCATAACTCACCAATCCCAATTTAACGGCATCATGTATCATATCCAGCGTATCGTGTACTTTGAGCGCGCGCTTGTATTTTCGTTTGAGTAGGGGATCGGTCGGTTTGCGAAGATGGATCGTGTAGGTTTGTAGGGAGGAGGGGGCATATCTGGTGCGGAGACCGATGGAATGTCCGATGGATGTGCAGGTGTAGTCGGCGGTGTCGCGGGTGAAGGTTGTGTAGGTGGGTTTGGGGAGTTGAGAGGTATTTGGGTTGGTGGTTGGGGTTGGAGTTGTTGTCTTGGGATTTGAGAATTCGGAGTTGGGGGTCTTGGTTGTGAGTTTCTCATCTTTAAACTCTTTTCCGGCTAGGTTTAGAAGCTTTTCGATGTGCTGGTCATCCTCTGTTGTCTTTTAGTTTTTTTGTTTCAACTCGTCTCAACTCGGATGGAAATGTATACTCACTGTAGATAACAATGCCCTCATGAAACCTCGAGTTCTCGGAATAACTAATCAGAAAGAAGATATCCACAAAACCTATAAGTCGAAGTCGACCCGACCAACGATCTCCATTCACGAGAATTTCCCATGGGTGGATGTCACTGCAAGTGTATCAACGAGATGTTTCAACACTGGATCCGATCGTTCAATAAGAGAGTTAAGGAGAGCGTACCAGTCACATTGTAAAGTTTTGTCTTCGATTGACCTTTCGAAGACATTGAGAATTCGATGATATGAAGCCATTTTCATTCAATCACTACATAGTATTTTGACCTCATACATTCCAAAGGGAGTGAACGAACTTTCGTTCAGAATCCATCCGTACGATGAGCTCGGGGGCATCGTGCTGACCATCATCAGAATCAATGCTTCCACCCTCCCCGGCATGACCCGAACCTCCCACCAATTCCTCGATCAAATGCCGAAAGTACAGGCCCTTCGTACATGCGCAAAGTTGTTCACTGTCAATACGCTGGATATACAGTAACAATCATTATTGCATTGTGAAATACGTGGCTGTCTGGAGAACTTGAAATGATTGGCGGGGTAGGATTTTCAGGGCCGCAATTGTCTCAATTCTTAGCGCTGTTATAAGAGGGATCTGTATGTATTCCGATGGTTTCTATGCGGCTGGTCGATAAAGTGATGAAATACCACGAATGTGTTTCATGTACAGTACTAGGGCACACATACTTACTGGCCCGGATTTTACCCGGAATCCAATATCAATATTATCTATTTCAACATTAAATATTAAATCAATTATTCATTATTTATTCGTGAAAATTGAGTAGAATCGAAATTCATAAAACATGTTTCATAGAATTGTATTGAAATTTTAGTAAAGTTCTTTAATAAAAATATATAAGAATATCTATACAAATATAAATTTATTTAATTAATATTTGTAAGTATTTTGTATAAGTTTTGATGTGAAAATGACACTCGGCAAGTATCTGTGCCCTAGTAGTACTATAGGAATATTCCAAGATCCTTTGAGATTTTTTCGAATTTTGTATTCTCTTTAGCTTTTCTAATAATTCTATTATAATTAGTATAAAGATTAAAATACTTTCCAACAATGTTATTATTGTTAATTAATTTCAAAGAAATATATAATAATATTATAATTATAATAATAAATTGTTGATATTAGGAATTGAAAAATACAAGAATATGTTTTATACGATTTCAGCAAGTATCTGTGCGCACCGACTATAGATCTTAACACCACCGAAGCGAGCACATACCATTTGCTTTGCTTTCGAATCGTGCAAATTGATCATGGTAGATTGATTATTGAAGCTTTTCAACATGAATTTGAAACTCTCCACTCCCCATCTATCTTCAGCACACTCTACCATCACCACTCGCAAAAAGCACCTCCCAAAAATGACCTCCTGGACCGATCAAAACAAGCTTCTCCGCCTTGGAAAGAAGATTCTCGACGCAACAGGCACCCCAACACCATCTGAAAAATCTCTCATCTCCTCCCTCGCCAGCACTACAGGCGTAGGTTACAATGTCGCCCGCGATGCTTATGTCAAATCTGTGCTTGATCCATTGTTGCAGGACAAAGTTCGGAAATCCATGAAATGGATCATCAATTCGAATTTCACGCCGGAATTCGTTGATCCGGCGGCAAATAGTGCAGATTTGGATGATGAGAATTTTGAAAAGGAAGGCATTGACCCAGCGGTCTTGAATGCAGATGGAGTGCCGATTCCCAAACGGATGTTTGATCTTGATACGGGAAATATGGAGGATTGGCCCAATGGACAATATGTGATATTGAGTCATATTTGGAAAGGTCAAGAAATTACCTATCCATACCTTATGAAGATCAAAGAAAATGCGAGGAAAAGAGAAGTTTATGAAATGATTCGGGATGCGGATGATGAGGATGAGAATGCGAAGAGGTTTGCAAGTTTCCAAGCTAAAAAATTTGGTCATTTGGAAGCGGGGAAAAGTGATGTTGAGTTGCTTGCTGCGGGATGCACTAAGGATGTTGATGAGCAGCTCAAGAAAATCACTGTCATTCTGAGTCGTTCTGGAAATGATTCGAGTGAGATGAGTCCTGGCATATTCCTCGCTCACCTGACCGAATTCAAAGAAGCTACTTGGGAAGCAGCAAGTGCTCGCAATACTTGTAATGCGAAGAAAAAAGAGCTAGAGCTAAGAAAGATGGCAGACAAGAACATAGAGAAGGAAAAGAAGAACGTCGGAGTTGACGATTTGGACATGGCTATCAACAGTGAAGGGAGTGTGGACGATAGTTTGAACCTTCGCAAAGATTTATCCCAAGCCGAATCCGAGCTTTCTCGAGTTGAGAACAAGCTGAGCCGCGCCGAAATACGCCTCATGAATGCAACGGGAAACTACGCGATCTTGAATCAAATTCCCGGGCTACGCTCCGCCGTGGAAGATCTACTTCCTATCCTAGAGAGAAAGAAGTCTATGTCCAAAATTGAAGGTTCTTTTCGCGAAGCGAAAAGGATCCTTAGTTCTGGCCTCTTCCCATCGAATGGTCGTAAACGATACCTCTGGATTGATACCTGTTGTATCAATAAAGGCAATGCAAACGAATTGACTGAGTCACTTGCTATGATGGGACAGTGGTACAATAACGCCGACTTTTGCTTGACGCACCTCGATACACCAAGCTCTACAGAATGGGTTAATACTTGGCGTAGTCTCGATATGCCGCCTGATAAGCTTGCTGGTATTCCGAATTTTGCCACTTTTGAAGATGTGGTTAATCCGAAGTGGGCGACAAGAGGATGGGCTTTGCAAGAACTGGTTTTGAGCAAGATGTCTTTTTATGTGAACAATATTTGGCAACCTTTACCAAGGGAAGTGGAGGGATTGGGTCCATACTATTATCACTGTTCGTATCTTGGCCAGCATATTCGTGATCAAGACATTGCTGGTGTGCCGACGAAAGCAAAACATCTTCTCCAGAATTTAGAACTTCTCCAAGAACTCATGGATAGCGGTGAAAAGGTAGGTTTAAAATACACGGCGATCCTATCCCAACTGAAGCTTCAGATGAGCTGACCAGAATATAGATTCCATACTTCATTTCAACAGGAGGCCTAGAGAAATCAAGAAGGTTGATTGGAATTCTTAGTTTTCTCGGAGTGCAGTTTCCTGGAAAAATGAATGATGATAACTCTGGTGCCTACATCTGGAACATAGTTTCTCGAGCAGGGTATGAGATTGAGTCGCGAATGGCCAAAGAAATCTCCCCCACTCAGACCCTTCGGACATTGTTCGCAACTCTAGGTTTTGATTTGGAATCGATTCGAGCAGAAGCCAGGACCTTGATCAAGCTTGTGATTAAAACATTAGTGGATGATTGTGCCGCAGCTATTGATGCGGATCGAATCAAGGTCTCCGAGTTCACAAACGTGCCTCCACTTGAGTGCTGTCGCGGACTTAGCAGACCCACTCTTCCTGCTCATGACATTCTATCATTGGCATCGTATCGAGAATGCACTGTTCCTATCGATAGAGTGTACTCACTAATGGGAGTCCTCGGCGTTAAGTTTTCGGCTTTCCATGCCGAAGGTCCGACTAAAGCTCTTTGTCGATTGCTTGACGAGGTGGTCATTACTACTAACGATGTCTCGATCTTCAATTGGGCGGGTAAAGATTTGGGAAGTCCCATTAGAGGAAGATCACTATATCCCTCAACTTTAACGGCCTTTAGCCCAGCGAAGACCGAAAATTACTTTACGGCAAGGAGGAATGATGTATTAGCCGAGGCCTCAAAGAAAAAGAGATATAGGCTGCAAGACACGGCGTCCCAGATTACTTTGCTATTGCGTCGGACAATAGATTTCGTCAAGCGAACGGAGTATCAAGATGTGCCAATTGACCTGCTCGGAAGCATTCTCAATTTCATCGAAAAGATTGGCTTGAGCGATATCAGACCTCAGCTCCTCAATCTTGGAAAATTATTAGTCTACCTCGAGAGTACTTTGAGCTTTGAGAAGTACAAGTCGACGATCCGTTATAAGACCGAGGAAGAAAAAACCAAAGAGGAGGTCGGTGGCGAAGAGGAAAAGCCAGTAAGCCAGAATAGCGGAAGCATTGCTTCAAGATTCAGGCTCAAGACACCACAAATACTCCAAATGCCACATATTTCCGCACCGAAACTCAAAGTCGGACTCGGCGGATTTGGAAGAAAGACAAAGGAACCCCTGGCTCCCGCAAAAGAAAACGTTAATACCCCGCCAACGTCTCACTCTGAGCCTGTGCTTGCGGTCATAATTCCATCAAAGGAGGAGGAACCAGAAAGTCTAGTCGGCGAGGTAAATAATTGGATTTCCAAAGGTCAAGACATCAAGAACCCCCCCATTGAATTCCAGCCGCTTTTTGAGCACCTACAAGCTCCGGTTGTGGATGGTCTTCCCATGGGAAAACGTCAAAGACCACAGAAAACCCAAGCATCTCTAAGTTCTAGTATGATATGTCCAAATCCAATCATGCTCACCACCTCTGGAATTGAAGGCGTCTTCGACATCCAGAGGGTCATAATCAGCATGCAGAATCCCGAACATCTTCGCTATCAAGTACAGAGCGCGGTAAACGACAGCCAAAAGATAAGTGGGAAATGTACTATCAGTACTGCACTGTCTATGATAACCGTAAATTTCTCTTGTGAAGCGGGGGCATTGGAAAAGGAATTGGATGTTTGTGATGTTGTGAAAAGGTCATTTGGTTCAATAAACTCTAGGCCAGCTCTAAATACAGGACAAGAAAATGACAGCTACTATAGCAAACTCACCTCTTTTTCCTCTGGTTTTATGGGTAAAGGATCCGAAACAACCGTTCCCACCGAAAACGAAGATCCGAAAGCCTCGACCCTAGACCCATCAGCTCAAACTCCCGATTTTGGCGAGACTTCGGAACAGCGTCGTGTAGTTCGCATGCTCGACTTTGTCCAAGAGAACAATATCAATCTTATCGTGGGCGAATGGGTTCTTGCTAGATTCACAGGCGCTGAAGGGGCGAAATGGTTCCTATGCCAATTGGAATTAGGGTCCACGCACAGTTACTATGGACGACGCATCGCTACCGACGATATTGACTTCAAAAATGTAGTACCTGAACCTGGACTTGTGGGTCACTGGGAGGACTATATGAAAAACAAGAAAACAGAGTTGTGCCGTATTGTAAAAGTGCTGGTCCAAGGACGGGTAGCTCGACAGTATGCAGACTCAATCGCTAGTCCGGAGATTAAAACCGAAATGGATGATGATTCGGATCACGAAGGACCTGAAAGCAAAGAAAAGCTAAAAGATTTCCTCTTCAAACGAGGGACGCTCCTTGGTGCCGAACTTGTGCAAACACTTACCGATATTTGGGGCGAAAGATTGGACGGGATGTTGAGTGATACTATTCTCCAGCAAGTGCCCAAGCGACTGAGAGCTGCAATCATGAATTTGAACGAAAATGAGGATTTATTGCCAGCTATGTTTTTGAGTGGGGTCCAGATTCATATGTTTTAATAGAAAGTCTCGGTGGCTCCTGACAATCGAAATTGGTTTAAGGATGTATTGGTCTCGTGGGTAATCCGTAGATAATTTGCGGATAACCTGCGGATAACCCATCAATAATCCATAGTGACTGTCGTGACTGAACATAGAAGATATCACGTTCTTCTCGAGTAGAACATAATCGTGGGTGGCCCGTGGGTGGATGTTAACTCGTGCTAAGGATCTCAATTCGTGCTTCAAATTTGGTAAGAGTTTGAATCATATATTTGATATTTTTTGATATAAATTAGTACTAATCAACAATAAATATATTTGAAAAAAATCTAAATATATAAAATTATAGAATTCGATTCAAGGATTCGAATAATATAATTTTTATTCAATTTAAATAAATATATTATAAGTTATAATAATATTAATATATAAATATCAAAAACCTTAGATTATCTAATCAAAATCAATAAAATCTATTTCAAAATCAATATTTTGAATTTGTATAGTGTGACGGAACAGACGGCTCTCTTCCGCCCACTGGCTCATACTACATACATAGTATGATATGACGGCCCTTTTGGACCTTCCTTTCACAGCTTAGAGCCCTAGCTCTATAGCTCTAGACCTAGGCATCTTACGCCTAGGACTCTTTCACCCTTTTGGGCCTAGCCCTTATGGCTCCCAATACCTGTATATATAGTCCTCCTTTTAGAGTCCTGTTTATACCCTTTTGGTCACATATAGTAGTATTATCTTTTGGATTAAATATTCGAAAATTTATATGATTATTAATCGATATTCAAAGATTCATTATTTGAAATCAAAATAATGATACTTCAATTATAGCTTATAGAATATGGGAATAACTTCAATATAATAGGTTTTAACATCCGCCCACAAGTGGGGCCACCCACGATTATCGTGATCTGGAAGTGCAGAAACTTTTAGACTGTCAGCCACAGTGGCTGGGCGACAATATCAGACATTAATTCGTACCTTGACCAATAGCATTGCCCCACATGGGAGGTATTCTCAAACGTTGGGGGCAGAATTGCCGGGAACAGTCCAAACCCTTTTGTGACAAGCATCCATACTAGGTGTATGTATATTAGTTGCGTAATGTCCTATCTATTGGTGTGATTCGAGTACAACTCGAGTATCATATCAAAGTAAGACACGAACAGCAAGAACGGGTGATTCTGTACACCGTGGTCTGCGGGGTTCTTATGCCCTGGAGCCCTCAAACTTAGCCCTCAGGTAGAGTGCTTCGCGCACAGTAGCCAACTGTAACAGCGATGTTGTCGATCTATATCTGAAGTCGGAAAATTTGCATTGCCGCCCTGAACTGCACCTGTCCTCTTGCTATGAGTTAGCGCTTACTTGCTTTTTTGAGTATTTATGGATGGATGGGATCCATAATCATGACCCCCAAGCTCACAATAAGCGCCAGCTTCTGACGTAAAGATCAAATTTTGCATTTCAAACTTTTTGATCCTTTAAAAATCTTACCAGGTAAACAGAAATCAGTCGTCGCTCGAAGGTGGAATTCGTCCTTCAAAAAACACGTCAAACCAAGCGGATTGCTTTTTCGGCCAAAACGCCCACACATTTTGCACCTGTAGGGGAGCTACCCCAGAGAGCTATAAGGTTGACGCACAAAATTGCAGTATAATCGTATCTGAATATTCAGCTATTATGGTCGACGTTGTCTCAATCATCATCGCCGTTGTTTCTCTGCTTGGCTCACTCGTGGCAGCAGGATTCACAGGATGGATCTCATACTATTTGGACCAGGCCAAACAGCGCAAAGCCACTAAGGCTCTAATCCACAAATATCGAGACCCTCTAACACTCGCCGCATGGGATCTCCAATCTCGAATCTGGGGCCTCGTTAATAAGTTGCTTGACTATTATGAGGATGAAGAAAAGAAGGAAAATATATATGTTTACACCGCCTTTTTGATTGGGCAATATCTTTCGTGGACATATATTTTACGTCGACAAGCACAATTCATGCAGTTTTCGACGGAAAAAACAAACCAGCAACTCAGTCAGATCCTGGACGCTATTACGGAACAGTTGAGCCTGGACAGAAACTTGGGCGAGGACCCGTTCATGCTTTGGCGCGGACAGCAGATGGCCATCGGAGAGTTGATGACTCTGCAAGAAGAGGAAGGACAGCTCTACTGCATGGGATTTGCAGCATTCTCACAAAAATACCATAATGACCCCGTGTTTAAAGGTTGGTTTCTACCAATCGAAAGGGGTGTCAATCTGCTTGTACATGCGCGTCAACGAAAGGATCATGTCGCGACTTTCAGATTGCGTCGCCTGCAGCATCTCCTGATTGATTTGGTTCTTCTTCTGGATTTTCATCGTGCGACAAGTGGGCCCAATAAACAATTGAAGGTGGATGCCGCTGCATATGAGTGCAAATGCGACAACTGTCCCGGGACCACCGTGGCGCCTCCGACTGAGAAGCTGTCAGTATAATAGGTTAAGAGTCTAAAAATGGGAACTGGTTCTTATTTAAGGGGTCTTTTGCCCAAAATTGCCTCGGAATGTTGAGGAAAGATCGAGTCAGCAACAGGAGGATCATGTTTAATTCTTGAGTTTGTGCCATGAGCGACAGCAAGAAGTCGATGCTGTGTGCGTTGAGAGACCTGATATGAATCGGTACGAAGTCATGAATATAGGTACCCTTGCTGTGCAATCGGCTGCGGGATGTTAGAAATATGGAATGGATTACCCGGAATTAATGAAATGGATAGGGGTCAATACATATCGGTATAGAACTTGTTTGAACATATTCATGTACTTGTGCAGGCACTGTAACGATAAAGTGATGATATCAAAGTTTTGTTTATGCAAACGGGGGAGTTGTGATGTACAAAAGAGTAAGAGCATATGCTTACGTAATTTTGCGGTTGCCCACCACCAGACTCCAACCACTTTCAGTCTCGAAAAGCATCATTCCTCAACACGTTACAATACATTGGGATGGCTACCCTTCTCTATCGAATTTGCCAATCTCATCCAATATGTGACACCATCGCAAGCCCAGACAGGACAGAGGTTATATCCGTCAATCAAACTGGATTGCAAACTGCTTTCGAAAGTCCGCAAGTCATTGAGCCCTTCCTTCAATCACTTGTGCTATACGGAATGGTGTACTTCATCAATAACAATGTGGTGGCCTACGCGCAATTTAACCAATATGAAACTTTGATCTTCTTTTTAGGACATCTGGTGGTCTTTACGGGATGTCGCACGTGAAGAGGGGTTTCTGTATCAGTTTGATATGACGACTATCTCAAAGGTGTGCAAATATTGAGGTATACTGAGTTTGAAGAGTTTGTGAATCATGGGAAGTAATCGATCTTTGCGGTGTCTAATCTAGGAAAATACGGGGAAAGAATCTATCAACTCTTCTGCCTGTGACCTGGATGGATTAGTTGAGATTACGGATCGTCGATCAGCACAGAAACAAACGAGACATACGAAATAGCCTTCGGATATACGCAAGGTATCAGATTCACAGAAACTTCCCTGTCTTAATGTACTTTCAGAATGTATAGCACATCAACTTGCAAAATAATTGAGAACATCTCGAGTGTCAAGTTCCACATTCTTGGGACCGCTTCTCTGGGAACTTAGCACTTCGATCACGGTCTACTCAATGGACTTGCTTATGCAAGAGGCTCCTACTTCTTAAACACTAGCATAAAATTCGAGTGTAAGTTCATCAACTCACATCAAACATTACTGCTACAAAGCCCGCCCAACATGTCAACTCAACATAGCATGTCATCCAAGGCTTCGAAATCATGTTCCAAAAATCGTGTATGGTGGATTTACCCTCATCGGATGTGGCCCATGCGATTGCAGTCTCAAGACAGCTCTTCAAATATCCGCTCTTTCCGCAAGACATGGCTATATCTGGGCTGGTAAAAACGACTCTTTGACGATGGTCAAGCTTGAGATTGTCGAGGTTTGGCTACTGGACCATAGACATATATCCCCGCTACACTCTAGTCAACCTTTTGTTTCTGCTTTTAACACTCCCTCTGGACTTACTTTGACTATGGGACCCAGTTCAGCCTAGCCAGTCTTCCCTATTGCTCACTTGTTATTATTTTGATCTGCTACAGATGGATGATAGGTCGCTACATCACAGGAACTGGAGAATCCCCTTTAATGAATTGTCATCACCAGCAATACCTATGGCTAGGTACGACACTGGTACGTCTGAGCTGCCTCTATAGGCCTGGGGAGTTTTTATCTGTACATTTTATTTTTGCGTTGCTCTGCCTTCTGGAAGAGTCATATTCTCGTTCGCTTATCCCTTCTAAATCCAGTCTTCTTCCAAAAAGTCTCCCAATTATACTCGAAATAAATCTTCCATCTGAACCTGGATCTGCAATAAAACTAAGCTAAATTTTTCACTCAAGTGACCTGCAAAACAGGCTCTACAAGAGTCACAGGTTATCTAGATATCTGTAACCTGCGTTTGAAAAGTCAAGCTCATCAGGATTAGAATGGGTTTTCTATACTGTCGCCAATTGTATCGTTTGGTCTTCCGAAGTCTGTCTCACCTATCCCCGCATTCAGGTAGATCCCGCTACTATCTAGATAAAATCTTGAGCGAATCAATCCCCCCCCCTTCACGAATATCACAAGGTTACTCTGCATCAACCTAAAATCTTACATATCCACGATTATTCATGCTTACAGTAAGTATGTATTTAATAAGTATATGGAGCCAGCGGTGCTGCAATAGGTATTTTTCAGGCATCTTTACGACAAATATGCATCCCATTCAACGCCAATGGCTTTTATTACTGCTCTCTTCTGCTATGATCTTCAACGTCATTGTACAAGCAGAGGCAGCACAATCAACTCAAGGATTAGTTGATCTCTTGCATCGAAGACTACCTGCTCATGTCGATGACTTCAAGTTTCAGATACGAAGAAACCATACGTTGGGGGTGACGAATGATGAGTACGTTGTATCTCAAACCTCAAGGGGGATGATTTTGGTTGAAGGGAATTCGTTGAGTGCTCTTGCTAGTGGGTAAGTCATCCTTATCGTCGTTGTGCCCGGGATTTCCTAATGAGGAAGATAGGTTACATAGATACTTCGCAGATGTCCTACACATTGATATCTGGTGGTACATTGGTTCTCAACTCCATCTTGCTCCTGAAAAGTTACCACCTCTAAATTCAACATTGAAAGGATCAAGTATCGTACCATGGCGATATCATTTCAATACCGGTAGGCGAACATGATTGCTCTCAAGCGTCTTTTGTTTTTACAATTACATTTCAAACAAAACTATTTACCAAGAAGCCTCTTTCAACTACTCAACTAATGCCAAAGAATGATTTATAGTTACGTTTTCCTATACAGCGGCCTTTTGGACCTGGGAAGACTGGGAACTTCAACTAGACTGGATGTCCCTTCACGGCATAAATCTCTCTCTCGCCTGGGTAGGTTACGAGAAAACCTTACTGTCCACCCTCCTCACCCTCGGCCTCACCACAACTGAGATCCTTCTATTCTTCTCCGGCCCGGCCTTTCAAGCCTGGAATCGATTTGGCAATATTCAAGGATCCTGGGGCGGATCCCTCCCCCTCTCTTGGATTGAAGACCAACATCTTCTCCAAAAGAAGATTGTACAACGAATGGTAGAATTAGGCATCACGCCCGTTTTACCCGCTTTTACTGGTTTTGTACCGATTGCATTGAGAAGAGTAGCGCCAAATGCGAATATCGTTAACGGAAGTGATTGGGCAGATATTTTTCCAATCGAGTATTCAAACGATACATTTCTCTATCCTACCGATCCTCTCTTCACCACTCTCCAACATACCTTCCTCGGGCTTCAATCTGAATATTACGGGAATGTTACGCATATCTACACACTAGATCAGTACAATGAAAACAATCCAGCATCCGGAGATCTCTCATATCTAGGCAACGTATCACGTGGAACTTATGAATCCCTCCAATCCTTCGACTCAAATGCCGTTTGGATGTTACAAGGTTGGCTTTTCTATGCCCTTTCATCATTCTGGACACAAGATCGAATCGAAGCTTATATCGGTGGTGTCCCAAATAACGAGAGCATGTTAATTCTAGATCTCTTTTCCGAATCGTACCCCCAATGGGGGAATACGCATCAATATTATGGCAAACCATGGATATGGTGTCAATTGCATAATTATGGTGGGACTCTGGGTCTATACGGTCAGATTGATAATATAACAAATTCTTCGATCGACGCGTTTCGGGAATCGGAGAAGATGGTGGGAATGGGGAATACGATGGAGGGACAGGGGGGCAATGGATTGATGTACGAATTGCTTCTGGATCAGGCGTGGAATACCAATCCTATTGACACGGAGGTTTACTTCAAGTATTGGGTAGAGAAACGATATCAGATTGCGGGAACAGAGCAGCAGATACCGGGAGAAATATATGAAGCTTGGGATATCCTCCGAACAACAGCTTATAACAACACGAATACAACTCTCTCAGATAGCTTACCAAAGTCAGTACTCGAAATGCAACCTAACATTACGGCGTTACATGGACGGTTAGGACTACCTGCCACGATCGATCTCTATAATCCAGATGATCTCATCAGAGCTTGGAATTTGTTGTACAACGCGTCAGTACAGGTCCCGGAGTTATGGGAAGATGAGGGATGGAAATTCGATATGGTGGATGTTACGAGGCAGGTTCTTGCGGAGAGGTTTAAGCTAATCTATAAGGAATTGATCAAGAAATATATGGAAGGAACGGATATTTCAAGGGATGGTGAGATACTGGTTGGGATATTGAGGAGCTTAGATGATGTACTATCTACATCTCCTCATTTCCGATCAGATACTTGGGTTGACTCAGCTGTAAGAATGGTATCTTCTTCACCCGTCTCTCCCTACACGGAAACCACACTCTCCTCTTCCCTCACGAGTTCCACCTCACCCCCCTCACCCCATCACTCCTCGCCAACATCAAATCTTACGCAAACCCAACGCTTCTTCGCCTACAACGCCATCAACCAAATTACAATCTGGGGACCCACGGGACAGATTGAAGATTATGCATCTAAGAGCTGGGGGGGTCTTGTAAATGGGTATTATCTGCCCAGATGGGAGATGTTTTTGGAGTATATTGGAGAGGTGGGGTTTGCGGAATATATTGCGACGGATATCTTGGGGCAATTGAAAAGATTTGAGGAGGAGTGGCAGTGGATTGGTGGTTTAGGTGATGTAAGAGGGGTGAGAGGAGAGGATAGTGATAGTGAGAGGGAGAGGGATTTGAAAATGTTGGTTACGGAGTTGATTGGGGAATTTGGGAAATTTGGGGTGTGAGGAGTCGAGTGGTGTTTTCTTTTGGAATGGGAAGATTGTGCTGTTCTTTGTGTTAGTCTAAAAGTGAAAGTGTTGTTGTTGTTCTACTAGTAAAACTATTCCTACTCAGTGACTCAGCATATCCCAACAAATATCAACTTAAGCATCTAATCTATTGACCTTGTCAACTCATCACATACAATTACTAAACAGACCTTCAAAAGACGAAGCCCATCACAATCATCATTTCCATATTCCACAATAGAAACTTCCAGTCATTGCCAAGTAGGTATACCTAGTTATCCGAACTTGAACTGTCCTCGTGCTTATTACATTGGATGATCATTGGTAGAGAATGGAAATTAAATGGATGCTGTTGCCTGTGGTTTGAATTTTGAGGCCTGTGATTTGATGGATAGAAAGGTGAATGGAATGGAATGATTCACTGCGCTGGCGTCATTTGTTGCTGTTTGAGTGCTGTGGCTGCTGCCTCGGTATTTGGTTCGGTTTTGAGTTTTGCTTTGGTGAGATTAGTTTATTCACAGAAACTGAGACCGGAAGCACTCGAGTGGAGATTTTAAATATAAAGTTAGGTTTTCTTATAGTTTATAGATTACAATTTCAAAAGAAGTATTATACTACTAGTATTCAGGGTTTTATATGTCACGGGTTCACCAAGCGTGACTACCTATACCTACCCCTGTCACGTGCACATTACCCATTCTTAGTTAGATCGAATAGATGCCTTAGGCATTTATTCACCATATAGTCGGCGTCGCTCCGCGCGCCTCCTTCTCTCCTTGTCGAATATCATACATCTTACCTAGTTCCCACCAGCACCCGTACCAGCCCCGTGATATTATATACACTTTATAGTACTAAGATATTAATAACTAAAAATCAAATTATAGAATATAAAATAATTTTAAAAAAGTGTATTGAATTTTATAAAATCTTTATATATTTTATATAATTTTTACTAACGTGGTTTATCAGTGCATCGCACATATCAGTGCCTCGCGCACTTTTTCACTACTCAATCATTTCAAAATATTATTCAATAATCACAATATATAAAATTAATTGAAACTATTCAGAATCTGATAAACTAGAGTCTTCTAAATCCTCCTGACAAGTTCGTATATTATGACCAGTTTTACCACAAAAGTCACAACGATGTAAAGTTGATTATTCCCTATTTGAATTATTCCTCTTAAAGCATTTATCGCGTCGAATCTGATTATCTATATCGGTCTGTAATATAATATTATATTCATCTTATATACTAAATATTCCTCCTTGACGAATTCGACTCTTTTTAGCTTTATAATGTTTACTCAATGTCTCATTTGCTTTTGAAGAGTACAAATCTTAGTATTTATAAATGTTATCTTATAAGCTAATATCTCTATACCCTTAGTTAAAGCTGTAACTGTTTCAAATATAAGTATAGAAGAGCTTCCTTAATATTGTACAATTCGATTTTTAATTAAGATTGATTATGAAAAAGTA